TAAGCTGGATAAACCAATAGAGCAGCCCCACAGCCTGGACTTCAGATACGTGTTAGAGGCTGCAGTTCAGTGATGCTCAGTCGGGCATTTGTAAAGTGCCCGCTATGTGCCAGGATACTTTGTGCTCCATACTGTTAATACATTCTACTTATACAGTACCTACTCAAGAGAAATCTGTCTTGTCTTACTGATGCCCCAACAGCCCTCTAGACTCTGTTAAACAACAAGGGGAAAGCATAGCACCTTAGGTACACAGAGGCACTGACAGGTAAAGGGACTTCAGTAAGATTCATCAAGTATAGAAGGTTCCTCCTTCCTCTCTGCTGCTGGTTGTGGGTTTCAGTTGTGCCCAGTTCTTCATGACCCCATTTGGGCTTCTCTTGGCAGAGATACTGAGGTAATTTGCTATTCCCTTCTCCAGCTTATTTGACAGAGGAGGAAACTAAGACAAGCAGAGTGAAGTGACTTGCCTAGGGTCACACAGCTTGGTCAGTTTTGAACTCAGGAAGAGGAGTCTTCCTGACTCCAGGCCTGGCACTCTATGCGCCATGACACTACCTAGCTGCCCCCTCTCTGGCACCTAGGGGCAAACAAAGACACAGTATATATTTATTTGCATCTAATGGTAGCCATCTTTAGGGCAGGACAGGGAGAGGGAAGAAAAAAAAGGAAAAAAAGAAATTTACATAATAACTTTATTATATATTTAAAAGGAATAGCAAGTTGTATGTAATAGATTTGCAGTTTCATATGCAATCATCTTTATTATACTGTGTTATGGGAATGCTTTTATTCTATAAATTAAAAATTAAATAAATTTAAAACAAAAAAAAGCTCTGAAGGGATTTAAACAGGATTAATCAAGGTCATCAAGCGTAGAAGGCTTCTCCTTCTCTGGAGGAAGTTTGGGCCCCAGTTTACCAGGGAACTTTCTAGTAGGTGCATCACCAATTATGAAGCCCTATTAAGAAAGCAGCACCAAAAGCAATTGTGGATCTTTTGTCTAAGTCATTGTGATATGATCCTTTCCTCTTATATCACACTTGAGACTTTTAAAAACATTTTCACATCCTCATATTTATATAACCAAAGATATTTGTGTATGTGTGTGTGTATGTACGCGTGTGTGCTTTGTATGTGTATTCAAGTTGGCAATGGAATGATATGCTTTGAAGAGCCATAATTTCCTGAATTCTGATCTTCCCTCTACCAATGCAGATAGTAACTCTTCCACACCTTAGTTAGATGATCTTTATGATTTGCTTTGGCAAAATAAAATTAATCATCTAGTGGTCAACCTTCTTGAGATGAGTGAGCTTCTCCAAACTAGACCAGTCGATGTTGACAAGACATGCAGTCCATAATTGAAGCCTTTCCAGTCTGAAGTTGGACTGGCCAGCCAACACTTCCATGACAAGAAAATAGAAGAGAGTCAGATTTTGCTAGAACAGAAAACTGCCCTAGAGTGACAATGGAAAAATGCTATGGCCTGCATTTGATGTAGCTGCAGACTATTGAGAGTCAATGCTACACATAGGTTATCTCATGAGATCCTTATCAAAACCCCATGAGGTAGATGCTATTTATCAGCCTTACTTTTTTTTTTTTATTTTGTGAGGCGATTGGGGTTAAGTGACTTGCCCAGGGTCACACAGCTAGTAAGTATCAAGTATCTGGTCTGAGACTGGATTTGAACTTAGATCTTCCTGACTCTAGGGCTGGTGCTCTATACTCATTTTTAAATAAGAAAACTGGGTCTGAGAGAGGTCAATTGACTTGCCTAGGGTCATAGTAGATGTCTGGGGCAGGATTTGAACTTAAGTCTTCCTGAATCCAAGTCCAGTCCTTACCACTTAGCTGGATCAAGGCTCAATAGTAATCCTAGAACAGCACATAAAGAACCAGTGCCCTAGACCATAATCTTACTTTCTTAGGAAAAAAAAATCACCAAAGTGTAATGAGTAAAATCTGGTCACAGGCCGATTCTTCAGGTTTTAGTCTATTTTAGAACTACTTAGGTATTAATAGCTCGTTTTATTCCTAGGCAATTTCTGCTAATGTTTCAATTTTTAACCAGTGTGTTTAGTTGTATTCGGTGTAACCAGTTTATTTTAGGTATTTTTAAGTTAGTACAAATTAATTTTTGTAAGAGACAGTAGGCAGTTTTGCTGCCTAAGAGAAGCTTAATGATGGAAATTCTCAGAGAGTCATGCTCTTAAGGACATATGTATGATGAAAGATGAATAAAGCTGTCATTCAGTCATTTCAGCTGTGTCTGATGCTTCATGACCCCATTTGGGGTTTTCTTGGCAGAGATACTGGAGCGGTTTGCCATTTCCTTCTCCAGCTCATTTTACAGATGAGGAAACTGAGGCAAACAGGGGTTGAGTGACTGGCCCAGGGTCTCACAGCATAGAGAGTCCACCTGACAGGCACGGGACGAAGCTTTTGGCTTTGAAGCTAAGCCATGACTCTTAGCTCTCTCTCTTTACCCCTGCCACCGTATGAACCCTATAGTGACCCTATTTCAGCCATCCCTCTGCAAATGGAATAGATCAATTCTCTTTATGGGAATTATAAAAAGTAAAGTTCCGATTTGTTCTGTCTTATGAAGAAAGATGGAACAAAAAGTATTTCCCGAGTATTCAGGCATTCACTAGCAAAATCCACTTTAATTAGATTATAAGGGCCCTGAGGCAGAAAAAGTTGATTCCTCCCCAAGGACCATTCCAGTGAAAGAGCTCTAGGCTTGATTTGCCTGAAAGAGCATTAGTGATCTATCTGGCTGCCTCATAATGCAAATGTGATCTTATTTTTTAAATGAAATTTTTTTTTCAATTAACACTCAATTTTCTTCTATCCCTCACTGTTGAAGGGGAAAAGAAAATGAGAAAAAGAAAGCTTTTGTAACTAATCTGTATAATCAAGCAAAAACAGCTTCTTCTGTTGGCCGTGTCAAAGCAGCGTGGTCTACTAAGACAGCGTAACTTGGATGGCAAAGCACCAGCATGGGGGAGCCTTTGCTTAAGGTTCCGCTCACAGTAGCTGTCAATCCACCTGGTGCAGGTACTGGGAGACTCAGCATGAGAGTGAAGAATCCCTAGAAAAAGGCAAATTTGCCACTGTTCATTCAGTTCTTTGAAGTCACAAAGACCGGGACTTTGCAAATACCTATGGCATCAGGTGATGAGCAACTAGAGAAATACTATATGTCCTTGTGAACCTCCTTAGCTGAGAGTCAACATTTCTCTTGTTAGTCACACTGAAGCTTTCCTCCAAGGATGTCCGGGTTCAAGGGCCATGTTCCCATTTCCCAGGTGGGGAAGACAAGAGCAGGGTATTTAAGAGACGAGATGCCAGAGGAAATGATGATTTCAGTTAAGCAGGTACAGATAGGGGCCGCTGTCACAGTCCAGGGAGAGGCATGGGACATTTGTACCTATACGTAAAGCCACCACGTACTGAATTTGTTCATCAGAGGACCTGGTTATCATATCTTGGTCTTGACGATCACTCTGTGAGTTTTGGTTTCCCCATCAGTAAAATAAAAGGAATTGGACGAGATGTCAAAGGTCCTTCCAGGTCTACATTCCTTTGTCACTGGAGTTCTGGTCACCTTCTGCAGAGCCGATAGGCATTTGTCATCCTCACTGCTCACAGGCTGGTCTAGTCCAGAATGGCTGTAAACCCTAATATGAAGTTGGGAAATCAGTGTGACAGAAGGGTGATGGGAGAAGCGTCCTTCACAAAAGACATATCAGAAAAGCAGTCTCCTGGAGCAGGCTGGGGGTTCCCCTGCTGATGAGATAACAGACCAGGCTTGAGAAGGCTAAGGGTTTTCCAGTTTGGATTGACTCCCCCTTGGGGAAAGGAAAACATGAAGAAGTAGGGACTTGTAAGAAGGAGGCCCTCTAGACGAGAGAACTTCAAGGAAATTTCCATTTTCCCATGGCAGGTAGGTGGTGCGGAGGATAAAGCACTGGGCTTAGAATCAGGAAGATTTACTTTAATGAGTTTAAATCTGGCCTCAGACACTTGTTAGCTTGGTGACCCTGAGCAAGTCATTTAAGTCTATTTGCCTTAGTTCCCCATCTGTCAAATGAGCTGGAGAAGGAAATGGCAAACCACTCCAGCATCTTTGCCAAGAAAACCCCCAAAAGGGGCCACAAAAGTCAGACCTGACTGAAACAACTGAACCGTTTTCCCAGGAGAGATGAAAATACTAGAAACTTTAAATCCAGTGAAGGTTATGGTGGGGGAGGATCTAAGAAAGCAAGAGAGATAGCATATATATGTCATCCAGTACAAATGCTTGAATGACCTTGACTTGTCCCAGTCCCCGCCTTTGGGTCTGAGCTCTACTTGGGATTTTGGGTAGTGCGAGAACCTTGGAGGAGGAGTCCAGAAGAGCAGCTTTCACTAGCTGTCTTTGGACTGTCATTCTTTCAATGGCAGCATTCCCAAGCAAATGGAAAAGATAGGAGTTGAGAAGGCAGGTTCGTATTGGAGAACTTTTACATTAGCAGGCATTATACTAACCAAGCCTAAGCAAAGAGTCTTCTTAGGGCCCAGTGGTTGTAAGTAGATAGGTAGGGTTTGGTCCCATTTTATTGATGGGGAAAGTAGTTATACAGGGAAACTGAGCTGGGAAGAAAACCTATGCTTTTTGGTTCATAGCATCTGTGTTCACTTGCCTGCTGTAAGGGTGAGTGTTCAATCCTTCGAGCATCTCTTCGGACAAGTCTAGTTTCAAGGACAGGTCAGGGTTTTTTTGCAGCTTGGTAGCTCCCCACCTGATATCTTACAAGGCTCATAAAGCCCAAAGCTCTAGTAGAAAGGTGTGGCTTTTCATTTCTTCTTCCCTCAAGGATAGGGGTGAGGGTGGGTGGTGGATGGGGGAGGCAGGAGACCAGAGACTGGTCACAAAAGGGACGGGAGTGTAGTTGCTGTTTGGAGAAAGACCATGTGGGAAGTCACTTTCTTTTGGTCCTTTCTTCCAGGCACAGCTGGGGGTGAGGACACCGAGGATGCCAGCACTGAGTTCACTGACAGTATTGAAGAGGAAGCCTCACACAACAATCCCCACCAGCAAGTAAGTCAGCGCCAGGTCCAGGGGGGGCGATACACTACCCTTTGGGGGTCTGACAGTCTCCTGGGGCCTGTGGCAGCTGAAAAGGCAACATTGAACGTATGGACTGGAACAACCTGCCAGTATTTTCCCTCTCCCTTTGTCCTTTTTAAAAACTTCTTCTCCCCCACTTAACTTCTGCCTTCTCTACCCCTCCTCTCTGCACCAGCGGCTTCAAGAATTCTCTGGCTTCTCACAGGGCAGAGGCCCCTTTGGCCTCTTGTAGCCAGAAGGGCGTCTTCAAGGGGCTCTGGGGATGCAAGCAGAATGTGAGACTACTTCCTGAAGAGGTGCTCTCTGGGTAGCTCTGGGATGCTATGTGCTACCTATTCAGTGGAATCTGACAGACTGATTACTGACCAAGCAGCATCTCCTGGCTAGCAGATAGTAAGGCAAGAACAGGCCTCAACGGCTGTAACTTATTTACAACCATGTGGCAAAGGCACACTCCTCTCTGTCCAGGACTGCCCTATTTGCGAACATGTGCCTTATGTCTATACTTGATGTGTCTGAGAGTAAATGCCACGTGCCAATCAAGGACGTAGGCCAAAGACAGTCTCACCACCGACCAAGGGCACTTTCCTTCTTCCCCCATCCCACATACATTTAACCTCTACTATACCAGTATTTGGCATTATCCAGAGTAATTGCCCCGGGTCTTTAGAGATGGAATAGGTTTTGAAATCTCTTCCTTCCTCTGGACAGTGACTAAATTCCTCCTACTCTGGAAATTCAGGAAAAAAGGTAGTTGTGTTGGGGAGAAGATGGTGGCTTCCTGGGGTTGCTTCGTTTCATGGATGTAACCTTCCCTCTTACTAAGTCTGACTTCTTAAGATGCGAATTTCATACGGGTTGGCTTTGAAGATGGCCTCCCAGGAGATGACATGGAAAGTAGGTGGGCCGTATTTCCCCTAGTGAATCTTCTTCACCTTACACCGTGGTCCTCTTTCTGTTGCTTGGTTATATTCAACCTTGACCCTTCTCTTGGACTAATGCATGAAATCCCTTCCTTCTTACACATGAAATGCTTCTATTGAACCTTCCATATACTAACCCAGGCTTCTGTCTTCAACTCTGCCTATTGAGACTGGTCCTTCTCCTTATTTTTAGTTCATTCTTTCAGTCCTGGACTAGGGGTTCCTACAAGATAAGTGAGAAGGCCAATTATTGGCCCTGGAGAGCACTTGTTCCAAAGAATGTGGCTAGGATCAGTCTTAGAATTTATAGGAAATAAGGTTGGAAGGGGAAAGACACTGATGATGTAAATAAATTACCCCTAGGGGAGCTGGTCCAAGGCCTAGCAGGCCTTAGAATCCTCCTTCTCTATTGTATCATCTTAGGAGAGCTACTATGCAGGTCATTTCTTCTGGTCTTCCTCCCCAGAATATAGAGTACTCTGACCCACTTTGAGAAAGTTAGTCTAACCCCATAGGAAACTCGTGTTCCTCATAGTCTTTTGTTCTTGGGATTTGTGTCTCCTTTCCCTCCAATGTGTCCCCACACACCCACCCAAGAACCTACCATACTGCTGGCTAGATTAGGAAGCATTTATTAAATGATTAATTAGGTCAGAGTCAGATTAATTAGATCAGAAACCAATCCAAGAAAGCATTCTTGAAGGACCAGGTGGGCTTATTAACGAAGAGCCTCTTAAACTGCTGTTATCACATCATGCTGTTGACTTTACGTGAAACTCAGTGTGTATAGCAGGAACCCAGGGATTATGCATCTTTGTAAACTCCCTCTGAAACTCCCTGCGGTCTGCAGGGTGTGATTTCCCCTGCTGACAATGCAATAAAGCTTGTTTTGACTTAACCACATGGTGTCACGATGCTCCAAGATGTGTTCATTTGCCTCTAGGGAAATAACCATTTGAGGCTGGGCCTACAATACCCTTTTTTTTGTTAGGTTGCAGCAGCCCTGGATGATGGGCTGGATACATGCTCCCAAGACCTCTTAACTACCCCCTTAACATTCCATTAACACGCTTGACTTTTTGCTACCCTATCAAGCTATCCGGTACCCAACAGCTTCCAGGATGTCACATCTCCTGAGGTTCATTTCTTCCCATTTTGTCAGAGTGCTTCCTCTTCACCAATGGATTCAAGACCTATTAGGTAATTTAATAGCTTTACACAGGTATCTGCTCGATGAGTAAGTACCTCAGTAGATCACATCATCAAATAGAATGTGGGGGTGCAACAATTTCTTTGGACTAAGCTAGGATAATTAACTAGGGCAGTTGTCCACCCTAATGGGGAAGAAATGATCCAGGATATTGTATTCAAGATCCGAAGAGAAAGGAAGTCAAAAGTTAGTAAGATAAAGAAAAGACAATTGAGGAAAGCAAAAAAAAAAATTTTTAATACACATAGATCATTCATTAAGAAAGATCCATTGAAAAGAACTGAGGTTCCAAAAAAAAGAGGCCTGAATATTCATATGAAAATACAACATATTTTACCAGGCAGTGTGACAAGAAATCAGAACTCCACAGAAACCAAAAAGCTGTTGGGAAAGTTACAAAAAGTGAGGTCAAGGAGAAAAAAAAATTAGTATTAAGAAATTGCCTGGTCCTAGGACAACAAGATTAGAATGGCTAAAATTAGAAAGGAGGTATAAATAGCAAGACACAAAAAAAAGTTTCCCAAATACATACACACATTTTATTTATTATTAGTATTTTTTTTGAAGAGGCAGTTGGGGTTAAGTGATTTGCCCAGGTCACACACCAGTAAGTATCAAGTTGTTTGAGGCTGGATTTGAACTCAGGTCCTCCTTACTCCAAGGCCAGTGCTATATCCACTGAGCCCCCTAGCTGCCCCTCATATATACATTCTTGAAAGATATTCCTCCCTCCCACCTCCCCCAGATGATAGTCACAATTTTTTAGCATATTCACTTTGGTTATTTTTTTAAAAAAATCCTGAGTGGGGATATTGACTAGTAAAATCACAGAATCTGAGAACTAGAGAGAAGTTAGGGGTCATCTGGTCCAATATTTATCTGGAATATGAATTCTCTCTAAAATATTCTCCCAAAGTGGTCATTTAGCCTCCATGGGAGGATCCTCCAGTGATAGGAAATCAGTACCTCCTAAGGCTGGCCATTTCTGCCATTTTGCCCTAATTGTTATGAATTTGTTCCTTATGTTGAGCCCAAATATACCTTTCTGTAACTTCTACCCATTGATTCTAGCTCTCCCATATGGGGCCAAGAAGGTCTAATCTTTCTGTCAAACTACAGCTCTTCAAATATTTGAAGACAGCTAGCATGTTCTTCTGCCTCCAAGTTTTTCTTTTCCAGACTGAACATACCCAACTCACTTAACCATTCTTCATCATGTTGCTCCACAGACAGATTGCCCTCACTATCTTCATCTTCCTCCTCTGCACTTATTCTATCTTGTCCATTTTCCTTCTCAAACGTAACCCCTAGAACTGAGCACCATATTCCAAATGTATTCATTTGACTAGAACAAATACCCATAAGACTATATTGCCTCACCCATTCTGGATATTGTGTTGGTTTTATTTTTTTAACAAAACCAAAGATCCTACTGGTTTTCTTTGTAACCACATTACACAGCTGATTTATATCGAATTTTCAGTCATCCTTTCCATGTAAACTGCTATCTAACCACATCTCCTGATTTCATATATTATATGGTTAATGTCTTTTTAAAAATGTGTAAGATGTTACATATACCCCTATTCATTTTTTCCTCTGATTTAGTTTAAAATGAGTCTCAGTTGCAATGACAGGATGAAAAACCAAGCTAGGATAGAACTAAAGTGTATATAAAAATAACTATTACTTAAATCAGTAATGGAATGTACTTCCGAGTAGTGTTTAGGGAATGGCACTTACTAACCATTATTTCTAGGAAATCAAACAGAAGAGACAAAATTCCTAAAGATAAAAAAAGAGTAAAGGAGTATTCAAAAGAGGAAAGAAAGAGATGACACTTGTAATTCATTGCAACAACAATATTAAGTGCCTTTTATGTGCAAAGCATTGTTATTAGATCCTGCAAATGCAGAAATAAAAAGTGATCCCTTCTCTCAATGAACTTACATTCCACCAAGTGATATAACATATTTAAAACAAATGTAGGATAATTTTGGAAGAGAAAGGACTCTACCAATTGGTAATGTTGCCAGGCACTGTATTGGGGTACAAAAAAGAGACAAAAGTCCCTTCCCTCAAGGAGCTAACAATCCAATATGGGGACAGCATATGTACAAAGCGAGAAGCTACACACAGGAAAAATAGGAAATGATTAAGAGGGAAGGCACTAGGATGAAGAGGGGTTGAAAAAGGCTTTCTGCAGAAGGTGGGGTTTTAGTTGGGACTTAAAGAAAACCAGAGAAGGCAGGAGGCAGAGATGAGGAGGAAGAACATTCCAGGCATGGGGAACAGCTAAAGAAAATGCTCAGAACTGAGAGATGGAGTGTCTTACCTTAATAACTAAGGGCATGAGAAAAGGCTCAAGTAGAAAGTGGTCACTGAATTGAGCCTTGGAGAAAGCTCCAGATTCTCTGGAGCAGAATGAGAAGACCTGGACATAGCAGATGGAGTGCTGAGTTAAGGTAACAGCAAATGGTCCAGTTTGGCAGGAATGCATGGTGCATAAAGGGGGGAATAATTAGAAATAAATCTGGAGAGGTATTGTGAGAACCAGGAGATCTTTTAATACTAAGCTGGTAAGTTTGTGTTTAATCCTAGAAACAATAAAGATATACTGGAAATTCTTGATCTAAAGTAATATGGAAAGATCTTTATGCTTAATAATCTCAGATTATTTTGGCAACTGGGTCAGAGAATGGATTGGAAAGGAGGTGAGACTTCAAGCAGGGAGATTCATTGGGACCCTTTTGCAAGTCCAGGCAAAGGTGATGAGAATTTGAACCAGAGCAGTACCATGTTATTGGTCAGAATAAGACAAATGCATGAAGCTACTAATGGAGGAAAAGTGGAGCAAAATATCAAGAGTGTCTCCTAGATGGCAGTGATGGTGCCCTCAACAGAAATATAAGCATGTTTTGAGGATGGGCTGAAAGATAATGGGTTCTGTTTTTGGACATGTTGAATATCAGATGCCTTTGGAACATCCCGGCAGCCATGATGTCCAGCAGGCGATTGGACATGAGATAGTGGAACACAGGACAGAGGTGAAGACAGGATATACACAAGTAGGTTCATCCATACAGAGACGAAAATTGAATTCTCAGGACAGCTGATCGCTGACAGAAGGTGTAGAGAAGAGAGAGCCAGTTCAGAGCACTGGTGCTCAAACCCAAACTTAGTGGACAGAAGACGGATGATGATCACACAGAGGAAATGAGGAGGAGTCATTAGACAGGAGTAACAAGATAGCAGTGTCTGGGTTACACTGGCAAAGCATGAGGGAGGGTACACCATTCATCGGTGTCAAATCCTGACCAGCATTTTTAAAGGATGAATACTTTTTAAAATAAAACAAAACGACCTAACAGATAGCTGGTAACATTGAAGAGATTGTTTGCATTCAAATGGTAGGGTCAGGAGCCAATTAACAAGAGGTTTTAAAATGAGTGGAATAAAGTGGGAACAATGAGTACAGAATACTTCTTAAAGGAATTTGGCTGTGGGCAGGAGAAGAGTTAGAGACTGATATCTTGGGAGATTGGCAGGATCAAGCCCATTTTGCTTGGTAGACCCTAAAACATTCTATAATATATACTTAGATATGATCGATTCAAAAAGCATATACAGTATGCGAGTTAAGGGAAGGCAGAGGACCTGGGTTCAAATTTTGCCTCTGCAGTTTACTATCTTTGACAAGTCACATAAACGCTCTGGGCCCCAGTTTCCTCATTTGTAGAATGGGATGGTTTCTGGAGGGAATGATTCTGACGTCCTTTCCACTCAAGTATTTTCTCTCTTTTATGTATAAAGAAACAGGCTCAGACTGTTAAATGATTTGCCTAGGATGCCACAGGGCAGCCAAGTGGCGCCATAGAGCATAGAGACACTGGAGTCAGGAAGACTCTTCCTGAGTTCAAATCTGGCCTCAGACACGTACTAGCTATGTGATGCTGGGCAAGTCACTGAACCCTCTTTGCCTCAGTTTCCTCATCTGTCAAATAATCTGAAGAAGAAAATGGCAAACCACTTCAGTATCTTTGGGAAGAAAACACCAAATGGGGTTACGAAGAGTTAGACATGACTGAAAAATGACTGAACAACACCAAGGCCAAGTAGGCATAGGCAGCTGGAACTTGGTCTCTTCCTCCTGATTTCATGCCCAACACTTTCTGTGACATCACTGATGCCATCTCTGGGATGAGTAAGAAGGGTGGGCAGTCTGCCAGAGGTGCCCTAGAGCCAGCTCGGACCCAAACTGATTGTTAAGTTTTCCGCATGAGCATTTATACTTCAGAAATTAGCAAACACTGCACACCAGGGCTTGATATGTTGTTTACGATTGTCTCGGTCATTAAGAGTAATTAAACTGTTGAGAAAAAAGGTCCTATGAAGAAAAGACAAGGGGACTGAGTTTTTCAGATTGGGAAGTTGGAAGTTAAGGTGTGACTTGATTCCTCATCTAAAGAATGTGAAGGTTTTTAAAGAGGAAGTTCACAGATCTAGAAATACAAGGGACCTTAAAGATCAACCCATCATTTTATGGACAAGGAAATGAAGCAGTGCTAGGTGGTGCCACAGTGCACAGAGCACTGGACCCAGAGTCAAGAAGACTCCTCTTCCTGAGTTCAGATCTGGCCTCAGACACTTAGTAGATGTGTGACCCTGGGCAAGTCACCTAATCCTGTTTGCCTCAGTTCCTCATCTGTAAAATGAGCTTATTAGCTGTGTGACCTTGAGCAAGTCATTTAACCCTGTTTGCCTCAGTCTCCTCATCTGAAAAATGAGTTAGAGAAGGAAATGGCAAATCACTCCAGTATCATTGCCAAGAAAACCCTGAATGGGATCATGAAGAGTCAGGCACGACTGAAAATGATTGAACAACGAGAACATAAAGTTGAAATCAATCAGTTAATCAATAAGGCTCTATTCTATATGCCCCACATTGTAATACGCACAGAAGATACTAAGAGGAGAGCTTCCTCAAAAGACTTACATTTTATCTCAAGGAATGTCTGTGTGTGTGTGTAGATAAGATGTGTATATATACATATATGTATATGTGTGTATGTGTGTATATATATATATATGTGTGTATGTATATGTGTATATGTAGATAGCCATATATATAGATGTCCACATATATAGATATCAATATACACACACATTATATATACATATATGTATGTGTGTGTCACACACACACACACAAAATACCTACAAGATGTTTCTAAGGGGGAAGGCCCTAGCAGCTAGGGAAATAAGGAAAGACTTCCTGCAGTAATGGCCCTTGGGCTCAACTTTGAATGACATTGGAGACTTTAAGAGGTGGAGGTGAGTAAAGTGAATTCTAGACCTGGGCCACAGCAGCATGTCTGTCCCAGATTTTTTAGGAAGAGGCCACCTACTCATCTGCCCTGGGTGGCTCATGCCTTGACTCTGTTCACAGCTAAGGGGTTTGCTGTGGTTTTGTTCAGTTAAACATTCTGATCCTGTGGTTCTGTGACCTCAGTTCATTGTTCTGTCCAGGTGCTCCCTCCCTCTTTTATTCTGTCACCAAGGATCTTGGGGTTATTTTTGCTTGGACAGACCGTTGTTTACTTTGTATACCAATGGTGTACTAGCAGTACTGATCCTCTTTCGTCTCTCTTGTTTGGAAGCTACTATAGGTGGACTTTCAAACAGTGGGAACAAGAGAATCGTGGTATCCTTGATACCTTGACCTAGTTTGAGACCCAGTGTCTCTCTCTTCCTGTAAAACAAACAAAAAAAAATTGCCTTAGTCTTTATTGACTCTTTCTACTGGCTCTAGCTCCCAGAATAGGATAGCAGCCGTCCTAAAGTGACCTGTCCAGCGGCAGCCTCTCTCCGTTCTTGTCTGGTATGTCTGTCCCCTACCCCACAAGGTCCCTTCAGTGCCCTTATGTGCTGCCCTCTCTGTGGGCCAGCAAAGTGCTTGAAAAGAAAGAAAAGGTCATGGGGTCTGACTACTACTTTCTTCTTGATGGTTTTCACCATCAGCTCTTTGGTTTGTGGATACTCTCACCTGGGTGACTTAACCATTTTATTTTTTTTACTTTTTGGTAAAGCAATCCGGGTTAAGTGACTTGCCCAGGGTCACACAGCTAGTAAATGTCAAGTTGACCTAACTGTTTTAAACCTTGGTTTCTTTTCAGTATGTCAAAGAGGCTTCAGAGAAAATCCTGTGGACCGAGGAAACCCAACATTCTAACAGAATTCCTCCTTCCCCAACCCGAGGAGGAGGAGACAAAAACAGTGGCCTTGAGGAGGAAGTACTGTGCCTGAAGGCAGAGATCCATCAGCACCTGGAACAGAAGAGAAAAGCTGAAGGGGAGCTGAAGGATCTGAAAGCCCAGATCGAGGAAGCAGGATTCTCCTCTGTTTCCCACATCAGGTCAGACACAGGCACCCGGAAAAAAGGGATTCTTGGGGGCAGCTAGGTGGCGCAGTAGACAGAACACCAGCCCTGGGGATTCAGGAGGACCTGAGTTCAAATATGGCCTCAGCCACATAACACTTACTGGCTGTGTGACTCTGGGCAAGTCACTTAACACCATCGCCTGGCAAGAAAGAAAGAAAGAAAGAAAGGAAGGAAGGAAGGAAGGAAGGAAGGAAGGAAGGAAGGAAGGAAGGAAGGAAGGAAGGAAGGAAGGAAGGAAGGAAGGAAGGAAGGAAGGAAGGAAGGAAGGAAGAAAGAAAGAAAGAAAGAAAGAAAGAAAGAAAGAAAGAAAGAAAGAAAGAAAGAAAGAAAGAAAGAAAGAAAGAAAGAAAGAAAGAAAAGAGGGATTCTTCCAGGCTGGAGCTATGATACCCAAGAGGCTTGCTCTGTCCCAGCTGGGAGAGGCATTGGGGCACAGGCAGGAAGAGCATTGGCCTTGGCGGTAGGAGGGAGGGAACAAACATTTTATAAGCAGCTACTGTGTGCCAGGTGCTATCCTAAGCGCTTAACACATATTATCTTATTTGCTCCTCACAGCCATGATGGGGGTATTAGGCTATTTTATAGTTGAGGAAACAGGCAGACAGAGGTTAATATTATTATCTACAGTTGGGATAGAAACCTAGCTATGGAATAGAGATTGGGATGTCAGAGTGAGTGGAGTGCTGGATTTGGAGTCTGAGGCTCAGAAGCTTGAAGGGACCTTGGGGGTTTTCCACTCCACCCCTTTCATTTTACAGATGAGGAAACTGAGGCACAGGAAAGCTAAGCGACTTGCCCATGGTCACAAAGGCAGCAAGTGCCTGAGAATGGCTTGGAGCCCTGGTCTTCCTGATTCCAAGTCCAATACCCTAACCATTAAGCCATCAGTTTACCTGTATAATTTGGTACTGATATATATACCATGGTGCGTAATGGATAGAGAATTGGCTAGACCTGGATTCAAGTCCCAACTCTTACGTGTCCTGGTTGTGTGACCCAGGGCAAGTCACTTGGCTTCTAAGTGGTCCAGACCACTCTCTAAGACTATAAGTTGCAGATGAGTTGGTGATTAGAATTAAGAGAGGTTGTTTTCACATTGATGTTGGTCATAGGGCTGGACAAAATGTATGTTTGATAGAGAGCTCTCCTTGAAGCCAAGAAGACCTGGGTTTAAGCAGCAACTCTGGCATATATTGGCTGTGTGACCCTAGGCAACCTCAGGACTCTTAGACAACTGTCTAAAACTATAGATCTAGAAGAGGTGACAACCTATATTAGTGGAGGAAATTTCCTCACCAGGGAGTTCCTTGTACCAATGAAACCAGGGGTCCACTCTCTGTTTTCTCTCTGTCTCTGTCTTTCTGGCTGCCTCTCTCTGTTTCTGTCTCTCTGTCTGTCTCTGTCTGTCCCTCTATCTCTCTGTCTCTCAATGAGGAAGCCCCTTCCAGAATGAAACTTCTGGTTCTTCAATAGACAGTTATCACATAATTATGTTTGTTAAGGAGAACATGGGAAACGTTGTCGAGGTCCTGACCTGGTGCTGTGGGTCTGTGTGTGCATCCGCAGGAACACCTTGCTGAGTCTGTGCTTGGAGAACGCTGAGCTAAAGGAGCAGATGGGAGAAGCAATGTCTGAAGCCTGGGAAATGGAGGAAGACAGGGAGAAGGAAGAAGGGCTGGGGGAGGATGCCAGACGGGCTTTGAAAGAAGACAGCCTATGTGCTGAGGTCAGAAAGCTGCACGGGAAGCTGCGGAACGCCAATACCATAATCAACCTCCTCAAGGAGCAGCTGGCACTGAACAGCAAAGAAGGCGACGGTGAGCTGACTCCGCAGCTTATTGTCCGCTTGGCCGAGGAGATCGACCGTCTGAAGACGGAAGTTGTGTGGGCTCCTGGGAAGCCCTCGGCTCTAGGAGACCAGATCCAAGAAGACAAGGTGTCAAACAGGCCATATTCCAGACCCCAGCCCCTTGACCTTGTGTCTGTCCTTGACTTAAAGCTCAAGGATGGCTACCAGGTAAGTACAGGCTTCCGGGAGAGAAACTTGAACATGGAAGTCATTATGTCTGTCCCTAACTGGTGGATAAGTCACTGAAAGTGGGATGTAGGAGGTAGGAGCCTCCAAAGCCTGAAGGAGTACTTACTCATCATTACATTCTCTTCTGGGAACCACCCTTCCACTCCCCACTAATTGTCCTGGGAAACAATAGGGATGCTTCCCTCTGCCTCACCCCAAGTCTGACTTCCAAATCAAGATAGGGATGTCTCAGGGGTTAGAAGAGACCTTAGAGGTCATTTAACTCAAATCTTTATCTAATTCATGATACATATTTAGTTTTAATGATTTAGTCTTACATGTTACATATTTGGGGCAGCAAGTAGATAGAGCATTGGCCCTGGACTCAGAAAGACTCATCTTCCTGAGTTCAAATCCAGCCACAGACACTAATTAGTCGTGTGACCTTGATCAAGCCACTTTACCCTGTTTGCCTGAGTTTCCTCATCTGTAAAATGAGCTGGAGAAGGAAATGGCAAACCCCTCCAGTATCTTTGCTGAGAAAACCCCAAATGGGGTCACAAAGGGTCAGACAAGACTGAAATGATTGAACAACAAAAACCTATTTAGTCTGACAATTGTCTACTTAACCATTTTTAGTGATCAGGAACTCAGTCACCTTCTAAGGCATACATAATGTCTCATTTTAGTATTAAGAAGTTGGTGAGTAGGCCAGCTAGGTGGTGCAGTGGATAGAGCACCGGCCCTGGATTCAGGAGGACCTGAGTTCAAATCCGGCCTCAGACACATAACACTTACTAGCTGTGTGACCATGGGCAAGTCACTTAACCCCACTGCCTAGCCAAAAAAAAAAAAAAGTTGGCAAGTGGACCTGTGGCAGGCTGACTGGACCAGGTATAATACCCAATTGGTATGAGTCTAGGTAATACCTCTGATTATATATTAACACTCAGCCCACTGCCCTCATTGCTGGCCTTCTGACTCTGCTCTTTGCTCCAACTATGGAGCTCTTAGAGTTTACTGTTTTCACTGATATTTTTCTAATTTTGTTGTAAAGATAAATGTTGGCTACATTTTTTGTATAAGTATTTTTACAATCTCTCCCTACTTTAGGATTTAACTCTGGGAATGAGCAGGAATGATGGATTAGTACTTCCTAGGCTCATTTTAAGATGATGATAATGATAATAATAGCCAGTATTTATATAGCACCTACTATGTGCTGAGCACTGTTCAGTCACTGAGTCATGTCTGACTCTTCATGACCCCATGGACCATCCTACCCCAGGCCCTTCTATCCTCCACTATAAAGTCTGTCCAAATTCCCATTCATTGTTTCCATGACATTATCCATCTCATTCTCTGGAGTCCCCTTTTCCTTTTGCCTTCAGTCTTTTCCAACATCAGGGTCTTTTCCAATGAGTCCTATCTTCTCATGATGTGGCCAAAGTAGTTAAGCTTCAGTATTTGGCCTTCCAGTGAATAGCCTGAATTAATTTCTTTAATTATTGACTAATTTGATCTCCTTGCCGTCCAAGGGATTCTCAAAAGTCTTCTCCAGCACCACAATTCAAAAGCATCAATTCTGTAGATCTCCGCTTTTCTTAATAGTCCAACTCTCACAGCCGTGCAGTGCTGCTGGAAAAACCATAGCTCTGACTCTGTGGATCTTTGTCAGAAAGCTGATGTCTCTGCTTGTTAAGCATGCTGCCCAGATTTGCTAAGAGCTTTGTAATTATTACCTCATTTGATGCTCACAACCACTCTGGGAGGTAGGTGCTATTATTATCCTCATTTTACAGATAAGGAAACTGAAGCCAACAGAAGTTAAATGATTTGTCCTGAGTCATATAGATAAGAAATGTCTAAGGCTGCATTTGAACTCGGGTCTTTTTGACTTCAGGACCAGTGCTCTAACCACTGCACTACTGAACTGCGATAATGAATAGCTATGCAATCTGTGCTTGAAAAACTAGCTTTGGGGAGCTCACTACCACCCAAGGCAGCCTGTTCCATTTTTGTACAGATTTAATTATTTAGAAGCTTTTTTCTTTTACCTTAAGCCTAAATCTGGCGGTGTTATCGCTCTTCCACGTTACTACCATTCCAACCCTTGAAGGTAGTAATTAGGCCCCTGCCCAGTATCTTGTACTTTCCAAGCCAAATGCCCCTTCTTCTCCTGAGTGTCTTCATTGGCAAATGCTCTCTTTCTGCCTCTCTCAGGTGGACAGCCAAGGCCGGCTCAGTAGCCATGGGTCACCAGCAGAATCTAGTCCGCATGGGCCAACTCACCAGCTCCGCACCCAACTGGAACAGTGTAGACAACGCTACCAAGATCTCCAGGAGAAACTGCTGGTGTCCGAAGCTACAGTCCAAGTCCAGGCCAGCCAGCTGGAGCAATACCGAGTCTTATTTCGTAAGTTCTGGGTTAATAAAGTCATCAAACTGATGAATTGTGCATTACCTTAGATGTTAGTAGTAGGTAGATATCTTAGATTTCTCTGAAGAGCTCAAAATACTTTATAGGCTTTTAAAAAAAATTTTTATATTAAATCTGTCCTTCCCATGTTTCTGGAAAGGGGGAAGAAGGGTAATTTTTTTTTACTCCATTTTGCAGATGGGAAAACTGAGGCTCAGTGATCTGAAGCAATTTGATCCAGTTTATATTCTAAGCAGGACTAGAGCTAAATTCAGACTTTTGGATTTTTGATAAAGGCTACTCTTCCTCTCTAAGGGCAGGCTAATGGACTCCTCTTCATCCATACATACCAGTCTACTGTCCTTCACAAACTGATGGCATGGCCGCTGGTCCAGATAGTTTAAGATTTTCAGTTTGTTCCTCAGTTAAATTCTCTTCACCCATCTTTAGAGCTGAAACCTAAAATAAGTGCCTGAATAATATATTGATCTGAGCAAAAGTAAGCATTAACGCAGGGCTCATTAATGTTACACCTTACATAGTTACAAAATTTTTTTAATGTATTTGCCAACTTGTTTAAGTTTGACAGCAACTCCATGTGGTAGATGGTGTAAGTAGGGGAAAAAATACCCATTTTTCGGATGAGGAAAACAGAGACTCAGAGCTTTTTTCTTTAGAAGCTTCCCTGCTGTTATATAGCTAGCAAATGGCACAGCCCTCCCTCAGGTCTTCTAACTTCAAGCCTGGCACTCTTTTCACTTGTCCCGTGAAGGAGGCCTCTCCCCCATCAGTGATGGATGGAGCAGGAAGCAACTTCTTCTGTAAAAGTTCAAACAAATCATGTGTCAAGCTCCAGAAGTGATATGCCCACTCAGTCTGGGATGATTATGGTGATGATGCCACCAGACTAATGGAGTAGAGGCTATGACAGACACAACCATTCTCTCTTCTTGGCCAGGTGAGCCCGGGGTGAAACAGGACAGCAAGCAGGTCCAGGTGGATCTCCAGGACTTGGGATACGAGACGTGCGGCCGGAGCGAGAATGAGGCTGAGCGAGAAGAAACCACCAGCCCTGGTAAATAAAAAATGGAGAGAGAGAGAGGAGAGAAAGGAGAGAGAGAGGAAGGAGAGATGGAGAGAGACAGAAAGAGAGTGAGGAGAGAGAGAGAGAGAGAGGAGAGAGAGAGAGAGAGAGAGAGAGAGAGAGAGAGAGAGAGAGGAAGGAGAGAGAGGAGAGAGAGAGAAAGAGGAGAGAAAGAGAGAGAGGAGAGAGAGAGAGAGGAGAGAGAGAAGAGAGAGAGAGAGAGAGAGAGGAAGGAGAGAGAGGAGAGAGAGAGAGAAAGAGAAGAGAGAGAAGAGAGAGAGAGAGGAGAGAGAGGAGGAGAGAGAGGAGAGAGAGAGAGAAAGAGGAGAGAAAGAGAGAGAGAGAGAGAGAGAGAGAGAGAGAGGAAGGAGAGAGAGGAGAGAGAGAGAGAGAGGAAGGAGAGAGAGGAGAGAGAGAGAGAAAGAGGAGAGAAAGAGGAGAGAGGAAGGAGAGATGGAGAGAGACAGAAAGAGAGTGAGGAGAGAGAGAGAGAGAGAGAGAGAGAGAGAGAGGAAGGAGAGAGAGGAGAGAGAGAGAGAGGAAGGAGAGAGAGGAGAGAGAGAGAGAAAGAGGAGAGAAAGAGAGAGAGAGGAAGGAGAGATGGAGAGAGACAGAAAGAGAGTGAGGAGAGAGAGAGAGAGAGAGAGAGAGAGAGAGAGAGAGAGAGAGAGAGAGAGAGAGGAAGGAGAGAGAGAGAGAGAGAGAGAGAAAGAGGAGAGAAAGAGAGAGAGAGGAAGGAGAGATGGAGAGAGACAGAAAGAGAGTGAGGAGAGAGAGAGAGAGAGAGAGAGAGAGAGAGAGAGAGAGAGAGAGAGAGAGAGGAAGGAGAGAGAGGAGAGAGAGAGAGAAAGAGGAGAGAAAGAGAGAGAGAGAGAGAGAGAGAGAGAGAGAGAGAGAGAGAGAGAGAGAGAGAGAGAGGAGGTGGGGATGAGTGTGCGTATCTCCTTTCCTTCTTCCATGAAAGCCAGCTTTGCCACTCGGACCTTGAGCAAAGTTGCCTTCTTCCTTCACCAATCAGCTCAATAATGTGAAATGATTATGGACAGAGGGTATTTTTATGGAGACCAGCTTAAGGAGAGAAAAAGGGTGTGCACCCCCTACTCTTTGCAGTTGTGGAGGACTGTGGATATGAAATACTACACACACATATACATACATATCTATATGTACGTATATATATACTTAAACACATACATATATATAATTAGATTTTTTGAAATATATTGGTTAGTTTTGCTGAAATTTTTTTTTTCCCTCTTAATTTTTTTTGTTGTAAGTGATGGCCATCAGAGAGTGGGAAAAGGGGGAAAGGAGATACATTGGGAAATGTAGGTGACATAAAAACAGAAGTGACATCATTTATCTCAAAAAAGAGTGTATGCGAGCTTCGTATAGTCTTAACATCATGTTTTTGATGCTGCTAATGAGAAAGACATAAAATAACCAATCAACTGATTTCTCTAGAATCAGAATAAAATAGAAAAAATGTTTGTCAGTGACTGATAATGGAAGAACTTTTGAGTCTTTGAAATATTGTAGGACTGTGGAGGTTTTGATCCCTGAGTAACCATTTATCCTGCTGTTCTTGGGAAAGTCTTCAAAATAAAAATATGAGGCTTGTCTAGTGTCTTACCAGCTTTTTCCCTGTCCCACCTTGAAGGTCCTGCCTCCTTAAAGGTTCATACTTGAATGGCCTTGGAATCCAGTGGACACTTACTAGCTTGGAGACCATGGTCAAGGCACTTCCCTTCTGAACCTAAATTTGCTGAGATGTAAAACAGGGATAATAATACTTTTAACTGCATCTTTCCAGAGCCATAGCTAAGAAGGGGTCACTGGACCTTGGCCCCAGAGGACCAACATCCTCGGAGCTGGGGAGAATGCTTCCTCCCCAGAGTGGTTCTACCAAGCAAGAGAAAGAGTAAGGACTGCTGCAGGGAAGGAAAACCCCTCAGATATTGGCAGCCTGAGGAGAGGGGCAAGGAAAGGGGGAATAAGCATTTATATAGCACCTACTGTGTGTCAGGCACTATGCTAAGCCCTTTTACAAATATCATCTCCTTTAATCCTCACAACAGCTCTGTGAGGGAGGTGCTATTATTGTCCCTATTTTAAAATGGAGGAAATGGAGACAAACAGATTAAGTGACTTGCCCAGGGTCACACAGCTTGTGAGTGTCTGAGGCCAGGTTTGAATTCAGGTCTTCATGCCTCCAGGTCCAGTGCTCTATCCACTGAGCTACCAGCTGTCTTTTTTTAATTTCCCCTGAGGAGAGGATTATTGGGTCGTGGACTTAGAGCTGGGTGTTCCCTTAAATACCTTGTCTTCTCATGCCCTTGGTTTATTCCACATTAGCTACACAGGGATGAACAAATCCTCGATCATGCCATCATCCGCAAATGTTCTACTTGCCTGTTTGAGAACGCTGAATTTCCCTCATATGATCGTAATCGTTTATCTTTGCATTTTCTCCTCCTAAAACTCTTCAGTCCCTCTGTGCTCTCCCAAGCCAACACTCCTGTTCCGGATACGTTCTCCTTTCTCAATCTACCGCGTCTGCAAGATATTCTATAGCTCTGTTCCCTTCTGAGTTAAAATCCTTCAAAAATTCACCTACGCTTCCTGCTTCTTCCCCCCTCCTCTCACTCTCTTCTAAACTCTCTGCAATCTGACTTCTAAATGCATCCAACTGAAATGGCTCTCTTTAAAGTTACTCATACTCTCTTATTGACATTGGGCAGCTAGGTAGTACAGTGGATAGAGTGCTGGGCCTGGAGTCTGGAAGACTCTTCTTCCTGAAGTCAAATCCAGCCTCAGACACTTACTAGCTGTGTGACCCTGGGCAAGTCACTTTAACATGGTTTGCCTGAGTTTCCTTATCTGTAAAATGAGCTGGAGAAGGAAATGGCAAACCTCTCTAGTATGTTTGCCAAGAAAATCCCTTTCATTCATCTGACTCCTTCTTGGCCTCTCTGTATCATTTGATACCACTGACGAGCTTTTGTTGTTGCATACTCAGCTGGGTTTTCATCAGGACTCTCTCTTGGTTTTCCTCCTACCTGTTTCTGTTTTCCTTCTCAGTCTGCTTGATTGGGTCTACATTTTTATCACACTCACTCACTTGTGGGGCTACCTCTCCAGGCTTGTACCTTTCTCTCTCTGACTACTTTCTGTCTTCTCTGAATCTATCTTGTATGTACTGATTTATGTATATGTCTTCTCACTCACTGGAATGGAAGCTCCTTGAGGGCAAGGACTGTTTTGGCTTTTTCTTAGTACTTCCAGAATTTTAGCACAGTACCTGCACATTTTAAGTACTTATTAAGTGTTTGTTGACTGACTGACTGACTGACTGATTGATTGATTGATAATCTAACACTCCTTGTATAGATAAGGAAACTGAAACTTTAGGAGATCAGGTGACTTGACTGAGGTGATGTAGGTAGTTAAGTAACTGAGGCAATTTGAACTTAGTTCATCTGAAGCCAGCACTCTTTTCACTGAGGCCCAAAGTCAAAGCACTTCAGGATTCCCTTGCCATTGCTCCTGTCTCTTGGGTTCCAGTGGCAGCAGGTAGCAGCCTTGACTTGTCCCAAGGTCTCTGGCTTGTCCCAGCCAACCAAATGACTTTGCCCAAGAACTGGAATTCTCCATTATATTGTCACATAAGGCTGTTGTGGGTTAATTTTATTTTTATTTATTATATATTTTATTTGTTTTTATAGACTATGAAATGCTACCTAAGTGTAAATTATTACTGTTGTCACCAGATGCTCATTGAGATGAGTCTCTTTTTTCTTTCACAGAGTGTGAAGAACACGACGTCTTCAGTGACGCCAGGCTAACTGAGGGCTTACACTCTCAGTACAATTTTCTGGGGTCAGCACTGACCAGTTCCCCTCTAAAGAAGCCTTTGGGGAAACAGACGGATTTCTTGGACTATGGAAAATCAGAGGACATTGCTGTCCTCCAGCAGCACATCAGAGACCTGAAAGCGAGGCTGCAAAACTCAGACAAGGTCATCCAGAATCTGAAATGCCGAGTGCGCTCTTTCTCTGTCACCAGCGACTATGCCTCTAGCCTGGAAAGGCCCAGAAAAATGAAGCTGAAGGGTGGTGATCTCACGTCCTCCCCATCCCACAGCCTCACGGATGAGGATGAGGGGTGGCAATCTGATGGCATGGGGGTCTTCTGCCCTCCTAAGATGCAGGCCAGAAAAGATCTGGAGAAACTCATCCAGAGAGTGTCCCTGTTGGAGGCCCAACTTCCAAAATCCCAGGTGGAAGGGAAGCTGGTGGAGGAGCTGAAATCAGCCACCTGGCCAGGGTGAGGGGGAAACCAATTTCAGATGGGCAGAACCAGGGGGAGGCTGAGTTTGAGTTGGGAACATAATTACCAATTTAAAGTTGGAAGGGACCTCAAAGGTCTTATCCACTCCACTGCCCTCATTTTACTGGGCAACAGTAGGTCCCTGGCCAAGTCCTTCTTGGTCATTGTTTGGGCCTTGATTGGCTCAGAATGACTGTAAATAGCAATTGTCTCTGTTCTGGCCAGAAGCCCTGAGGATCTTTCCCTCCCAGCTCTGTTTTTTCCCTTTTATTTTCATTTATTTATTTATTCATTAAGTCATCTGTCTTTATGTATTTATTTATTTACTTATTCATTCATTTATTTGTTTGTTTATTTATTTTACTAGGTAAGAAGCCATTCTCTGCCTCATTTCATATTAAGCTTTAATCACTGAATGAGTTTTACTTCAAGTCACCTGAGACCTATTGGAGACCTTAGCTTGAAAAGGCCAAGGTCTCCCACTGCCTCCTGGGCCATCTGCAGTCGTCCTGATCTACATCTGTCCACTGGACCCAGATGGCTCTGGAGGAGAAAGTGAGGCTGGTGACTTTGCACAGCCCTGCCTCACTTAAACCCCATTCACTTGCATGTCATGGGCATCACCTCCCTGATGCCATGGCCCTCTTCTAGTTTGAAGGATGAACAACAACAGGGGGCCTAGAGAGGGGAAGGGACCTGCTTAGATCACACGGGTAGTTAGTGACTGAGCCAGTAGTTGATCCCAGGTGTCTGATTCCAAACATAGTGTTCTTTCCACTGCAATACTCTCTGAGATTGGGTTGGGTGGGTTAGTACCCAAAGAGGTTTTGATGAAGAGGGAGATTACTACTACTTACCTTCTTGCTGGCCCATAGAGTTATTTTTTTAACTTTTTAAAAATATATTTTTTAATTTATTTCATTAAATATTTCCAAATTACATGTAAAAAAATCACATTTAAAAATTTCGAGTTCTAAATTCTCTTCCTCCTGCCCATTGAGAATGCAAGCAATATAGAGTCAGGTAAAATATATTTCAATATTAACTATGGGCTTGTGTTAATTTCATTCTATGACAATTCTGGCTTCTCCTTTCAGTAGAATATAAGCTTTAGAGCCTTGCAAATAGTGGGAACTTAATACTGTTTGCTAAATTGACCCTTTGCCTCATTCACCTTCTTACCGGTGACTCCTCAAGACCTTAAGATCCAAGAATCCCAGGGGCTATGGCATCATCCCTTTCCCATACAACACTATTATTGTTCTTTAAATATATATATATATATATATATATATATAGTTTTGCATTCACCCACTCTATAAACCCAGTGAGTACTTATGGGGTGTGATGGAATGTATATATAGCCAGGAGAGAGAAAGCAATTAAAAACCATTTGAGCTATTTTTATAAGACTAGATTTTCCTTGTGGGAACAAAGAGACAGTAAAAGAGGAGTTTTTGCAAGTAGGATCCTAGATTGAGAACTAGAAGGAGCCTTAGAGGCATTTAAGTCCCACCCCCTCATTTTACAGATATGGAAACTGAGGCACAGAGGTTGAGTGACTTGCCTAGGGTCACACAGCAAAGAAGGATTTGAATCCAGATCTTTCAACTGCAGGTCCAGCATTCTATCTCTTTTTACAATATGCTGCCTCTTGACATCCTGACAAGGGAAGTTCTTTGTGGGGCAACAGAATATAATGTGTATGTTATACTGGTTTAATAAAGTATAGTGGATAGAGCATTGGGCTTGGATTGGGCTTGGGATGGGTTTCAATCCCACCCCAAACATTTAGCAGCTTAGTATGACTAAAGGCAAGTCACTTTCCCTCTTAAAATCTCAGTTTCCTTATCTATAAAATAGGGATGGTAAAGCACTATTTTATCATACAGGATTGTTGTGCTACATATGTGTAAGTTAGTATTAAAGTGTAAAGGGGGGAGGGTCGATGTGTCTCCTCTTCTCCCTCACTCTGCTAAGCATGGGTGTACCGGGTATTTGTCGGCACCTGAGAGGCACCTTCTCTTTGAGGGTGGGCCTTCTTAGTTACAGTGGAAAAGCACTACTCAGATGCCTCCAACAGCCTAAGCTCTAGAATCAGTTGGATTGGGTACTTTCCTTGTTCTTTATTAGATGCTTCCAAAGGCTCAAACTCTAGAATCAGTTGGATTGGGTCCTCTCCTTTCCTTATTGGGTGCTTCCAAAGGCCCAAGCTCTAGAATCAATTGGATTGGGCACCTTCCTTGTTCTTTATTAGATGCTTCCAAAGGCCCAACTCTAGAATCAGTTGGATTGGGCACTTTCATTCTTTCTTTATTAGAGGCCTCCAAAGGCCCAAGCTCTAGAATCAGTTGGATTGGGTCTGTTTTTTTCATCGTTATCCTTTGGTTTCTCCTCATGGCACAGATGATTCTCAGTGTCTGTGACAAAATTCCGCCTGCGACAAGAAGGGGATCTCCATGGGGGCTGGCAAACTGCCTCCCAGAATCCCCAGAAATAACATAAACCTCCTTTTTCACCTTTGTTCTTCATTCTCCCCTCCCTCGTGCTTCAGGAAATATGACTCCTTGATCCAGGCTCAGGCCCGAGAGCTGTCCCATCTGCGCCAGAAGATACGGGAAGGGAGAGGTGTGTGCCATAGCCTCACCCAGCACCTGAGGGACACTGTTAAGTCTTTTGAGGACCTCCTCCGAGGCACGGACATTGACTACTACTTGGGACAGAGCTTCCGGGAGCAGCTTGCTCAGGGGAGCCAGTTAGCAGAAAGACTCGCCAATAAACTCAACACCAGTAAGTTGTCCCACGGGCATCTGCTAGAGGCATTTAGTCCATTTCATCCCCACCCCACCCCTGATGTGTGTGTGCTTCCATGATAAGCCTTTTTTGTACCTGGTTCTACTATGTTCCTACACATTTGACCAGAGGAGCCAACTGGAAGAAAGTGGTCAGCCAGCAGGAGCAAGCCAATGAGCATTTATTAAGCAGTTACCCTATGCTAGACACTGTACTAAGAGTGTATTGTCAATCAATCACAGCCTCTAACCTGTGGATAGCTGGAGCTGAACAGAGCAGGCCAGAGACAGGAGAGGCAGGAATCAAACAGAAGTCTCATTTCAAAGTGAGGGAAATGGCTTCTAAGCAAAGACACGTGCCGGAGCCCTGCCCCTAATCAGGAAAACACGAGGCAGTGTGGGGAGATCTCAGTACTCATATAGTGGCTACACAGTGAGCTGTATCCCCGACAATGAGAAGTAACAGCAACAATGAGGCGAGTCTGTTTCATAGCAGGGCTTCATGATTGGAACAGGGGTCCTACAGGTGCTTGTCAGAGCTCAGAGAACCCCTGGTGCTGGCCAAAGCAATGCAATAATTATGTGATTTTGCCAGAGGGTAAGTGCAAAGGATTGGTGTTATGTCAAGCTCAGGGCACAGCTTGTTTGCTGGGCATTAGCTCTAGAGTCTCTCCTAAGATCTTGGCAGTTTTATACAAATACAAGCAGAAAGACACTCCTTACCCTTGAGAAGTTTACATTCTAATAGGGGAAGACGACGCTTTATAAGATAGGGAAAAGAGAGGAGTGGGTGTTCAGGGACCCAGTAGGTGGGAGACAGAAGGGGGAATGCTAGAAAAAATCCTGTGTGTAGAATTAGGAGTGAAGCCTAGAGGGGAATGCTGACATGGTTGGCTGGGGCTTCCTTAAGATGGAGTTTCCAGGAGGAACCAGCCGATCAGAAGGGAAAGGTCCTCAAGAACAGGGAAGTCCTTCCAACGTAAGCAGTCCAGGGGTCTAGAGCGGGCTTCCAAGGTGAATGAATTGGTTTTTATAGCATGTGGAAAGTCAGGAGTATAGCATGGAGTGTGATGATGCTTGGTTCTCCAGGAGTGGCCAGGTGATGGTGGAGAGAGCAAGGAGAGATACGCAATACTGCTGGGCATTTGGGGAGAGGGCTTATAATGCCATTGCAGCTTAATTTCTCAATTCAATTCAATAATTATCTCAAGTTGCCTACTACATGCAGGGCACTGTGTGTTGAGTGCTTGGGGAACAGAGATTTTTAAAATGACCTAATAATACCTACCTTCAAGGAGTTTACGTTTTTACTAAGGGTGGGGGGAGATATCACCTCATTCTTACAAATAGTAAAGTATAATGTGGATATAAGGTGGCATATGATTATTATTAATGGGAGTTGACTTTTTTATGAAATTAATTTCAATAGTGAGCAGCAAAGAAAAAACAAGAAGATGGGTTTGTGAAGATTTAGGGGGGGTGTAGAGTTATGGATTTGTCTAAGAGACAAGGATAAAATTGGTATGGGTGGATCTGTCCCACCAGTTTCAACAACCACAGTTATGATTGTAATACTCTTCAGAGACCGAAAGGGAAGCCATGTGTCTGAGACCAGGCCAATGGCAGGACTGTGAAGCTGTGGAATTCCTTAGGAGGATCTTTTTTTTGTCCTTGTCTCCAGTCTGTTATAACTGCTCTGGGATATAAGGGGGGGCTTTGCAGAAGAATTAAACCAGACAGTGATGCAAAGCCAACAGGCTTTTATTTGGCATGCTTTAATCCACACCAGAAAGTTTACATGGTTTATCTTTGGAGATACCTCAAGGTGAAAAGACAGGACACCAAAGGAAGGTTACTGGGTCAACACTCTTACCCTGCCCCCCCCCCCAAAGAGGGCAGCACCTGGCAGACACCTACAAAGTGACGAAAAGATAAGGGGAGAAGGGATGCAAGAGCGGATGTGAACAGAGCCTGAGGCACAATGATCCTTAGGCTATGGCAGGATGGGGGAGGAGGGAGGCTAAACCGATCCTTGGAGAGACCATGCCTTGGATTTGGTGCACCATTATACTAAGCCAGGGGTGGGGAACCTCAGCCTCGAGGCCACATGTGGCCCTTCTAGGTCCTCAAGTGCGGCCTTTGACTGAATCCAAACAAATTCCCTCTAGGTCGTCAATCCCTTTTATTAAAGGGATTTGTTCTGTGAAGTTTGGATTCAGTCAAAGGCAGCACTTGAGGACCTAGAAGGGCCACATGTGGCCTTGAGGCTGAGGTTCCCCACCCCCAATAGGTGTTTTATTGGGAAGGGCAGTCTCATCATATTGACTAGGAAGCTGAAAGTTTTCTAGGTATTCCAGAAAAGGGAGGGGGGGAACAAGTAAGAGAAGGGGGACTATAGAGAAACAGTATCTACCTCTCCAGGCCCTGAAAACCAGCAAGGATTTCTGTACTACCATAGTCCTTAAGAGTTGGGAAGGAAGCAAGAGTAACCTTTCACCCTGTTGAAACTCTTGCCTATTGGCATGACCTTATGAAGTATACCTGGCCTGCTTCCCTGAAGACCATCAAACAATGAAAGGAGAATGAAAGTGTGTTGGGAGGTGACCTACCCTGAGCACCCCAGCCCCCCATCCAAGCGAAGGGGATCATTTCTCTTCTTTCAAGAAGCCCCCGTTGTTTACCTGCATGTACAGGATGAATTTTTTTCATTTCTAATTAGACCTATCTGGATTTTTTTTCCAGAGGATCGAGGGAAGGTGGATGACCATTCAAGCCACGAGCTACTGGCCCTCAGGTAAATTTAAACTAGGACTGAGTGATGGGGTGTCAATGGGGAATCTCTTTTCCTGAAGTAAACAGATGGGAGATTAGAGTGGTTAAAGGCAGTTGTGCTTCCTACAACAGTTAAAAATGGCTAAAAAATAGGGACTGCTCTTTATACATACAGACATTTTCATTTGTGTAGAAAGTTTGCTTTTTTTTCCTTTATTTTGACATCTTCTCTGTTTTCATTTGTCTGTTCATTTTTCAAGCTTAGTAACCTAACCTAAGTTGGATTTAAAAGGTCAACTAACCAGGCCCCAGGAGACGCTATACTTGACTGGGCACAGAAAAAAAGATTTTTTTCGACCAGCTTATTGCAAGGCTTTGGGTCTGCTAGTTGACACACATCTATCTCTCCTGTGTCTTGCTTGGCACTATCACCTCCCTGCTCTTGGGCAGGTGTTCTGAATCACTGATCTTCATCCTCCTCCCCTCCCCCCAACCAATCTAAGAGGTTCAATGAGGTTTTCTTTGCCTCTCCTAAAGGAATCCTCCCTTCTGCCTCTGGGGTCTCACTCTCAAGCTTTCCAGAAGGGTGGGCTGTGGCCGTGGTCACTGGCAGACGACTACGCCTTCATCTTCTGTCCTCTCCTTACCACCAGGCTCAGCAAGGAGCTACAAGAAAAGGAGAAAGTGATTGAGGCCCTGCAGTCCAAACTCAGCACTCGATCCCTGACTCCCTCCAGCAGCCATGCCCACTCCGACTCCCATCGTTCTCGGAGCAGCACCTCCTTCCTATCTGATGAGATGGAAGCCAGCTCAGACATGGATGTGGCCAGCGAATATACCCAGTATGAAGAAGACTGTGCAGACAAAGCTCCGACCAACATCCTGGGTAAGCCTCAGAGCTCTAGGGACTTACTCCTACTGTGTTTTAGACGGGGATTTGCAGATCACTCCGAGCTGCTTAAAGAATGGTGCTGTTGGGTTTGAGGCTCATGTTCCATTGAGCCAGTTAGCTTTGCCATGTTCTATGCTTACAGAGTTCATCTCAAAGTCCTACTGCCTTTTCTCAAATGCATCCTATGGGTCACTAGGATAGTTGTAAGGGAGAGAGGGTAATCGATGAGGAGACAGTGTCTGCATTGTTGTAAATTCTCTATCGCTACTGACAGCACAACAGAATATCTTACCATGCTCATTTGGAGGGTCTTGGCCTCATTCTCATATCAAAGGCTAACTCATGCATCAGTCCCTCCTTAGTAAATTTCCATCTCACCTGTGCCAGCCTTGATATTGATTAGTTCCCAAACAATCTGCTCTCTAGGTATCTTTTATCACCCAAAGCTTCCATCAGCCTACCTCACTGCTTTTTGGAACATCCATCATTGAGGGCTCTAGGCCCCATCTTATACGAGTTGGCTTCTTCACTGAGGTATCTCCATTCCAAATATAGATCTTCTTTCCAAGGAAATACAGATATGAATAAGGTGATCTCTAGAGATGGTTTGCGGTGTTTAATATGGGTGACACTCTGGGCCCCTAGTATTTCCTGGGAAAACAGTCAGAATTGCACTGCTCTGTATAACACAAAACCTTCTCTTTCACTCATGGGTTTTGTAGACTCCATCCATCATTCAAGTAACAATGCAGCTCCTTCATCTAATCTATCCTCTGCCACTACATCTCATGGGACTAAGAAGGAATCCAGCAGCATCCCTGCAACCATGCCATCTTCTCAGAAACCCCCCAAGGAGGCCAGCCAGGCACATGCAGGTATGCACTAGCCCATACAGGTATGGGACAGCAGCTTCCTGAAGAGGACATCAAAAATCCATCCTTGTCCCAGAACTCCACCCAGTTCTACCTGTTCAAAGTTGCCTTCCTCCTTCTGGCTTCAATGAACAGTTGGATGGTTAAGGGTTCACATGGGTTAATTTTTTTTTATGGAAAACTTCATGGGACAGCCACAACTCTATGGCTGTATTGGAATATTGTATTAATTTTACAGAATATGAGTGACATCCATTGGTTTAGATTGAAAGTCTTATTTTTATGCAAAGACTTCTCTGTGATGGTAGTTTTTATAACATATTCTGACGTCTATTTACCTATTTCTTTCTGCGATTATGGCAGTGATATGTGCCTCATTGTTAAACTGATTTCTTTAAATAAGTATTTTCATTTCCATTTGTTACGGGGACCCTGAGGACAGAGGGTTGAAAATAGCTACTTTACTAAGAGACCACTGAAACTTGAATTTGAATCATTGGTCTAACTAAACTTTTAGAAAGCCCTATGTCCAACCAGAGACCTCATAACCCTTGTCATTAGTGTCATAGTTTCTCTTCATCCTGGGAAGCAGCTGTGGAGTCTGAAAAGTGGAGTCCTGGGAGTCAGATCTGAGTTCAAGTCCGTGTTCTAACACTGGCTATGTGATCTTGGTCAGATTACCCAACCTTTAGATATCTTAATTTTCCCACATGTAAAATGAAGATGATAGATTTGGGGCAGAAAGTACTTTGGAAATGTTAAATTACTATGTAAATTTGAGCTATTTTTCTTATCTTCATTTCCACAATGGGATTTGACTCCTGCAGCTCCCCCAGAATTTGGTCTGAGCTTATTTTCTGCCCACCCTAATCTTTCTCAGGAATAGTCTGGCTTTCATTTGAAGGAAAAGGAAGTCCCATGTGTCCCTCTTAAGCAAGCAGTCTTCATTGACTGTGTCTGTAAGAGATCATTAGGAGGAAGCCCAGCACTGGGGCTTCAATACCTTTAAGCAAGCAGGTTACTGGACATCTAGGTGACTTCTCTGAGGTCAGATAATTTAAATCAAATATTTATCGAATCCCCTACTGTGTTCAAGGCACTGTTTTGTTCTATAGGATAAAACAGAAGAAAACTTAGAACGCCAAAGTCTTCAATTTTAGACTTTGAATGTCTCCTCGGTCAGAATAACATTGGCATTTTGGATGACATGAAAATGACAAATCTCAGGGCTAGCGGCATCTTAGGGACTCAGGACATTTAGGATAATAGCATTTAAAAATGGAAAGGTCTTAGATCATCTAACTTGTTCACACGGCCTCATTGTATAGGTAAGGAAACTGAAAACCAGATGCAAAAGACCTGCTTGGGATGACATTGGCAGTAAATAGCAGCTCTGGGGTGCATATACACCCCCTTCCTCTGACTCCAAATCCACTCCTTTTTTTCTCTCGCTGCCTCTACAACTTGGAATTTAGCAAAAATCTTTCTATGATCAAACTCTGGAGGGCTAGCCTGCTGCCTCAGAGAGAGGGTAGGGAAATGTCATCTGGCATTTAACAAGCCAGATCCCTGATTTCATGGTAACCCAGACTACATTTTAAAAGGCTGCCTCTGTGGGGATAAGGAGAGGGAAGCCTCGCAGAAGGTAAGAAGTCAATTTTTGCCTTTTCAGTAAACACCAAGCCTCACTCTAAAGCTGTCTGGAATTAGTCTCAGTCTCTCTCTCTCTCTCTCTCTCTCCTCTCTCTCTCTTCTCTCTCTCTCTCTCTCTCTCTCTCTGTTTCTCCCTCTTCTCCTCTCTATCTGCCTCTGTCTCTTCATTCTCACACTCTCTCCCTTTAATGATTTTTTCCCCCTTTCTCCCCATCTTTTTTGTTTTTGTTTCTTTGTTTCTAGGCCTTTATTTTAACTCCATCCCCAAGCCAGTTGGCATTTGCCAGCCTCCACTTTCCTCGACCCCCTCCATCTTTCTGCCTTTTGGCCCCCCTTCCCCCGCCATTCCTCCCCTCATTGGCTGCTGTGGGACATCAGTGCTCTCCTTGGCAGAGGCTCAACAGGAGTTGCAGATGCTACAGAAGCAGCTGGGAGAAAGTGAGAGACTCCCAGTGGATTTATTCCCTCTCTGTGGCATGTGGCTCTGCATGGCTTTCAGTAAATCGTGTGGCTTAAAATTAAAAAAAAAAAGATGTATTTGCAAACTTTGAAGCAATTGCAGATTGGGGGCAACGCGGCCCTGCTTGCTTGGTACATACAGACATTCATTCAACCACAATTGGCTGAGAGGTGTGTGTGTGTGTAGTGTGTGAAAAGCCTTTATTCATGAGATGTTGGATACAGTCCATTTACTGTAGCTGCGTATGAATACAAGAATATCGAAAGCAATAGCCTTTACTGCATTGGAGGATTTCACTTCCCTCCGATGAGGTTGGTGCTGTGGAATCTTTAGATGAGACCCTGGAGAAGACAGGGGAGAAGTGGCCCCTTCCAGTCTATACTATCCCCCTACCTGGAAAATGCTCATTAGCAGTATAGTCTCATCCTGAGAACAGCCTTGAAAAACAGCCAAGAGACAGACCAAGAAGGCAGAAGGCAAACTATTCCTTTTCCCCCATTGCAGAAGCTGCTATGTCTGGTCTGGTCTGGTCTGGTCTGCCACTGACCAGGTGAGTGACAGACCCAGAGACCAGAACAGGATGTGGGATTTGTGGGTGAATGCTATGTACTGCACATTGTAGGATGGTCCCATACACACCCTCCCCATATCTTGGGCTACTCACCTTTCAGGAGTCCTCAATTCCTGTATTGGCTCTACCCTTCTTTGAAAGGTCAATTTCATGGGACCAGCTATAGCCAAAATAATAATAATAATAATAATAATAATAATAATAATAATAATAATTTAAAAAACCAACAAAACTCTTTTCACCCCATGGATTGCTCAATCTGGCAGAGCCATGAATGTTTCTGGCTATGGGAGTATTTTCTGTATAAAGAAACTAAATGGACTTGAAAATACCACCTGTAACAAGCCTGGGGTGGGGGATGCTGGGGCTGGTCATTGAGTGGAGGGACCTGGTCAGTGTCAGAGAAGCCTTTTGCCCAGAATCCACAAATTATTGAGCCTGAAAAGGTGAGTGTGCCAAAGTAAAAGTGTGTAGAATCAGCCACACTTGGACTCATTCCCCTTGATGTTTTTCAAATTTGTTCTCAAGATGAGGCTACATATCTACAATAGTCAGTTTTGGGCTATTGGTAAATGGAGCTCAGTTCAGTGGAACATGAGGGCCTCTAAGTAACCCGAACTAGCCAGCATAGCCTGGTAGTTTGAAACCTAACTGAACAAAGACCTCTTTCCCAGAGGACACAGAGATTATGAAATCTCTTTCCAGAAGAGGAGAAGCATTCATCCGCCTGGTCTGGCTCAGCTTCAAGTACAATTCTGCCCAGAATAGGAAGGCTGAATGAGGCAATTGCTGAAGGTCCCTTCTGGAGATGTTTTGTGATTTCTCCTCTTTCTGAAGGACTAAAGAGAGGTATCAAACACCAGCTAAGAAACAGAGGATTTAGAGGCAAGGGCTGCTAGAAAATCCTCTTTCCCTATGCCCAAATGGCAGAGACTTTCCCAATTGCTGCAGAATCATAGAATCTTAGAGCTGGGAGGGTAGAAGTCATCTGGTCCTTTCCTTTCTTCCTTCTCCAGTTCCTTTTGTTTCTGGTCAGCTTGACCTGATCCAAAGGGAAAGATGGAAAAAAGACAAGGGAGAGAGTCCCTGACACAGCCCTGCGAGGAAGGAAGCCTGCAGAGGATGCCGGCATTCCTACACTGGCCTGAACGGGAAGAGCGTCTGGCATCGGCTCCTTGAGCTGCGCTTTTTCTAGCTGCTTTGGGCTGGAGCATTAGTACCAGATTTCCCCAGAGCCTTGGAGGCAGACACAGGAATTGCATTTTGCCTCTGGAGGCATCGTTCGGTTAGAATGGCTGTTGCTCAGTGTGGCTCTTTCTCTGCTCCAGAAATCCCATGCTTAACATACGCTGTGGTTTGCATGGCAGCTTTGCCAGTCACTGAAACGTTGATATCCAATGTGCACACAGGCTTATCTGTGTGGATGTCCATGCGTCCTTATAGCACACGTGTGTTTGTATGTGCTTTGAGCTTTCTGGCAAGGGGAGTGTGGGATATGTGGGCATCGCAAGTTCGCTTACTAACATATGCAGACATTTCCACGACTGATTGAAAAAATTGTTGACTGCTGTTGGTTTGTACCTTTGCCTTAGGCCCTCTCACCCCCTAGTCCCAGGGACCCTAAAGAACACTGACTGGGTGTTATTCAAATCAGGGAAAAGAAGGGACTGTGTAAGTGGGATGGAATAAGGAAGCACATGAATCCCTCTAAGTACCCTGACTGGGTGAAGGGCAGAAACAAAGACATCTCTCAGATTTCTAAGCAGTCACAAACCCTTTGTCCCTGGTTATGTGCCCAGCACTCAGTAAGTGCTTAATAAATGTTTATTGCCTTTCTTATTGCCTTGATGGCTGCCTGGAAGGAAGCAGAATCAGCTGAATTTTCCCTGAGGTCCAGCCTCCCCAGACGGCTTTTCTGCCAAAGAATACAAGCATCATCAGAGATGCCAGAGGGGACAGTGGAAGGGCCCACATTGCACAGAAGCTTGGTCAGAGGGAAGCTTAGGGGTCAGCTAAGTCCCCAGGCTCATTCTTTGCCCAGGAGCTGGATGACGTCTGCTTTAAATAGTGCCTCCTTATGTTCCCCGTGAAAAGCACTTAACTTGAGCTCCCTGATCACCCTGGCCTCTGGGGAGAAAGGCCATATTTAGAGACTGAGTTCCTCATCAAGACAGGTGACACTTTATGTCCTCTGCCTTCTCCCACTGTTCCAAAGTGAGACTTGGAAAGATTAGCCAGATGGCTGCAGTGCCATGCTCTGCCCTCTCGTTCCATGGTTCATTAACGAATTCTTAAGTCCCAGGGCTCTTGTCCCAAGCATGAACGGTGGGAGTCCTCTTCTTCTTCTCACCTCTTAACCTGCAAAGTTTTGTCCCTGAGGTGAAAGTTACAATTGCCAGCAGCACCCTAGCCAGAGTCATTTTCTAATTCTCTGCCATGGGAAGAGGTGGGATGTGGCAAGGTGGTGAGTGAACCCCCTACCTGCTGATATTTCATATGGATGTCACCTGGTGCAAAGGTCACATAATCCTTCTATGTACCACTTCGGTCTCCATTTATTTCCCATAGTAACACCCAACCATCTTCCTGTTGACCTCCCTCCCTCACTCCAATCCTTCTTCTTTTCTTTGTCTTGTTTCTTTCTTACAAATGTCTTTTTTCTGTCCAGGTATCAGCCCTTCCACTCCCGCCATGCCAGCCCCATTGCCTAGCAACCTTGCTGAAGTTGGTTCTCCCCACTGCCTGCACACCCCACACCGTACTTCCCAGCCCCATCCTCTGGGGATATCTGCAGAACTCTGCAGGTCAGCAGACTCAGGACTCCTTAGCAGCAGTGGCCTTTGGGAAACGATTAGACCTCAGAAGGGAACCACTTTGGGGGACCTGTCCCCAAACTCCGCGATGTGCCAACCTCGATCTAAACTCACAGGTAAACATCATGAGTTTGTAAGTTCAGAATTTGGAGATGGGGATGGTTAATAAAGGGGACCAGCTTTTCTCTCCTTTGTCAAAGGCTCTGTTAACTCACACAGCATTTTCAGGGAGTTGGGTGGGGATTTAGAATTACCACTCTTACTTGAGTGATGGAAACACTGAAATGAAGAAGTGAAGGAACTGAGCTCCCTATCTCCTTCCAATGCCACTGACCTCTTGGTCACTCCCCTCTTCTCCAGTGTACTCTGGGAAAGAATTAGCCACCAAGAGAGAAGGTCAATGCTATTTTCTCTTTCAAGGACGTTGGCACTTTAAGCCTTCTCTTAAATTATTGAATGACAGGTTTTCTTCCTTGTTAGAAGTATGAGTCAGCAGATGTGAGAAGCATGTTGGGGTTTTTTTTTGCTTTATTTTGTTGTGTTTTTTAGCTTTTTTTAATTTCTTTTCATTTTAAAAAATGGTTTTAAAATTTGTTTTAAACTTAAATTCAAAATAAGAAAAAAAATGGCCATGTATACAGCAGAACATAAGAGAGGATTCAGTATAAAGCAATAAATTTCCATTTCAAGAAAACCAATATAATAGATACTACACATTATTTTGAAAGCTGTCCATTTTTTTTTTTGGTTTCCTTGTAGGTTTTCTTTTGTTCTCTGCTTTATTTTATTTTTCTCCCCTCCCCCCCCGAAGGCACAATTGAGTGTGGACATATACACATACACACATATGCACACACATATATACATATACACATTTACATATAAACATACATATATACACACATATACACATACGTATGCATAGATATCTATAATCACACATATGCATATATGTAAGACCATTCTATGCTTATTTCCACTTGTCTTTTGTTTCTCTGAAGGTGGATAGCATCTCCTTTCATGTGTCCAAGTCTTTCCATACTTTTCTAAATCCACTAGCTCATCATTTCTGACATCACAGTGATATTCCAACCTTATATTGTCTGGTTATTTTAAATAGGCTAAAACAATGTTGATTAATGACGATGTAGTTTCCTTGTTTTTCTCCTTTCATTATACCTATTTTAGCTTTAACTTTGTCTGAGATCATGATTACTACCCCTGCTTTTTTTTTTAATAGCCTTTCCTGAAAGCAACATATTGTTGAATTCAAATTTTTAATCTGCTGTTTCTATTTTATGGATGAATTCATCCCATTCACATTCTAGGCTATACTTACTTTTTATTTTCCTCCTTCCTACTTTCCTCACTATTCTTCTTACCGTATCCCTATCCCTCCTCACTCCTCTGCTTTACTTCTGTTTGACCTCCTATTCCTTAACCTATATCCCTTCCACGAATCCCTCTCCTATCCTCTCTCCTCAACCTATCTATTCCCTTGCCTTCTTGCTTCTTGCCTTCTATGCCCTTCCAAATATATCTGTTGTTCCCTCTTTATCCCATTCCCATTCATCTACATACCCTTCTATTCCCCCGCCCCATCCTATTTCTTTACAAATTTAGAAGACTTTTATGCCCACCCAAATGTTTATTGTTCTCTCTTTAACCCAGATCTGATATAAATAGGGTTCCCTCTGAGAATCCCTCCCTTGTCCTCTACTCCCTCCCTATCCCCTTACCCTTTTATTTCTTTCTGAATTTAGAAGATTTTTATACATGGATGTATGTATGTATTGTTTACTCTTTAACTCATTCCCAATGAGAGGAGGGTTCCAGTGCCCCTGCCCCATCTAATTGTGCTGTGTCAATTCTTCCTCTTGCACCTCATTTGTATGAGATAATTACTCTTTTTTTTTTAACCTTTTCTTACACCGCTTTGCTTTTTGGAATCACATCATCCTCCGCTCTACCCCACTCTTTCTTTTGAACTACCCAATTACTAATAACAATCTTAGGACGTACAGTTTGCATTTCCACATATAAAAAGCAAACAATTTGTCCTTATTGAGTCCCTTATAATAAGTCTTTGATGCTTACTTTATATTTGTCTTGGCTCTTGTATGTCAAATTTTCTATTAAGTCCTAGTCTTTTTGCAACAAAATCCTGAAAGTCTGTCAATTCATTGAATGTCTATTTTTTTTTATTCAGGACTATGCTAAACTTTGCAGGGTATGATACACACACACACACACACAAGTGTATACTCCCAGGTATATATAATATATTTACATACAGGTATATACCTGGCCACAACCCCAGGTCTTTTGTGGTTGGATATATAGTGTTCTAAGACCTGCAGCCTTTTAGTGTAGCTGCCATGAGGTCCTGTGTAATTCTAATTGTGGCTCCACCGTATTTGAATTTTTTCTTGTTGCTCATAATATTTTCTCCTTCACCTGGGGATTTCAGAATTTGGACATGATATTCCTATAGATTTTCTTCCTCAGATTTCTTTCAGGTGGTGATCAGGAGATTTTTTTCTATTTCTACTTTTCCCTCTTGTTGTAACTCTTCAGGACAATTTTCTTTAATTATTTCTTGCCTTACTTTATCAAGATTCTTTTTTTGATCGTAGCTTTCAGGTCGTCTGATTATTCTGATGTTTTCTCTTCTTGGTCTGTTCTCCAGATCAGTTGTTTTTCCTATAAGATGTTCACATTCTCTTCTATTTTTTCATTCTTTATGTTGTTTTATTATTTCTTGGCCTCTTACAACTTCGCTGGCTTCCCCTTGCTTAATTCTAATTTTCGAGGAGTCCTTTTCTTCCTTAAGATTCTGGATCTCCTTTTCTAGTTGGTTGACTTTCTTTTCACAATCTTGTTTTTCTTGGATTGTTCTTTTTTTTATTTTTTATTTTTAGTTTTTCCTCAATCTCTCTTATTTGATTTTTGAAGTCTTTTTTGAGTTCTTCTATGAATTCTTTTTGGGCAGGTGACCGTTTGACGTTTCTCTTTGGAGTGGGAGAGGCTTTTTTAGCTTCAGGATCCTCCTCTGAAGACAAACCCCAGTCTTCTCTGTTCCTATAGTGGCTATCTATGGTTGGGTTCTTTCTCCTTTGCCTGCTCATTATTTTTAATTTTTTAGAAGCTTGTTATTATAATCACCTCTAATCATGATGTTGCCTCTGGCCTCGGGTCCTTGTTATTGTTATTTTTTTTTAAGCTTTGTCCCGAGGCCACCCTCTGCACTCCTTCCCCCCTCCAAATCACAGCTAGGGCTCCCTGGCACACTATGTTGGAAATGCTCTTGTTCCCTGAGGACACTCCAGTGGCTATGACCTTTAGTTCTCCCCTCTGGCCTGGAACCAAGACCAAGAACTCAGCTCTCCTCCCACAGCCAACAGCATCCCTGCCCCGCTGCTTCTGCATTCACCTGTCATGTACTGCTTCCTTCTTGCCTAGGACTGTGTCTTGGTACACAGCTAAGCCTGGCATCCCTTGTCAGCAGAAGCTTCCTCTACCTTCCCCTTTCAGATGCTCTACTCCCCACACTTTCTGAGAGGTGAAAGTTCCTGTGGCTGAGTCCAAGTCTACCTCCCAACCCAGCTGTGCCCAGGGCTCACCCCTTGCTATTTCAGTGGAGCTAGCCTGGAGGTGTTTTAGCCTGGAAGTGTTTACACTTCTGGGATATTTCTTCCGATCTTCTTCAGCTGTCCCAGGAGGACAACCACTGTTTTGCTCCAACTCTTGTTCATTTTTGCCACTCTACATTCACCTGGAGGTGCTATTTTGTCTTGTTTGTGGAGGAAATCTGAAGAGCTTGGAATTTTCTGATCTACTCTACCATCTTCCCAGAATCCTCTCTTGTTTTTGTTTGTTTTTTTTAGCAAGTGGGACTCAAATAGGCTTTCCCTAGTGCCTGAAATCCCACTATGTAGGGTAGCCCCTTCTTTTGCCTACAAAAGCCAAGCCTGACTTGTTCAGTAGGTATGTATAATTTCCATTCACCCCACCCCCACCTCAACTGGAGCACCTAGGTGGCACAATGGATGGAGCTCTGGGCTTGGAATCAAGAAGTCTCATCTTCATGAGTTCCAGTCTGGCCTTAGGCACTTACTAGCTGGGTGACCCTGGGCAAGTCATTTAACCCTGTTTGTCTCAGTTCCTCATCTCTAAAATGAATTGGAGAAGGAAATGGCAAACCATTCCAGTATCTCTGCCAAGACAATCCCAAATGGGGGCCACAAAGAGTCAGACAGGCCTGAAATGACTCAACCACAAAAAGTTCCATCCATAGAGTCTTAGAACCTTGTAGTTAAACTTCCCTTCAAAGTACAAATTATCTTTACAAAATTCCAGAAAGTGGTCGTCTAGCCTGTGACCAAAGGCCTCCAGTGAGGGGAGAACTCACTGCTTCCAAAATCAGCCAATTCTACTTCAGGTCAACTTTTAAGAAGTCCGATCCTTATATATTGAGCTCAAATCTGCCTCCTTGTAACTCCTACTATGCAATTCTGCCATTCCGGGTCAAGCAGATTAAGTCTAATCCCTTTTCTGTATGACAATACTTTCCATATTTGAAGACAGTGACCATCCCCTTGTCCTCCTCGCCACCCCCATCTTCTCTCTTCCAGGCTAATCATTCTCAATCCCTTCAGCTGATGCTCCTAGGGCATAGTTTTAAATCCTCTCACCATTCTGGTTGTTTTCCTCTGGACATGATTGCTGAACACAAAACTCCAGATTTGCTCTGATCAGGCTCATAATCAAACCACATTCTCAATACCAAGCAGCCTAAGTCACACACATTGCTTCCTGTTGACCTTGCAATCCACTAAAACCCCCAGTTGTTGTTTTTTCATTCACACTGTTTTCTAGCCAGAATAGCTCCCTCTTCCTTGTGTGTGCTGTTAAGTTTTTGTAACACAAGTGTAGGACTTTCCATGTGTCTTCACTAAGTTGCCGTTTATTGGATTTAGTCCGTTGTTGCAACCTCTGCAGACTTTTGGATTCCAATTCTATTAGCTGGAGTTGTCAATCCTTCCCATCTCTCCTTTAGCAGAAGCCAGCTCTACCAATTATTATATTTTCAATGTGAGCGTTTCATCTTTCAGCCACAGCAAGCATTTATGCCTTGGAAATCGGTAAATGCCATAATTCATCTGGGAAATTTGCACCCATCTGCAAAGTTGGTAATCATGCTGTCTATGCTCTCATTCAAATTACAGAAAAAATTCAACTCATTCAGTGAATATTTATCATAAGTGGTCCCCATCGTTCTCAAAACAAGAAACCTTGCCTAGAGACCAGAACATTGACTAAAGGTTTTCTCTGGGCTTCTGACAGCCTGGAGGGTCCTTTTTGAATTGTTTGCCACAGTCTCGTCCTGTGTCTAATTGCCGCCTCCTTCCATAGATCTAAATCCCTAGAGATAATCCAACTTGGCTGTCTGAGGCTCTGGAGGAGTTGGAGCTGGGTAGATGAAACCATGGCAGGAGGAGGGTGACGGGTATTGGAAATTGCCCGAGCCCTGGGACTTAGCACAGGACTTAATAAATGCATCTTGACTGACTTACTGACTGACTGACAGACTGCCCTTCATTTTCCTGCCAAGACCCCCTCTCATTTTCTGTTTCTGTACCCTTTTGGGACAACCAAAGGGGCTGATCTGTTGGAGGAACATCTTAGTGAGATCCAGAACCTCCGCCAACGCCTCGAGGAATCCATCTGCATTAATGACCGCCTTCGAGAACAGCTGGAGGACAGGCTCTCCTCTGCCACAAGAGCTAATGGTAAGAAAAACCCAGATCAGCACAGGTCCGTTCAAATTCTGGCCTTTCTGACAGCGCAGAGGACAGGGCTTGATCTCTGCACGTGTGGGGAGGAAGGCACAGGGCTTGTCTTGGTGGGACTTATTCCTGATGAAATCGATGCCATGGAATCAATCGTGGAACTGGAAGTGACCAGAGAAATCATCTTTTTCAGACCCCCTTATTTGATAGGTGAAGAAACTTGGTGCTCAAAAAGGTTAGGTGAATTTTTTAAGGTCATATCCCAATAAGTGAAAGATCTAAGACTAAAACCCAAGTCTCCTGACTTGTAATTGATTATCTCATGACCATCACCTTCACAACAACCTCATGAAATGGGCGAGATGGACGTCATTACTCCCATTTTACAAATAAGGGAACTGAGAGAATCAGTGCCAACGTTCAGGCCTTTGGGGACTCCAGGGTGGGTTTTTTTGGTTTGTTTTGTATTATTATTATTAGTCATTCCATTCTCTCCCGTTTACTAAAGTTCTCTTGGCTGGGCAGTATGTACACATGTGTTCTAAGGTGACTTCCCCTCTCCCCCACCCATTCCCTGTCCCTCATCTATAGAATGACTCATCACCTATTTCCTGCCATGATCTTTGTTTATATTACAAGTCTTGTATTGTCCCAATCACTTCTAGGCAGGAATGAGACAGAGACAGCTTGTACGAGCTTGAGAGAGCTGGTTGTTAAATTTACGGTGTGAGCCTTTACAGCATGGAAATCATCAAATCAGAGCTTGAGTACCTGCTGAGGTACACAGCTGATGATCTTGAAAGGATGTAGAGCTTCTCAAGAGTGAACCAAGGGGCAGCCAGGTGGTGCAGTAAATAAAGCACCAGCCCTGGAGTCAGGAGGACCTGAATTCCAATCTTCTCTCTTCCTCACATTCAATCACAGGCCCAATTTATTGTCCATTTACAATGCCTGTCCAAAGTGAGAGGGATGACCTCAGTGGGCTGCCCATCCATGACGTATCATGGTATGGGCAAGATTACATCATCTACTTCAATATGGACAAGACCACGACATCCACTCCATCCATTTTTTTCCCCCTCTATGTGCATTACTAGACTCACCTTTTTTGAATGGTCATAGAATCTCACTGAGGAGCTAAAAATCTCATTAGCTTTTTTAGCTGTCATGTCATGCCACTGAGTCATAGTAACCTTGTAGCTCTCAGGTCACCAGTTCTTTGCTGTATTAACTTGTCTGGTCACAGCTCCTCCATCCTAATGATTTTTTTACAGTCTAAAAGTAAGACTTTCCATTCATCTATATTAAATTTTATTTGGTTAGATTTTGAATTATTATTCTAGTCTTTCAAAATCAGCACCTACTTCCTAGGGTTGTGGTAAAGATCAAACGAGATAATATTTGTAAAACTCTCTTAGTTCAGTGCCTGGCACATAGTAGGTGCTCAAGAAGTGCTTGCTCTCTTCCCTTCCCTTGAATCCTTTCTCTGTCATACAGCATGTTACCTATCCCTCTTACTTTTGAGCCTTCTGCGAATTAGCTAAACCCACCATTTATTACTCCAATGGCAATCCAGGTCATATAGAAAAATAATGAATGCCCCAGAGCCAAGGGCGGATCCCTGAAGCACTCTACTAGAGACTTCCTTCCAGGTTGATGTGTATCTACACTTTGGTCCAGTCATTCAGTCTGTTTGGAATCTGCCTACCTGTACTTTCATCTGCCCCACCCCTCTCCATCCCATCCACAAGGACAATTATGAGAGGCTTCCCTACAAATCTGGGTATATTCTGTTTACAGAATTCTCTAGATCTACCCGACAAATACCCTGTCAAAAAAAAAAGGTGGAGGGGATTTCTGCTCTGGTAGATTGGAGCCACTGGGGATCGGGAATGAGCATGTCGTTAAGTCAATCCAGAGGATGCGTATGTATAACTCACCGAGCTATCCAACGCTTCCTTCCTGTAACAGGCTCCTCTGCTAGCATTTACATGCCAGCTCTGGAGTCCATGCCCCAGCTGTGCAATGAGAACAGAATCCTCCGGGAAGAAAACCAGAACCTGCAGGCTCAGCTGAGCCACCTCTCCAAAGGTAAGGGGGCAGGATCCCAGGCTCTGGCCTCCTCCATCCATGGGGGAGATTCGGAAGCTGCTTCCATTGTTTCGTGCTGCTCAGAATTCTCAGAGTGACTTTGGATCTGGACTGCTTTGTAAGAAGAGGTCCGTGGGCTCTAGGAGGGCAAACCTGTGGTCAAGCTGCCTTGGGTGGGCCATGGGCTAGAGAGAGAGGCAGTGTGGCATGGTAGAAAGAACAATCAGACTTAGCAACAGAAGGCTTGGGTTCAAGTCCTAATTTTGTCATTTCCTACTTGTATGACCACAGACAAATTTGTTTAACTCTCTGAACCTTAGGTTTTTATTTTCATCTGTAAAATTAAGATAATTAATACTTCCTCTACCTACCACTTAGGGTTGTATCAAATATTTAATAATAGCTCACATATATGTAGCACTTCAAGGTTTGCTAAAAAAAAACTTTATTATTTCTCTTTTATCACTTTTTTAAATTAAATTAGAAAAAATATTTTCAGTTCCAAATTTCCTTCCTCTTTCCACTCCTCCCCTTGTTAAGAAGGCAAGAAATACAATACCCATCATAAATAGGAAATTATCATAGCTCTTGGTAATTATGACAAACCTATGATTTATGATTTACAGATGAAATTGAGAATGAAAGCAGTTAAATGAGGTGGGATTTGAATTCAGGTCTTCCTGACTATTAAATCCAGCTCTCTATCCATCAGGCTACTCAGCTGCCTTAAATGTGATGGAGACTAAGCGGTATATATAAATACAAGCTGGTACTATCATTATTAATCTGGCTTCATTTAGGAGCTGCATTGAATGTTGTATCTAGAGCCTATTACATTAGGAAGACCTGAGTTCAAATCTGGCCTCAGAAACTTACCAGCTATGTGACCCTGGGCAAGTCACTTATCCCTATTTGCCTCAGTTTCCTCATCTGTAAAATTAGCTGGCGAAGGAAATGGCAAACCACTCTGGTATCTGGCAAGAAGACCTCAAGTGGGGTCACTAAGAATCAAACACAGCTGAGAGAACTCAACCCTACTAGCCTTTTCAGTGTGTCTTCTCAAGCATATTGTATAGAAGACTTTCCCAGAGAGAAGCAACTATATCTTCCCAGTGCCAGGATGCTAAGCTGACTGCCCAGGTGTTCTTTTGTTTTTAAGTCACACCAAGACTACTAAATAACTGTCTGTTTGTCCTCTGGTGGACGCTGCCCCACTCCCGATGGCCATCTGCAAGCATATGGTCCCTCCCTCCAACTTCCCCTTATCTAAGTTTGCTGAGTCTCTTGTGGTGGGGCTCCCTTCTTCCTGGCTGGGGTTTGGGGGGGTCCCAAGGGGTCTGGGCACCTCCGTGTCTCAGAAACCCAAATCCTTCTTCCCTGCCCCATCAGAGCATTCTAGGGAGTTGGAGCGTCTGAGGGAGGCTCTGCTGGCCTCCCGTGCCCGACTTCAAGAGCTAGAGATGGAACTGGAGAAGCAGAAGGCAGATCGGCGGCAGACCGCGGAGGACCTGAAGGAGAAGCAGCAGGAGGTCCTGCAGTTCCGCGAGGAGCAGCTCTCCCTGCAGCAGAAGAACGACAGGTGAGCGGGGCCAGCGTAGGGGCAGAGAGGCTCTCTGCTTCCTACCTTCTGCAAGACTGGCGAGTCAGAGCTTCTTTCTCTGCCTCTGTTCCTGCCGCCTTGTGTAACCACTCCTTAATCAGGTGTGTGATGGAAGCCATGGGGACAGCTCAGGAAGCCACCTGATCAATTTTCAGCGTGAGCACTTACACCTCAGCCATCAGTAAATGCTACAAATCAAGGCTGGTTTTAGGGTTTTGTGCATTGTCCAGACCAGTGCTGCTTCAACTGTGAGTGGCAGATTTGCCAACAGTAAAGGGTTTCTGAACGTGTAAAGACCAAAAATTACTTAAAAATCAAACACTTAATGAATGCGAGGTGTTTCTGGAAGCGCTTGCCGTGGGATGCGTGGAGAAACAAAGCATGTCCGCGTGCCCTCGAGCCACAAAATACCAATCATGCTGCTGAAACTAGAGGAGGGGTCATGAGTGGGAAAAGTTGAAGAAGTCCTGGTCTAGACTTAAGAAAGTGATGGAGAAAATGTTAGTAATGCATATTAAACTGAAAAGTCTGTCATGTGCTTTTTTTTTAGTCGGTTAAACATTTACTAGCAGACTCCTGCCATAAGAGTGGGAGAGACCCTGCTGAGAAACTCCCTTTTCTTTCAGTCTATGACTAGCGAGAGGCAGCTAGTGGCACAGTGGATAGAGCACTGGCCCTGGAGTCAGGAGGACCTGAGTTCAAATCCAGCCTCAGACGTTTACTAGCTATGTGGCCCTGGCGAGTCAGTTAACCCCAAATTGCTTCCAAACAAAACAAAGTATGACTAGTGATACAGTGAGGCCCCATTACTCCATGGATGATAATAATAGCATTTATATAAATAGTTTACAAAGTACTTTACGTGGATTATTTTATATTTAATCCTCACAACAACTTTACGTAAGTTATCTTTACATAGTTCAAATCCAGCCTCAGACATTTACTAGTTGTGTGACCCTGGGCAAGTCACTTAAACCTCAGTTTCCTCATCTGTAAAATGAGCTGGAGAGGGAAATGGCAAACTACTCCAGTATCTTTGCCAAGAACACCCCAAACAGGGTCATACAAGAATTGGACATGACTGAATAACAAATTGGGGAGCAGCGTAGCACAGTAGATAAGGAGGCTTAGAGTGACTTGGAATCAGAAAGACCGGAAGTTCAAATCTTGCCTTAGACACTTACTAGCTGTGTGACCCTGGCCCAGTCATTTAACTTCCCTAAATCTCGGTTTCATTTGTAGCCTATTTCCCAGAGTGGTTGTGAGGATTAAATGAGATGATGATGATGATAGCTAACATTTATAAAGCACCTACTATGTATGCCTAGAAATTACAATTATTATCTCATTTGATCCTCTCAACAACTCTGGGAGGTAGGTGCTATTATTATCCCCATTTTACAGGTGAGGAAACTGAGGGAAACAGAGTTTATGTGACCTGCCCAGGGTCACACAGTTATGAAGTATCTGAGGCAGGATTTGAACTCAGGTCTTTTGGATTCCAGGTCCAGTGCTCTATCCACTGTACCACCTACCTGCACCAATAGATACAATTCTATGGAGAGCCTGTTAATCTCCTGGTGATATTCAGTGCTGTAGCACAGTGCCCTTACACCAGCCCTATACCAAGCTAAGGCACCTGTCTTTAGAGAGCATCGCTAGGTCACAGTGATGCTATCCTGATGGGTCTATTGTCTGTGGAATCCCAGGTGTTCCTAACCCCTGCTCTTTTTTTCTGGTAGGCTACAGCATAAAATGATTCTCCTGCAGCAGCAGTGTGAGGAGAACCAGAGGCTCTTTAAGTCCCTCCAGTCGCAGCTGCAGGTCTACGAAACGCTCTATGGGAGCTCCAAGCAGGTGCTGAAGGGTAAGGGACCTCTTTGCCAGCTGCCTCCTGCCCTGGGAACTCCATCTTCCACAGATATATAGCATTCCTTCGCAGAGAGATGCCATGAAAGATGGGCTGGGGCTTGGGAGAAGAGAGAAGGACAAAAGGAAGGACCTTTGCAGATATAAATCCTAGGAAGGAGCTAACTACAGTGTGATTGGGGTCGTGTCTAAGCAGCCTTGACAATAAGACAATAGCACAGTTAAACCTTCTAGCTCAGGTTACTTAAGACAGAGGTCAGTGTGAACTATTGAAATGTCCAAGTTATAGAGGTCAGTGTGAATTATTGAAATGCCTAAGTTATAGACTGGATTTTTGAAGAAATCCAGTTGCATTGCCTTCAAGACAAGAATACCTCTGGATTCCTGGTTTCACAGTTTTAGCAGGTTTCAAATACTCATGATACACAGATTCAACCCAATAGCCCAGACTCTGTAGTTCATCTCTCTTGTTAACATCTACCTGGTAGTTTGGTCCAGAGCCCAGAAAAGCTGAGGGAATCTTCTTTATCCACAACACAGGCAATATAATATTTCCACATTATAGTAGAATGTGTTTTCTGGGGAGAGAGTGGGCTTTCTAAATATAGAATGACAGACACTAGACAAATAAAATGTCTATGACTTTCAACAAGGCAAAATTCAATGGGGAATCTGATTGCTTACTGTCTCAGGGAAGGGGAGGGGTGGAGGAATAGACTTTGGAACTTAAAACTTTAAAAAATGCTTTAAAATTGTTTTAACATGCAACTGGGGAAAAATAAAATGTATTTAAGACTTAAGTTTACCAACAAGATGCTCAAAAGAGGCAGTATGCCATAGCAGAGAGAGGGGCTGGATTAAAAAAAATAATAGGGATAAATTAAAGCCCCATTTAGGTTCAAAAAATTTAATTGTTTAAGTATAAGGTGAGGGAAGATCTGCCTTGAGGGCATTTCACATGAAAAGGGCGTAAGGAGTTTAATTGAAACAACATTAATATGAGACAACATTGTGTGTAGCCTTATTACTCTTCCTCACACATCCTGCTCCATCTCCCAGCTCTGTGCCTTTGCAATGGCTGTACCCTATGCCTAGTGTGTATTCCCTGCCCACCTCTGCCTTTTAGAATCCCAAACTGCCTTCAAGGCTCAGTTTGTGCCCATGAAGCCTTCTAGATCCACCTGAGCTGCTGTTTTAATCTTCTCTCCCAAATAATCTTACCGATTTTGTGATGTAGTAGAGTCAGGAAGATCTGAGTTCAAATCCTCTTAACATTTATAAGCTATGTGACCATGAGCACTTGTCTAAAATGCCAAGTTACAGATTTGCATTGGTGGTGGTATTTTCCACATTGGGAGTTCCCTGTAATGAAATCACAAGTCTGAATTAAAAAAAAATGACGATGCATTAGAGAAGGGAGATAGTGAAAGAAGTTTGTTTACAGATCACTTAGTTTCACTCCCTTGTTTTACAGATGACAAAACAAGAATAGGAAGGTAGAGAAGGTGTGTTGCAAAGACGAGACGAGCTAGGTCTTAACGGACAGGATAAGATTTGGAAGAGAATTGATAGGGTAGGACAACAGGCAACAGAGATGAAAATGAGTATGGTGTGTGTTGAGGACATTTAGCCTAGAGAAGACCGGGGTTGGGAGGCAGGGTGCATTGGGGCTGTCTTTATCTACAAAACTCTCATTTGAAAGAGAGTGTGGACTTTGTCTTCTTGACATCAAAGGGTGGGATTGGTCACAATGGAGAGAAGCTGAAGGAGACAGGTAATGTGGGAAGGGATGATGAGCTCCTGGACAAAAGCAGCAATCGGTTGGTTGGGTGGATGGTTAGTTGGTTGGTTGGTTAGTTGGTTGGTTAGTTGGTTGGTTGGGTGGTTAGTTGGGTGGTTGGTTAGTTGGTTGGTTGGTTGGTTAGTTGTTTGGGTGGGTGGTTAGTTGGGTGGATGGTTGGTTGGTTGCTTGGTTGTTTAGTTAGTTGGTTGGTTGTTTGGGTGGGTGGGTGGGTGGGTGGTTAGTTGGTTGGTTGGTTAGTTGGTTGGGTGATTAGTTGGGTGGTTGGTTAATTGGTTGGTTGGTTGGACGGTTGGTTGGTTAGTTGGATGGTTGGGTGGTTAGTTAGTTGGTTGATTGGTTAGTTGGTTAGTTAGTCGGTTGTTGTTGTCTGTTCTTGAAGAGGACCAAAATGACATCGCTATATTGGAGTCAAGGTACAATGCATCCAACTATGGCTGATCAGACTGATTCGAGCTCAGAATGCTTGTTGTTCAGAAGAAGGGATAGAAGTGAGACATCTCAAAGAGAAAATGAATAGTACTTAACAATAGCTCGCATATAGGAAGGGAAGGAGAGGAATGACAGATGTAAAGGTGATGCCAGCATTTCAAGCCTTTGGAGACTGGTACCACCACTGGCAGAGATGGTGAAGTAGGTAAAAAGGGAGTCAGCCTGGAAGGGGGGGGAGTTCTGGCAGGAGGGAGTGACTCCGCAGGAAGTTCCCAGAGCAATGGCACCAAAATTGTCCTTCAATCTTTCAGCTTACAGCTGGGACATCTATCAACAAGGGCCTCTGAGCAGTGACTTGAGCACCCTTGTGGCAGAGGTTCGGGCTCTCCGAAGTCGGCTGGAATACAGCATCCAGGTGAACAATTCCCTGCGGCAACAGCTGGAGCAGCAGCTGGATGGCAGTCCTGGGAAAGCCACCCTCGGCTCCTCCTGCGTGACTCAGGCTTTCCCAGCCACTAGCCCTGGGGACAAGTGGCAGTTCTTCCAAGGTAGGAAAATAACCTCACATAGACGTGGGGGTGAAGAGTTGGGGATAGGGTGGGGGTGGGGTTGTCTTCAAAGAGTCTGTGGGGGAGACCCCTACACTGAGCTCTTATGGGCTACAGATGACATCATCATCATCCACCATTCATTATCATCCATGTGGAAGGTGTCCATCCTCAGTTTTCTCAACTATAAAATGGGGATAATGGGGAAAACAATAGCCCGTCTTTCCCAGGGTTGGTTGTTGTGAAGCTCAAATGAGATAATAATTGTAAAGTGTTTAGCATAGTGCCTGGCACATAGTAAGCACTGTACAATATTATTATTATTATACAATAATTTGATACTCCAGACACTATAGTTCTTATTGTTGTATAGTAGGTAGACCAGTATTATTTCAGATATTTTACAGATGAGGAAACTAAGGTTAGAACAGTAGTGAGTTTTCCCAGATCAGTCTCCAGCTAGTAAATGGTAGAGACAAGATTAACTAGCTGTGGTGACCTTGGGCAAGTCACTTAACCCTGTTTGCCTCAGTTTCCTCATCTGTAAAATGAGCTGGAGAAGGAAATGGCAAACTACTCCAGTATCTTTGCAAAAAAAAAAACCCCAAATGGGGTCATGGAGAGTTAGACATGACTGAAAATGACTGAAAAGCAACAGCACAGACTCCAAATTCATAGTCTTCCCACTGCAGCAGTGTCAGGCTCTGCTTTAAATCTAGGTGGAAGGAGTTTTGATCTAAGTTGAGTCCTAAGTGGTTTTCTTTTGCCAGGGAGGTCACTTTTGTTGTTTTTTTTTAAATGTTTCCCACAATTACACATAAAAACAATTGTAACATTCATTTTTAAAATTTTTAAGTTCCAAATTTTCTCCCTTCCTCCCTCTCTTCTTCCTCTTGCTCCTTCCTGAGATGATATGCGATTTGATGTAGGTTATACATGTGCTATCATGCAAAACATTTCCTTATTAGGAATGTTGTGAAAGAAAACACAAACCAAATTAAAAAACCCAGAAAAAAATACAGTGAAAAATAGTGTGTTTTGATCTGCATTCAGACTCCATCAGTTCTTTCTCTGGAGGTGATAGCATTTTTCATCATAAGTCCTTCTGAATTGTCTTTGATCTTTGTTTTGCTGAGACTAGCAAAGTCATTCACAGTTGATCATCGTACAATATTGCTGTTACAGTAGTGTTCTCCTGGTTCTGTTTACTTCACTTTACATCGGTTCATGTAAGTCCAGATTTTTCTGAAGTCTGCCTGCTCATCATTTCTTACAGCACAGTAGTATCCCATTACATTGCTATACCACAACCTGTTCAGCCATTCCCCAATTGATAGGCATCCCCTCAATTTCTAATTCTTTGCCACCACAAAAAGAGCTGCTATAAATATTTTTGTACATGTGGGTCCTTTTCAGGGAGGTCATTTTAAACAAGAAAGAGAGGGAGTTGTATTTGTCCAGAATCATTAAATGATCTGGGATACAGAAAAATGTGGAGATTCTTTGGACATCAGTGTACAGCCTTATGTGAGGTCTGCATGGCCAAAGAAACAGTGTGGCTGCTCAATCTCTTACCTCCTCCTTATAAGTATTTTCATTTTCCAATAACAAACATACCAGTTGGTTTTCTGGGTGGATTGGAATATAAGGAGCCTCTCAACTCTGGCCTCATGCACGTTCCAGGATCAGTCCTGGGGGAAGTCCAGCCTCTAAAGAGAGGGATCAGGTTCTTGTTGCCTTTGGCCCTCTGTGTCCCCTATCCCAGAGCTCTTGAGTAAATCACTTTAAAGCTTAGATTTGACTTGTGTCAAGGGTCTAGCCAAAAGAAAGAGGAAAGGTGTTCAGGGTAGGGAAGATACAGGGCAGAGATTTATTTCCACTTCTACGAAAGAAATGCTTAAAACACAAAAGATTCATAAGCATACATTGACAAAAGTTAAGACATGACTCCATAACCTATAAATCCCGAGAGGTTATACTTCAAACACTTTTAAAAAAATAGCAATATAGTCTTTATTTGTGTTCATTTACATATTAATAAGACACTTCTATTCTCTAATGTAAACTCATTGAGGGCAGGGATTTAGTAAAAATTCATTAAGTTTGTGTCTCCTACAAGACCTAAAACTCTACTTTCTTTCATGAAATGTTTTCTGGTTGCCAGACAGAAGTGAGTCCTCCCTCCTTTGAAATCTGATATTGCATTGTGGTTCTTTTATATACTCTGTATTCTATTCATTTGACTTTTATGTCTTATCCTTGCTTCCCAACTAGATTATAAATTCCATGAAGAAATGTACAATGGCTTTTATCTCTTTAGATACCCCTCAAGTCCTGACACTGTGCATTCATTCCACATAATTCATGCTCAGGAAAAGCTACTTGAATTTAATTATTTAATTGACCTCCAGATATTTAGATTTCATAGCTTGCTTTGGACTTTAAGGGGCCACCAAACAAAAGCCATTTGGGAATCGTGATCTTTTAGGTTGCATGGTGGAGTGAGAATTCTCAGCGTGGGGACCTTTGGTTCATCTGAGCTTCCTCCAGGAGGGATCCTTACTCTCTCCCACTTGAACCATCCTGAAACATCTGTACCTAGTGAACCCAGTGCTGTTCTTCATTAGAGCAGCCCAGGGGCAGGGTGCTTAAAACACTAAAATACAGACTGTTGAGTAGCCATTTTATCTTCACCTTGGCTCTGCACTCTCCAAACGACTCCTTCAAGGTCCATATCTTTTGGCCAGCTAGGACATAGCTTGGGCTCTTTTCTCCTGGCAGTGGGCATCTTTGCTGAGAAGAGTGTAAATATAGAAATTCCTTTTGCTACTAGTTAGCTCCAACTGAGGGATCCATGAAATCCTAGACTCTAACTCATGATCTAAAAATGATCATCTCAGGATCTCTGTTCCGTCACCCAGGCTCAAGGAAAGAAACAAAGCAGAAGCGTCAGCCAGGGAATGGGGGTCGAGGCTCAGGTTTGCCATGTTTGAGCAGCTATCATAGCCACTATTCCCCCACAAGAAGTCCAAGAGAGAGGATGCTTCCATAGAGTTCCCACAAGTTCAACAAATGGGGAGAAAGTACCAGAGGGTGAAGTCACTGCTTTTAAGGTCTACTCTTCCAGGCTCAATGGCTCATCTTCTCTGATTCAGCCCCTCTCCTCCTGATGCCTTCAGGAGGACCAGCTTCAAAACCCTTCAGCACTGAGCAATGTGTCCCTGAAAGTGGCAGGGGAGCCCAGCTCAGCTCCACATATGCTTCAGTGGACTGTGTTCCAGCTAGAACAGATCAGGGTGGGGTCCTGACCACCCTTATCAACTCATGTCTCCTGCCTACATAGGGACATGCTGGCCAATAAACCCCAGAGCTGCAGCTGGCATGGAGGCCATGAGCTCAGCCTTATTCTTGTAAGGGAAAAGTTCCTCTCAGACTTCTCTAATGCTGACTTTCTAATATTTCATTTCAACTTTTCCTAGGTCACATTCTTCATTTGCTACTATTTTCCATGCTTGCCCCCCATCTTTCCAGGACTATGAGGATCTCAGTTCTCAGAAGATCTGTTCCCTGATTTCCCCTTGATATTGTGTTTTTTCTCTTGGGAACACATGAGAGTTGTCACGTTTGATTCTGCACTCTTATCTCCTGTGTACTCATTTCCCCTTATCTTGTTAGGAAGTAGCAAGGCCTCATGCCCACTCTCTTGCTTATTTCTGCTTCGGCTCACATATCACAGAGAGCCTTTGTAGGAAATTGGGCTCCACTCTGTTTCAATGCCAGCAAATTGCTCTCTGTTCCCTTTGTTATATATCTCTGAAGATTCTTCTTCCATGTTCTCTCTCCAACAGGCCTCCATCAGTCTCCCATTTCTATCCATCAAGGACACTCTTTTCCCCGTTCTTCTTTTTTATCCATTCATATGTAATACATACACATACATATATGGATGTGTGTGTGTATGTGTGTGTGTATACATTAATATCCTTCCCATGCTAGGAAGTTTTCATGCCAGATTTGGTGAATAGAATGGGCTTTCATTCCCCATAGCTTGGCCTGGCAGTTGTTTTTTTATGGAATCCTTTTCAACTATCAGAAAGTTTTCTTTTTAAAGAGAAGAACAATTAGATTCCAGTCTGTTCCAGTAGTTTGGGGTCTCCTCTAAAAGAGCTTTTCACAAGAGTCTGATATGTTTATAATTCATAAAGTAATAGACCTTAATTACAATGAAGCAGTAGTCCTTTAAAAATATACATACACATATGCACACACACATACATAGACCCGTGGTTCTATGTATGTATATCTCTAGATCAATTGAGAGAGAGAGAAAGAAAGGGAATGTTGATCCAAAAAATCTTTTCTGGTTTTTAGGGCCAACCCAACACACATAAGGCTCATTTGCAATAGGATGGATCGGCTCTGGATGTCCCTCTGTCTCCATGTCTATATGTATCTCCCTATTTCTGTCTCTCTTCTCTTTGTCTCTGTCTGTCTATCTCTGCCTTGTGATTACTGAGTTACACTGGTTTAGGAGGGAAAGACTAGGTTTGCAAATGTTTTTTGGTGAAGCACTTTTTGGAAAGGCTGATGTCTATGGTTGTCTTTTTGGTGCAGATTCAATTTCTTCTCCTCCAGTTCGAGACGTTGGTATGAATGTTCCAACTTCAGTCTTCTCCACAGCCACATCCAGTGCTCTTGACCCAGAGACCTCCTCCTTCCATAGAGCAAAAGGTACAAATATGATGACTGAAGAGAATTGTGATAGCTCGTAAGAATAATACGGAAGTAGTCACAGCCTGACTATGTGCGTGCAGGTTGCCTCCACTGTGGTTTACTCTTATGCTCTAAGCCCTGCCTGTTATTGTTTTCTCCTGATACTCTGCCTGGTAAGGACTTCCCACCTTTATGGCTTTGTTTCCTTTAATATGCCTCCTCTTCGTTATTGCCAGAAGCCCTCTGCTCCTTGCACGTTTTCCTATTTTTTCCCCCAGTCTGAACCACCATTGATGTAGAAACTTCCATCATCAATGCAGATCAGTAATTTGTCTGTAATTCTTAGAGTGTTATTTGAGGTTACTTGTCTAAGGTCATGTAGCTATTTTGTGCCAGAAGCAAGTTTTTACCAGATCTTTTGGATTCTCCTACTAGCCTTCTAATTACTATTCCACCTGCCCCTCCATTTGTAGGAGAACATAAAGTAATCAAGATTCTTCTGTTTTTGTTTTTCTGTCCCCAAATTGTGTATTACACCTATTTTTCTTTCATTGCTTTTATTCAACGATTATAATTATATCTGACTACCCGATAATATTACTATAAGGAACTGAAAAAGAAGATGTCAACAAGATTAGAATAAATTGGGGCAGGTAGGTGGCGCAGTGGATAAAACACTGGCCCTGGAGTCAGGAGGACCTGAGTTCAAATCTGACCTCAGACACATAACACTCACTAGCTGTGTGACTCTGGACAAGTCACTTGATCCCTATTACATCACCAAAAAAAAAAGATTAGAATAAATTGCCTCAACTTACTGCCCCCAGTTCTGGATATTTCCCAGAGGTTATCTTTCCAAATGCCAGCCTCTTTCCCTAGTTGGTCTTTTGGTCCTTAAACTAAAGCACTGAGTGATTACAGAGTAATTACCATGAGTAACAGGGCTAAGCTTTGACTTGCACTTTATTGTGCTTTTCAGGATCGGGTTTGGATGTGTCCCCTGGAAAGAAGAGCCCTCCCACGCTGGAGGGGGATGCTCCCGATGGTTCATTTGCCAACAAGCGTGGTCGCCACATGATTGGCCACATCGATGACTATAGCGCCCTGAAGCAGCAGATCCTGGAAGGAAAAGTTCTGGTGCATAAGATGGTCTCTCTCATTCAGGTCACTCTCAACTCACCTGCCCTGGAAGCCCGAGGCACTGAGGTAATCAGATCATTGACTCTTTTTTCATCCTTTTCTTCCTACCTCGGGGTTCTTCCCCTCTCTCATTCCCCAATATTTCTTCTTTTCCTCCAGGCTTTCTGATATCTGCTGGTGCTTCTGTTTTCTCTTAGTCATTCTTTGATTCAGCTGCTTTAAAATCAGACCATTTCCTTTCCAGCTCCTGTTTGGAGCACATGAGCTGTATTGTTTCAACTGTACAAGTCCTCAAGTTTTTTTTTTTTCACCTAGCTCCTTTCACTGCCTTAAGCTCACAAAGAAGCAAGCATCCTACCTAGAAAGCAGGGTTTAGGTGCTTGGGGCTGTGTAAAAGACACGAATGGCAGAGCAAAAACATTAAGGTGATAAGCAAGCACTGGCAACCTTACAGGTTATGGGGAAGTTTGTTCTCAGCATACAGAGAATCAGAGAGAACAATCATGAGATCTTCGCATTTACATGGAGCAGTGGAAGTTCACAGAGAAGACAGGCTTTAAAAAAATCGTTTGAGGGATGAGAGAGATTTTTGATGGGCTGATGCTTAAAGGTGGTTTGAGTGATCATGCTGTTTTGAACAGGTCTTATACTGAGATTCTTAACGTGGAACATCTGATATCCAACATGATGGGAAAATTGGGAACAGAGAAGAGTCACAGAGAGGTGACTTTTTTTTTTTTACAGTAGGGATGTCCAGTCCGAGATATCTTGTATACAGAACACTTTAGAGCACTAAATGGAGAGAATCACCTGAGAATGAATGAGTAAATTTTTGCATTATCCATTTATGTTCAGGCCCTATTCAGTTGTTTTCAGTCATATCTGACTCTTTGTGACTCCATTTGGGGTTTTCTTGGCAAAGACATTGGAGTGATTTGCCATTTCCTTCTCCAGCTCATTTTACAGATGAGGAAACTGAGGCAAACTGGGTTAAGTGACTTGCCCAGGGTCACACAGCTAGTAAGTGTCTGAGTCTGGATTTGAACTCAGGAAGATGAGTCTTCCTGACTCCAGGCCTTGCATTCTATCCACTGTGCAACATAGCTGCCCCAATATAACTTGTGAATACTGATGCAAAAAAAAAAAAATTAAACAAAAGTCTAGCAAAAAGATTATAGTAAAATATTCAAAAAAGTTATTTACTATGAACAAGTTCTGTCTCTACTAGAAATGTAAGGGTGATTTAACATTAGGAAGCCAATTAACATAACAGTATATACCATAAATAACTGCAGATACATATAATCCATATTTTACTTTGTCTCTGGTTCTTGGAAAAACTTGATAAATGTCTAATAGCAATAATGATGAAACACATCAGAGTACGTATAAGTTTTTGGATTCTGTAAAATTGTATTAATACTAATTAAGCCTTTTTTAAAATTTTATTAATTTATTTTGATTTATCAACAATCACTTCCATATGCTTTTGAGTTGAAAAATTTTCTCCCGTTTCCTCCCCCCGACCCTCCCCAAGACAGTGCACAATCTGATATAATAGGCTTTACATTTACATTCCTATTAAACATATTTTCATATTAGTGAAGTTGTAAGTAAAAATTAAAACCAATAGGAGGAACCATCAGAAAGATGAAACAAAACTGAACAAAAGGTAAAAATAAGTGATAGTGATTTGACTTCCATAGTTCTTTCTTTGGATGTGGACAGCATTTTCCATCCCGAGGCCTCTGGAGATGTCTTCAATCTTTGTAATGCTGAGAAGGGTTCAGTTTAACAATATTAGTCATCACATAATGTGACTGTTATTGTGTACAAAGTCCTCTTGGTTCTGCTCACTTCACTCAGCATCAGATCATATAAGTCTTTCCAGGTTTTTCTGAAGTCAGCCTGTTCATCATTTCTTATAGCACAACAGTATTCCATTACATTCATATACCACAACTTGCTCAGCCATTCCCCAATTGATGGGCATCCTCTCAATTTCCAATTCTTTTCCACCACAAAAAGAGCTGCTATGAATATTTTTGTACATGTGGGTCCTTTTCCCATTTGTTTGATCTCTTTCGGATATAGCCCTAGAAGTGCTATTGCCGGATCAAAGGGTATGCACATTTTTGTAGCCCTTTGGGCATAGTTCCAAATTGTTCTCCAAAATGGTTGGATCATTTCACAACTCCACCAACAATGTATTAGTGTTCCATAGGCCTTTTTTTTAAACAAAAGCAAGAATGTATGATATAAAGCCCCATCTTTGGTTACATGATTCACAAGATGGCAAAGTAGTTGTTTTTATCATAATTCCCTAGACCTTACCACTTGAAATCAAGAAAAAAATGCACCATATATAGTAATTTAATCTTCCACAAACTAGGAAGACAGAAAAACCACATGAAGTAAAAAGTCTTCTGAAATGGCATTGGAGAACTGAGATATTTAAATCTTCCAGTCAGCCTACACACCTCCAGTCCATCCTATGTGCTGAGCTCAGTTAGTACAAGCCACCTCATAGACTTTGGCCTTGAGTTTCAAGTTCTGGCTATGATGACAACCCCCTCCCCTCAGAGTAGTGACCCCAGTGGAACCCTCTCAGGCCCATAAGAGGTAGGATACTTGATGGAAAGCAAGTGAACAGGAGATGTGGAAGATGGAGCACGATGGAGCCACTGAGAGGGGAAGGGGTTCTGTGCCTGTGGGAAAGAGGACTAGAAGACCCCTATCCTCTCACTGCAGAATTTCCATCGACTTAGCTGTCCCTCATAGCCACCAATTCAAGATTACAGATGTTCAGCCTTGGGAATTTGTGTTGGAGAAAATGGGGGTGTCATGCAGTGGAAGAGGGAGGGGTCAAACAGCAAGGAAGGAAGCCTGAAATAAGCAACTACAAATAATAGAAAAAACCCAAAAGGCAAAAAGTCTGCTCAAGAACAAGTATAATCTGAGCTCCCAAGCATAAAAACCTCATAATAGGACTCATCAAGATAGAAGGAATAATGGGTGAGAATTTTTTAAAAGGCCTTAACCATGATCAAGTAGGGGCAGCGAGGTGGTGCAGTGGAGAGAGCACTGGCCCTGAAGTCTGGACAACATGAGTTCAAATCTGGCTTCAGATCAAACACTTGACACTTACTAGCTGTGTGACCTTGGGCAAGTCACTTAACCCCAATTGCCTAAAATAAATAAAATTTTAAAAGATCTATAACAATGATCAAGTATTATGCTTGAAACAAAAAAAAATGACAAAGAAAACAAGATAAAAATTTATGGAACTAAACAACAGAAGAAACCTTTTACTAAGACACAGACATTCCTATTACCAAAACCAGGATAGGGTTAAGCATCGAGAGAGAAGATGGACCAATAGAACTAGTGAATAGTGATGCAAATTTTTTTTAATGTAGAAAAAAGAGTACAGCAAAATATTTTAAAAAGTTATTTGATATGAACAAGTTGTGCTTCTATTAGGAATGCAAGGATGGTTTAACATTGGGAAACTAACATAATCACATTAAAAACAGAACGCACATGATTATATCAATAGATACAGAAAAGGCCTTTGAAAAAAATAAAGCAACTGCTTATGCTAAAAATCTTAAAAAGCATAGTAAAGGTCCTTTCAAGATATGGTCAAAGTATATATCTAATAACAAAAGCTGACATTGTTACAATGGAGAAACATTAGCTTCCCTAATAAATGCAGGGATAAAGCACAGGCTTTATTAGTTGACACAGTTTTATAAGTTTTAGTGATTCGCAATGAGACACTAGAAATAAAAGCACAAATATGAGCAAAGAAGAGAAGAAAGTATTTGTATGATAGTTAACTTAAAGACTTGAGTAAATCAGCAAATTAACTGAGGAGATTAGCTGCTTCATAAGGTAGCAGAATACAAAATAAATTCACTCCTCTCCAGCATTTCTATGTAGCAATCATAAAAACCAGAAGGAATTGATAGAGAAATTTTACTCAAAATACTCACAAAATGAATAAAATATTTTGGAGCGAATCTACCAAGACACATACACATTTATATATGTTTATCTATAAATCTATATCTATACACACAATTACAAACCACTCTATAAAAATAAAGAATAATTTAAACAATTGGAAAGATATTCATTGCTCCATAGTTAAGCTCCATCAACCTAATAAAAAAGTATTGTACTATTTAAATTAAATTACAGACTTAAATGCCGTGTCAATCAATCTACCAAGGTGTTATTTAACAGAACTAGAGAAAATAAGATTTACATTCATGAACAAAAGGTTTAGAATCTCAAGAGAAATAGTTGGAAAAATTAGGTACATAAGGGGAGCAGTACTTCCAGAGTTTCTGGAATAACCATCAAAATTATTTAGTACTAGTTAAAAAATGGAAAAGTAGGCCGGTAGAATTGATTAGATTAGCAAGAATCTGAAACAAACTTAATAGCTCAATGTTCAATAACCCCAGGAATACAAATTTTTGAGGCAAAGATCCATATTTGACAAGAACTACCATGAACACTGGAAAGCAGTTTGGCAAAAATTAGGTTTTAGACGAGCATCCCATATAGCACAGTAAGTTACAAATTGATACATAACCTAAATATAAAAGATCATATCATTAAAAAAATTAAAGGAAAATGGAAATAGCCTTTATAACTACGTCTAGGGGGAGAATTCTTAATCAAACAACAGAGAGAAGTGATCAGAAAAGAGAAAATAGGCCATTTTGATTATGTAAAATTAAAAAGCTTTTGCACAAATAAAGTCAATACAGTTAGTATAAGCAAAAACTTGTTAAATTCTGTGTGTGGGGGGAATCTCTGTATCAAATAGCTGATAAAAATCTGACACCTAAGACATATAAGGAAATAACAGACATTTATGACCAAGGGGTTATTCTTCAGTAAGTAAGTGGTGAATGGATATGATCAGTTTTCAAAGGAAGAACTTAAAACTATTAATAACCATCAAATGACTAATAATAATAATACAAATTAAAACAAGTCTGGGTTTTTACCTCACATCTATCGAATTATAAATGATGACAAAAAGTGGAAAAGTGTTGGAAGGGCGGCAGAAAGATAGATACACTGATACATTATTCATAGTGCTATGGATTGATCCAACCATTCTGGAAATCAATTTGGAATTATGTGAGAAAAGTGACTAAATTGCTTTATCCCCAAATTCCCACTTTTGGACATGTAACCCCAAGGAGATTAAAGCCCCCAAATATACTATTCTTCTATTTGTCATGGCACTTTTTATCTTAGCAAAGACCTGGAATGGGTGTCCATTAATTGGAAGTTTACTGTGACATGAATATAATGGAATATTTTTAACCATAAAAATGATGACCAATAAGACATTCAGAGAAACATGGGAAGACCTGTTTGAACTGATGCAGAGAGAATTAAACAGAACCAGGAAAGCAACACAAAAACTACAGTAATGTGAACTTTAAAATGAAAATAAAACTCCAAACACTGTAGTTACAATCAACAATATTGTCTCTTGGAAAAATTAAGGGAAAATTAAGTTGAAGAAGTGGGGGGTTGTGGTTGTGGAATGTTGCATATGCTTTCAGGCACAGTTGTAGTGTTGGTGTTTCTGTTTAGTTGTTTTTCTCAGTCACGTACAAGGCTGGGGATTCATAAGGGTGCTGGTGAATATGGGGGAATCCAGAAATCATGTTGTAAAAGACGGAGGTCATTAATAAAAATAAAAGAGAGAAAGAGAGGGAAAGAGGCAGAGAAGATCTTCCTGTTAAACGGTCAACACTGATTGGAAGTAGTTGATGGGGAAGGGTGCCAAGAAATAATCCAGGGCTGAGAATGGCTACAATGGCAAGTAAAATCTAGGGTATGAGTCCATGTGGTTAATGAGGACTGCCTTGAAGTGAATTGGCCATAGAGGCCAGATGCAGATGTTTTTGCAGAGGATTAACATAATTCACAAAATGTCAATGAAGATGCATAAAAGAAAGAAGGAAAGGAGGAAGGGGGGATGGAGGAAGGAAAGAAGGGAAGGATAGAGGGAAGAAAGGAAGGAAACATGTTTGTCATTGTAAATTTTATGCAGCACTCATTGACTGTGGTATGATGGCTTGAGGTGGGAAATACTTGCCTGATCTCTATTTTATAGACCTAGGATGGCAAAGAGATTCAACTTTATAACTAAATCCAGACTGCCAATCAAGTAGGTTACAAGCCAAGAATAAAACCCGGGATCCCTAAATTTATGGTCACTATAAACCTTGAGATGAACATAACTCACCTTCACCGACCACTTAAGAGGAGGGGGCGGTGATTAAGTCCTGAGGCAGCTGAGCCCCAATAGCCAGAGAAGGTAGGGAAGTAGGAGGGGACAGGTGATATAGGGACAGATGAAGGAGATATAACTGGAGAAGAATTGAAGGGAATAAGCATTTATATAGTGCCTAAGATGTGCCAGGCACTGTGTTAAGCATTTTTAAATTTCATTTTTTTTTTTACAAACATCTCCTTTGATCTTTACAACAACACTGGGAGGTAGGTGCTAGATTACCCTTAATTTTACAGATGAGGCAAATAGAGGTTAAGTGACTAGCCCAGGGTTGCATGGTTAGTATGCGTGTGAGGCAGCATTTGAATTGAAATCTTCCTCTACTCACTGCTCTACCAGCTGCTCTACCAGCTGCCTCTTAGAATAGAGGGAAATCTCCATCAGAGGCAGAGAGCTAGAAGCGGATCAGTCCTCTCTAACAACAGAAGTCATTACTCAAGGTTGCATATTCTGGGTTATCCAATCAGAAAAGTATTTCAGGAGTCCAAGATATTCTCTTCCGGGCAGAGCCCTGCCGTGAGGAACATGTTCAAACCTTAGAAGCATGTTTGCTTTCTCTCCTTTACTAGGTTCTCGCCTCTGAAAGCATCCATCAGCTCCGGGGCAGCACCAGTACCCTGCATCAGATCTTGGAGGAGTCTGCCTCTCTCCTCACCATGTTCTGGAGAGCAGCCCTGCCCAGTACCCACAGCCCTGCACAGCAGAGGAAAGTGGTAAGAGGTGGGAGGGATATGGTGCATGTTTCAGGAGAGATTGAAGTGCTCCCCCAGGAGAAGCCAGGAGTGAGCGACAGAGAAAGGGAACTTCCAGGAGCTAGCCTTAGGAGAGAGGGAGCTTCTTATCCCCTACACTACCTGGCTTCCACTAAACTCTTCCACTACAGCCATCAGTACTACATGAGGTGGGAAATACTTGCCTGATCTCTATTTTATAGACCTAGGGTGGCAAAGAGATTCAACTTTATGACTAAATCCAGACTGCCAATCAAGTAGGTTACAAGCCAAGAATAAAATCCGGGATCCCTAAATTTATGGTCACTATAAACCTTGAGATGCACATAACTCACCTTCACCGCCCAATTAAGAGGTGAACTAACATAATCACAAACTGGTAGTAGTATTAAGTCATAGGGCTTCCCAGGCACCAACACTGAAGGCCTGGGATGGCTTTAGAATCTTAGGATTCTGGGGGAGGAGGTGGGGAAGGTCTGAGAAATTGGCAGTCATTCCAAGGACTCTTCTCTGAGCTCAAGCCAGGCTTTCGGGGTAGAACAGAGTTGGTGGACATATTTCAAGAGATCTATGAGTTTGGATGGGAAAAAAATACATCTTTATTTCCACTAACTTCTTTCTGAAATGTAGCATGCCCTTCCATTATGAATGTAAATGAGATACATTCTGAGAAAGGGGTTCAGCAGCTTCACCAGATTGCCAGAGGGGTCTGTGCCACAAAAAAAGATTAAGGGCTTCTGAGCTAGAAAATCTCTAGATTGAATCCAGTACCCCTTTCCCCCAGTATAGATTAGATACTGGATTAATGTCCTAGATCCAGTTACAGATAGTTGTATCAGTCTAAAAGACTGTTTATTGTTTTCAAGGGATTTGACAAATCTTGATCAGCCTAAACATGCAAATTTTCCCCAGTCCATTCATTCTCCCAGTTGCTTGATAAATTAACAAATATTTAATGAATGCCCACCCTTCATACAATGACACAGTACCAGTGCAAATGATGTCAAAGGACCCTGGTAATTGCAAAGAAGAAAAAGATTATAGGTGGTTTTTTTTTAATTAAAATTCTAACACGTCCTATTTAATTCAGGCTCTCAGTTTATCTGTATGCCTGTTTTAGATGCATTAAATCCCCATCCCTGCAAAGTCCTATCTCCAGAACCAGGCTTTCTTTGGGAAGCAGAAGGGTGTTGGTGATTGTCACAGAGAAAAGTCATCCCCGAATTACAGCTGAGAAGGGTGTGGATTCCTGTGTTGGGCTTTCAGGGTTGTACAGCTTATAGTACTTGTTAGGTATTCTAACAAAGAACCCCATCTTTTATTTAGGAGGAGTCAATGAAAGGAGAAATTCTAGAGCTGAAAACCAAATTGTCTAAGCAAGAGACTCTCCTTCAGAGTACAAATGAACGCCTGAAGACCAGCAACCGGCTGAAGGAGAGCATGGAGCAGTTCATTATCAACCAATGTAGGTGTTCCCAGCCAGCACTGCTCAAGATTGGAGGGTTAGGGAAGCAAGATGGAAAAGGAGAAACTGTTTCTACACATCCCTGCCCTTCTGCTAGATGTCCAGTAACCATGGAGACCAAAGAGAGTCCATCACATGATGTGTCTATGGATGGAGCTCTCCTGATGTCCCCATGCTTCCTGTGCATTATGTCGCATCAATCAACAAGCATTTATTATGTGTCAGGCAATCTGCTAGACACTGGTGATTCAAAGCTAGCAATAAATGTCCCTGTCCTCAGGGAGCTTACATTCTATCACAGAAAAAATAATGTGGCCATATAATGGATACATAATATATACAAAGTAAATAGAAGATAATCTGGTACGAGGAGGGGTACTAGTAGCTGAGGGGAGGAGAGGTGGAGAAGGATCAGGATAAGTGCTTAAGATGGGGTTTGAATAAGAGGTGGATTCTAAGAGATGCAGGTGAAGAGGAGTCCAAGCATAGGGGAAACTGTACAAGGGCACAAAAAAAGGACAAAATGTATGGCACCAGCAGCAATGTCTAGGTGAATCATAACAGTGTGTGAAGAGGAATATTGTGTAACAGGACCTGGAAGTATAAATTTGGGCCAGGTTGAGAAGAGCTTTAAGTGCTAGAAGAATTTGTATTCTATCCTATAAGCAATAGGGAGTGATAGGAGCTTCTTGAGCCGGGGAGGGACACAGTCAGACATGTGCTTTAGGAATATCACTTTGGGAGCTGTGTTAAGATAGACTGGAAAAGGGAGAAACTGGAGGTAGGAAGAACCAAATAAGAAGCTATTATAATTGTCCAGGCAAGAGGTAATGAAGTTTGAAACTAAGAGGGTAGTCACATAAATAAAGAGAAGAGGTAGACTTAACAAAATGGGTTACCTGCTTGGTGATGGGGAATGAAGAGTCGAGGATGGCACTGGGATTGTGAACCTAGATGACTGGAAAGTTGCTCTAGTATCCTCAACAGAAAGAGGGAAGTTAGGCAGAGAAGGGTGGGCTGTTGTGGAAACATAATCAGTTCTGTTTTGGACATGTTGAGTTTGAGATACCTACAGGACATCCAATTTAAAATGTCTAGTGATGGAGCTCAGAAGCTATACATATTGGGGTTGTATAGAGAGAGATGGATATTGAACCTATGGGAGCTAGTGAGTTCACCTAGAGAGTAAAGAGAGGGGAGAGAAGAGGATCCAGGGCTGATCTTTTAAGCTTATCCATGATCAGGGAATGGAACATAGATGAAGATCCATCAAAGGAGATTAAGAACAAGTTAAGAGAAATGAGAGAACAGTATCGTGCAAAAACAAAACAAAGAAGACAGAGAGCCAGGAAAATACAAATGTCAAATGTTACAGGAAGGTCAAGATAGATGAGGATTGAGAAAAGATCATTGGATGTAGCAGTTAAGAGAACATTGGTAACTTCAGAGAGTTTGTTCTCAGCTGAGTGATAAGGTCAGAATCTAGGCTGCAAAGGATGAGGAGTGAGAGAAGAAGAAGCAGAGGCAAAGTGTAAAGAGAATGGAGGTTTTCCCCCTAGAAGTTGGCTGTGAAAAGAAGGAGGGAACATAGGGTGATAGATTGGAAGGGGATGTTAGGTGAGAGGTTTTTTTTTTATTTTTTAATAGGATTAAGTGAGAGGGGTGTATGTGTGTGTGTGTGTGTGTGTGTGTGTGTGTGTGTGTGTGTGTGTGTGTGTTTTAAAACGAGAGATTTGGTTGGGTTTGTAGGCAATAGAGAAGAATAGGGATAGATTGTAGATTAGAAAGATGGGAAGTGGATGGGATGAAGGGTACAGGTAGAAGAGTTGTTCTTTATGAGAAGGATCATGTCTCGTCAAAGACTTGAATAAAGGAGGAAATAAGGGAAATAAGTCAGGGGGATTTTGATGTGTAGAGTAGAGGTGAATGGTCTCTTTTATTTGTAAAGTTGAGGCCATGTCCTCTACTGAAGTGGTGAGAGGGAAGAGTTCTGCGGGAGGCTGAGGAAGAGAAGTTTCAAGGAGTCTCTATTATAGAGTCCTTGGAATGGAGAGCTGATCAGGGAAGAATAAAAAGATTGCTTTGCAGCAGCAAGGGCCCATTTGTATCAGACAGCATAAATGTGGAACAGAATCAGCATGGTTTCATGGCTTCCTGAAGTCACGAATGAAGTATCATTCAGCAGTGGAACTGGACGAGGTGGCCAATGTGAATAATCTGGGGTTGGGGGATAGTTGGCAAGAACAGTAATAGGATAAGAGGGCAAGGGATTCTGATGGACAGAAATCATGAATGAGAGAAACGGGACTGACCAAGCAAGGTAAGCCAGAGAGCAAATTTATGCTCAACCAAGGGAGTCATTAGCAGACTCTTCTGATTTTTGTCTTTTTTTGTTGTTGCAGTAACTAGGACACATGATGTTTTGAAGAAGGCAAGGACAAATCTTGAGGTAAGAGAATTGGCAGTGGCCAGTTCTATCAGCTAATCATGGGACCCACTGCTACCTCATCCATCAGCCTTTGCACCTATAACCAGGTGACCACCAAAGCTGCAGTTTAGCTTTGAAGGAAACCATGCTCTTTCCACAACTTGTAATCATCATAGTGGGGCTGCTGTTCTGCTTCTCATTTCTTTGTCACCTCTGTGACCTCTCTTATATTGTTAACCTCACTCACGCTCTTCTCTGTTCATTTCCATCACCCCCTTTTTACTTTAAGCTTGATATCCGAAGAAATGCAATTCAGTTCCAACCTGGAGGAACAGGGAATGTAAGCAATCGTGGCTGTGTGACAACCACAGGGAGAAGAGAGGGAGGGAACTAAAGAAAGAAACATCGGGACCATCACGACTCTTCTTTGGGAAGAGTGGCTGATGCTTGTCAGGCTTGGTGGGTAGGAATTGGGGGATGGGATGGGTAGAGATTAGGCTGGCTAGCCCTAGTGAATAAAACTCAAGAAAAGGGAGATGGAGAAGGGCTGGGATCTGACAGGTCTGTCCTGCATCGGCAAACTAGCTTTCGCATCAGGATTTTTCCATTTCTTCTACTTTATTTCTGAATAGCAAAGGGTTGAGACAACTACAACAGAGAAAAGCAGCAGGCACAATATAACATTACTTTTAACCTTTTCCTTTAAGGAGGAACAGAGAGTTTTTCTATAAATTTCTTTATGAAAAATTTCAAATAGGAAGGCTGTCTTAGATCTTATTCCGAAGAGACTAGGATAGTACGTGAAACCTAAAATAGGGAATGGCTTAAAGAAAAGACTTCTAAACACACATACTGTTGAAGCAAAAGCATGAAGGTATGAGGATTAACTGGGAGAAAACCCTTCTCCCATGAGCTATTTGAAGCCTTTAAAATAAGCAGAGGGAATAACTTTAAAACAATGGCCAAAGTATTGCCAATCCAACTCCTGAGAACATTACTCCAAGAACCTGCAAGTGGTAACCTGGTGTGAAGACCACCTTCAGAGGAGTGGGATAGGGAACGACTCTGTTCTTCTCCATGCTAACATCCCTTCTTTCTTTCTCGGACAATCCCTTTCTCTTCTGAGCCCCTTCAGAAGAACACTTCCAAGATTAATTACATAAAGCTTCATCCCTCTCCCAACAAAGGTAACAGCAGCCTCTCACATCTGTTTGGTTTTTCCCAGCTTGCTTCCGCCATGTCTCCGCCATGATCAAAGGCTTCTGTGGTGTAGTGGAAAGAATATTTGACTGGCAGTTGGGAGACCTGGATTCTAATTCCAACTAGTACAACTAGGGCACGAACCATTCAGCCTTTCTAGGCCCATTCTTCATCTATAAAATAATGGGGTTCTATTTGGTGTTCTGTGAGGTCCCTGTGACACTTTTCTATGGCGCTTGCAAAGAGGGAGGAGAAGTTGCTCTTACCAGAGCCAGAGGCATGGCTCCATCTTTTCTCCCCAGCAGGATGCTTCCTTTTTAATTTGGGCTTTAGATGCTAATTGCTTTTCTCCTCGAACAGCATGAAATACTATCCTTTTGCTCCAAATAGAGGTTACTAATCAGAGATCTCACTGAGGAGGAAAGGGAGTAATGGCAGAAAGGAGACTGTTTGTTTATAGATCTAGCACTAATTAGCTACGTGACCCCAGGCAAACCACACACCCTTCCCCAGCTTCTCCTTCCTCATCTGCAAAACATCAGGGTTGGGTAATGGTGGAGCTCTGTGGCGTCCTGCTTTCCAGCTTTGATTAGTGATTCTGTGGACTCTGACTCTGCAGCAGCTTTAGGCAAGGAGGGCACCAATACCTATAGGTGGGGACCCATAGACTGGTCTACCTAGAAGCTTTCTGTCTAGCTGCTTGGCCCTGATCTCCTCTCCCCATACTTGAGACTGTCCCACCCTGCTGATTCCTTTAATATGAATATAATCTCTCTCCCAGTGGCTATCCTGGGCTTCTGCTAACCTGTTAATTCAGTTGTGCCTCCAATTTCAGCACTCATAGTAACACCAGACTTACTCTGCTGTCTTGTATTCCACCCGCAGGTTAACTCCCAAAGAGTTCTGCCATACACCCAGGTCATGTGACCCCTATCTTCCAGGAGCCAGGCAGAAAGCGAAGCCATCAGGGGGCCCTGAAGCAAGAGGAGGGACATGCCTGTCCGCGATTTCTCCAGTTACCTAACCATTGAGGAGCAGCCAGGTCCCTTTGAAAGCCGCACTGTGGGGCTCAGAGGACCCAGAAGCAGAAGACAGAGCATTACCTTGCTGGAGGTGCATGGAAATGGAAGGAACCCAACAATCCAGTATTATCACCATCCTGGCAGGGACCCACACCTGGCTCTGGGCAAAAATGTAGAAACTTATTTATGGGTGTAGAACCTAAAATGCTGCTTCTACCTTAGCCTTGGGTCGTTTGGATCCCGTCCCAAGGGAGCAGAAAGCCTAGATGTCTGCAGCACAAGCTTCTTTCTTCAGTACTTGTCCTTTAAATGTGTAAACTCAGGGGAAACATAGCCATCCTCCCCTTGAATGGGTAGCGGCATGGCCCACAGACACTGGACATTATAATCCCTTAGGAAAGTGCATAGATCAGTGCGACTCTAGAAGCATATTTTCCAGTTATGCATGAGCAGTTGCAAAGGGCAGTTGAAATACTGACCTATTCCCCTTGGTGGTCACTATTCACAACTCTCCTCTTCCTGGAGCAGCCTCATATAGACTGTTCATGAGAGATGGAAACATGGAAAAAATAACATACAGAAAGTAACATCCAGAACTGAAATTTCATCCCTGGAAGGATCACCATGGTGGCTTGCCTACTTTTGCCCTGGTGTGGAGAGAAATGAGACATGGAGGTCTTAAGCCAGATTGTCCTCCTCACCTCGGAGCAGTGGCCTAATAAATGGCTGGATTCCTGGACTGTTTCCCACCTTCTATATCTAATCATTTAATTCTTTTTTTCTCCATTTTGCGATACACAATTTTCACTTGATTTGGTTTAGCTGTGGGATGGTATTTACTTGCTGTACCCTTTCTTTATCCTAGTTTCTCCCTCTTAGGGAATCAGGAATAGCTGACCAGACACTGTCCAGCATCGAGCCTCCATTCTCAGTCCTCAGTTAGGCAAAGTGAAGCCCATTCTTAGGTGAAATGCAAGAAGACTTCCGCTGTGGTGAAACCTTCTTTGTGGCACCTCAGTACTTGTAGGATACATGTGTGTATATATGCTGCCACAGTGGTGTGAGCCACAGGACAGATGGTTGGGGACAGGAGGGAGGCAGGAGAGAGATATTCCAGTCTCCTTATTAGGCTGTCTTATGCCTAAGGGGAGGGCAGATTGTGTATAAGAAATAAAAGCTTTTTTCTTCACTTGAACTTTTTGTTTCCCACTCAATTAAGACACCAGTTAAATATGGAATGTACCTCCTTTCTTGAATTTGCTCATTTCATGGTGTTGGAGACCCTCAGCCCTAAACTTGGGGGCCATACCTTAACTACAGGTCTGTAATGGTGGACTAGGTTTAAGGAATGCTCTATTTGTTTGAGATTTCCATATCCCCATTAAGTAAGCCTTATGCACATACCTCATCTCCTTTGGAAAATGCAAAACAAGACAGTGACCATTTCCCTTACTTTTCCCTAGAGCTGTAGGTTCACATTAGGTGCAGCAGCATACACTTCTGAATGATAGAAGTCACTACTTTTCCCAATGTGGCCCACCCCTAGAAACTCAGGCAGCAAGCTGACACATGAACTAGCCTTCACTGCTAGATGTGGGGGAGAGAGGACAGTCTGAAGAGGGTGGGCAGCTCCTGGGGAGACATGCCTTCTATTAATAGAGATCCTATTGACTTCTGCTCTGACCTGGGACACAGAGAGTTTAAGTGACTTGTAAGGGTCCCACAGCCAGAATGTGAAGGTCACACCTGAACTTAGCTCTCCCTACCTTGCCATATTGTATTAGTCTGTTCAAATGTGTTCATTACCTAAGTATAGTTTCCCATTTCACCGTGGAAAAATGCTGAGCACACACTACTGCCTTCAGCTGCATGTCCATGTTTGGAGTCAATGAGCAGGTTAAGTCCACGTGTTTATTAGGCAAGAATGAATGACCAGATCAGGGAAATGTGAAGTCATGGAATCTGCCTTTGTGCTGATACCTCCTATACCTATCCTATGACACTTGTTACCCACTGTTCTGGGAACAATCCCAACTGTCTGGCTGCCAGAGGTCGGTGTGCCTTGACAACACAGTAATGGAAGGAGACCCACAAGACTTGTGTTGTACGATAATTTTTATTTTAAGAGTTACATTCACGGGAAAATGAACCTGTCCACGTGACATCACAGAGGCTCTGCGTACTACAGGTATCACACACCTCATCCAGGGGTAAGTCACAGGTCATCAGTAGGAAAACAAAGAGCTTCCAATATATGGAGGTACAAGGATGGGGAGGTGTCCTCCTGTTCTCTGAAAATTTGATCAGCCTTTTTCAAGGGCCCATGCAAAGATTTAAGACCATTGAACAAATAGACATTCCTGCTTTGGGTGCCCTGAAACACCATCCTGGTCAGGGGAAGTGTTTGCAGAAAGGAAGAGAGATCACCAGGACTTAAAAATACTTAATGTAGGTACCTCCATTAGTTAATCTTTTTGAGATAAAATTGACTGGATTCAGCACTTGTCTCAAATTTCACTTCTAGGAATACTTTTATGTTAGTCAGGGTTCTTTTGGGCACAGTGATACCAATAGCACCTTATGTCAGAGAAATTAAAATGGAACTTGTACTCAGCCTTCAGACTAAGGAAAAGTTCTTCTCTAAGTGAAACAGAACCTTGTCAGAAAATAACACCTCCTCCCCCTTAGGTGGCACACTAGGACAGCGACTCAACTAACTCAATCCAATTTATGAAGGATTTATAAGGGCCTTCTCAGGACCAAAAGGCCCAAATCAAAGTCCCAGAAGGTCTCTTTCAATGCTAACTTAGGCCCCTGTGCTCCAAAAAGCCTTTTCTCTTACAGAGGAGCTGTACCTTGCTACCTTAAATTGTGTAACTGTCTGCTTTGAAGCAAATGCTCTGACCCATCACATACTATTTTGATACTGTGAATAAACTAGTTAGCAGCAGTGAATAAACAAGGGCAGGCATTTGGCTCTCAAGACATAAGATAAACGAAGGGCCAACAACCTACACAGACTCATACCGTTGTTGGTCTGTGCCAGCCAGCCCTCTGAGGATGGGACTTGGAGAATGCACTAGAATACTGAATACTTCATAAATACCTGTGGCCAGCTCCTTCCTGAGAGAGGCTTCCTAAACCAATGCATTCATTTCATTTCCCCAATCTGACTCTTTCTAAATATCAATCTCACCACTTCATGGAAAAGAGATTATAACTTAAGAGTCTGCCAAGGCGGGAGAAATCTGGGAATGATGAGAGTAGGGAATAGACTACAGAACTCCCTAAGAAACAAGCCTCCTTCCTAAATTTCCATCTGGAAATGTCTAAATTACTTGCAGTGGGGATGGAGAGCTAATTCCTGGCTAGCTCTGGGTTAATGAAGGCAAGGCCTGTGGTGCCTCTTGTGGCCCTGGCTAGCCATGGCCATATAGGCCACGTAACATTTCACCAAACTCTGAGGATTCATCTAATTGTTTTTATTGCTTCCATTATGACTTAAAGTGAAAAGTCTGTTTTAAGTGACATCTGAATTGAGAGACCATGTCCTTAGGAAATGAATATTTATAGGGAACTCAAAATATTTATAGGGAGGTCAATGTGCACACAATGGAAGAGAATGCCTCCTCCTGGGCATCCCTAAGATCCTGGGCTTGGTTTGGCAAACCCAGGGCTAAGGCCAGGTTTCTAAGACTGGCCTAAGTTCTACTTGCCCTCGGGCCTCTATTGTGCCCATAGGCTGTCCATCAGAGAAGCCCCAAATTCTCTGCTCTCCCTTTCCCCTACTGTTCCTATACCATGTTTTGGTTCTTTCACAGTCCTTCCTCCTTGAAGGATAACCCATTCTGTTAATGTGCCAGTTTGCCCTCAGATATTCTGTGGAAATGACCGACAAAAAGCTTAAAAGTAGGTTTCGCTACCTTTGCCCCTCATTTCCAGACCTTTATCAGAATGTCTAAGGTGGAAGATAAAGGCATCATTTAAACAAACACCTGTAAAAGCTTTTCAAAACCAGAGCAGGTCATGCTCCGGACCACTTCCTCCCAGGCGGCCACAACAACTTTTTGTGGAGACTTGCTGGATTCTGGTAGAGTGCTCTACTCATGTGGAGAAGGGAGTAATTACCATGCCCCTTCCTAACAATTCCCTTCTAACTAACTGGCTGGCTTCCATCTTACTTGTGGCTTAGGGTAGATTTATTTCCCCAAAGCTTGGCAAAGTGGCACCCCACACATCATTCAGGACACAGAAGTCTGAATGGAGGACACCAGGGCCACAACCCACTGCTACTGAGCCACAGGTCTTGGGCCCAAGAGAGAACTTCAGTGTCCCCTTTCCCGTCTCACTCCAGCACTACATAGACCTGTGTGGAATGAAAAATTTAATACGTGAATACAGAGGTCATTAGATATGACAACTACAACTTTGTTCAATCCCGTCACAACAGATAACCTGGCAAAAGACATCACAGGAAAAAAAAATCTGAGTTTTGTTTTTCTGACCTGTGAAACACTCAAATTTATGTCATATTTCATCAAACAATTTCAAAGTGTCATATGATTTAACAAAAACAACCACAACACTACTCCAGGAAAAGGGCATCTGGGCCCAAAGTAGGGTGTCCATACAAGATTTTTGGTGCAAAGGTGGAAAAGTTCTCAAGTGTCCAAGGCAGCATAAATTAAGCTCAATAATTAGCCAAGCCAGTTTCATTCACTCCCCCATTACTAGGGCATCCCTGCTCTCCCCACCACCCTAAGACTGAGACTGGCCAAGATGCTGAGAACCCATAAGGCTACACTCCCAAGACGAGAAGTCTTTTCCAAGCTCAGCTCAGGATAGGCAGGAGGTAGCCAAAGTGACCTGCTGGTGCCCTGTTATTGTGGCAGGGTCCATCCTAGGCAGTGTGGGAGACCCTCAGCCAGCAACAGCTTTAGCCTCCTTGAGTGTGGACAGATGACCTGCATTCCTCTGTAAAAAGGGAAGGACCACAGACACTTGGAAAAATTTCAAGCCTCAACAATATAACAGTGAATTTGACTGCACAATTTCTGCTAAGCCAAAGTCAAGTTACTTTTAAAATGAGGAGCAAAAAAAAAAAATCTTATAAAGAGTTTAATGCACTATTCTAAAGGGTACCATCTTGTGTCTCAGCTTGAGGGTAAGAGACTTGGGGATGAAGGAATTCCCTTCTCTACCCAAGGAAGCTAGAGTGAACTTACATCTAGAGCAGCATGACAGAGTGGTCAGAGGACTGGACTTAAGGGTTAGGAAGAGCTGGGTTCAATGCCCATCTTTGACACTTACTAGCTTTGTAACCATGGGTAGGTCACTTAACTTACTCTCAGACTCAGTTTTCCTCACCTGTAAAATGAGGAAAATAATATATGTAATATATACTTCATTGGGTTATTAGAGTCAAATGAGATTAGGTATACAAAATGCTCTGTAAACTTTAAAGCACTATAGAAATGTCAGTTATTATATAATGACATTACATGTACTACATACACATACAAGACACACACACACACAATGGCATTACATTATAATGGTAGGCCCAGGGAAGGCTGTCCAAATGTAAATATTCAGGAAGCTAGGCTCAAGAACAAGATCTTTTGAGACCTTTCTCTTATCTGCCGGAGGGAGCTGAGAGCAAGCCTACATGAGGCATGACATGCCTTATGAACCCTGACATTTTCAGGACCTTCTAAATGTGTTTCTTCACTAGGAACTAAAGCAAGCCAGCATATGGCTTAAAGAGAAAGGGTGTCTCTGGACAATCCTACCCCTAAGGCAGGAAATGAGGTCTCTACCCCACTACCCTTCACAGGGACCCTCACCTGTGACCCTAAATTTTGTCCTGAAGGGAAAAGAGTGAGGAATAGGAGCTGGTGAAGGGATCAGGAAGAATGAAGCGTTGTATGCAGGGAAAAAATCACAGCTTTGGGGAACTTGAAAAAAAGATAAGTCTTCCACTTAATTGAGGATAGCTTTCCACAGAGAGATGCAAGATCTCCTATGGGAGTGCCTGGCCAGCAGTGTGACCCACTTTTATCACCAGGTTCTATGCCGGACAAGGTTCCTTCACATTTATTATTCCATGCAGCTTTAAGTAGTGTTCTCACTTCTATTCCCCTAAGCCTCTGGAAAGCACTCAATAGGCATCCTACGGAAAGAGATTTGATAGCGGCGAGGTTTCCAAGAACATTAAGATACTGTATGTATGATATATATATATATATATATATATATATATATATATACACACACACACACACACACACACACACACACATATGCATGAGCCCACCCTTTTCTCTTAAAAAAACAAAAACAACAAACTACATGTGCTCGCGAGGGAGTGCACGTACACGTACACACACACACACAAACACACACACACATGCTCCTGCAGTCCAATGGAGGAGCAGAACAACCCATTCAGAGGAGGCTCAGAAGCACATAAACTGGCCTCAAAGTTTGTCAGTTGTCAGTTCTCAGTTCTAAGCTAAGCCTGGGATTCAGCACAGAAATACAAAGAGGACATTTCTTCCACATCCAGGGTAGCGAATAGGGCCCCATTCAGATGGGCTTGTACAGCAGAGTGGTGACGTACTTCTTTTTGTAGCGATGAGTGGCACTGAGAACCATCACACTGTCCTGGAAGAGAGAGAAAAAGGGGCAACTAATTCCCCATTCCGAGGCTCAGCTCACTCACGCCCTAAGTACCACCAATTAGCCCCCAACTCTGAACATGCATTGATATCAAGTACTGGGATTAACTAGAGGCAAAACCAGAGGATGTTCTGGAGGAAATACCTCTGCAGTACTGTCTAAAGGGAAAGCCTAAAGCAAGAAAAACACAAAGACATTTTAGTGAATTTCTATCTCTTGCCAAAGCATATGCAGCTCTTATCTGCATGGAAGAGTCTACTTTCATTTGAGGAAAAATAGGCTACCTAAGGAAGTTCAAAATGGGCCCAGACCCCCAAATCTTCCCTAGAAAGAATGACCCAGTAGCTGAGCTCCAAAGACTTTAATTGGTTTTCCAAGTACCCTCCGGTCTGGGGATGACTCAAAGCCAGGCTAAACCCCTGTAAGAAGGAATGTCCTTGGACTAGGGGCTAGAACTCAGAAGGAAGCGCCATCTTCTGGTACCTTTGCTCCATACTATCAAATACTGTTTAAGCCACAGGGGGAGATGGCAGGTCTACCATTATCATGAAAGCCAAAAAACAGGCAGATGTAAATGACAAAAGGGAGTCTCTGAAATGTGATCAAAGGACAAAAGGATCCAAAAAGGCCAGATTGAGAAACTAAGGCTCTCTAAGAAGCTCCCAAATACAATATTACTCCACAGGCATTCTAGGCTTAATCACTGCTTACACAAGACAAAGGGAGAGGGCCAAAGAGTAGCAGAAAAAGAACCGGGAAGCAAGGCGGTGGAGGTAAGGGAGGTAGCTCCTTAGGAAGGCCTGGGCAACAGAGGGAAAGATGCTGTGATAATTAAGAGACATTTGCGTCCTTCTTTGTAACCTCAGCGGCTGGAAAACGCCTGGCACACAATATGTGCTTCATGAATGCACTTATCAGGTTCCTAAAACACAAGGTGAACCAGCAGGGATGTGCGTGTTTGGAGGTGATGGAGAATCTCTGGCTCTTTTTCAGTTAGCTCTAGTTCCTGAAAACTGAGGGGGCTAGAACAAAAGCATACGGCTTTACGGATAGCCTGAGAGTATGCTACAGGAAAAGAGAACCAGCTCAGACCACACCATTAAGAACATTGAGAGCTCCCTACAAGCTAGGTTCTTCTCCAGGTCTGAGGCTACCACAGAAGCTCCCAGTTGGAAGGGACCTCAGGGGACATGCCTCTAGTCTGACTCAGACCTGAACAAGTAGAATATGCCTGACAAGTGGTCACCAGGCCCTTCCTTGAAGACTTGTAGTGAGAGGGAATACAGAACTTCCATGGAAGGCCCGTTCTGCTTCTGGAAGGTTCTAGCTGTCAACTCCCAACATGGGAGCTGAAACTTGCAGCCCATGCTCCTAGGCTACCCTCTGGCACTGAGCAAAATAATTTTGTTCCACATTCCAGTTTCTTATTCTTTATGAATGGGGCCCTCTGGCTATGGACCCTACAACCTTACTAAAATATGGTGCCATTTAATGACTAATATGGAAGCAACAAATTGCTAATAGATAGGTTCATTCAAAGGCAGAGTAGTCCAATTACAGAAAACCAGTTGAGTCTGATGACAAAAAGCTTACCCCTAAGCAAGTGCCTTCTTGTCAACTGGTCACCACCAGTGCGTGTAGGGAGGAGAGGTCAGCAAGGTCAACAAGGTCAGCCTAACGCCTCTTTTACCATATACCCCTTCCAGGAATCCTTGTGAGTAGCCAGACCATCACTCACCTTAATGGACAATGCATACAGGTGGTTGAGCATGACATGGTTTGGTTCAGGAAGAAGTGCTGGGTCACACTGAAGGAGAGAAAGAAAACACCAGAGCTCAACACAAAGTAAAGAAATACCCGGAGCTCCCCTTCCTCAAAGGCCTTTTCCACTGGTCGGAAATTCATACCTAGAACACTAAAATGTAAAAACCCTAAGACATGAAATCTGCTTAATCCTTTTGAACAGATGTGAAATTCAAATCATACACCCTAGGCTCACACTGGAGATCTGAAGGCCAAAGATGGTAATGAAAATGAGTTATGTTGGTTACAGTTTTGGGTTAATAGTTCTTTGAGGGTGGAGAATAAGTCTTATGCTTCTTTTCTATGCCCCAAAGCACAAAGACGATATTAAATGCTCGATAAACACTTGCTGAATTGTGGTTCCATAAGTTGGTCTCAGCAAGCCAATATTCTGGGCCTAACAATATTAAAACCAACAGATGACTCCACGTTGGTACTGGTATTTCATGAAGCCACAACTCTACACTGGGGGAGGGGAACTTGGTGTTGTACTGCAGCATTAGATAACTGATACTATGTGTCTGCTCCTGAATCTGCATCTTCTGGAACTACTGACCTTTGGTTCACGATATTGTCATATAGGTGCAAATGATTTTTATGGAGGTCTTTCCATCTCCACTAGTTCTGAGAAGCCCTAAACCTTAAAAGGGCAGAGTGACAAGATACTCACAGAAATATTAGTGTCCTTGTTAAGAATAACCTGGAGAAGGTGAGGAGGAAGGATGGGTGGGGATTTGAAGCGCTCCTCAGATCGAAAGACATACATTTCCTGACCATAAAGCCCTGGTGGAGAACTGGATAGGTCTGAAAGAAATTTTCCCAAGTATTAGAGGAAAATGTGAATAGAAATCAAAAGACTTTTGAACCAGTGAAAGATGACCTTGTTGAAAGCTAATGCTATCACAATGATAGTCACTTACTCTTAGATATGGAAGGGACTGCTAATGCCAAGGAAAAGGGTCCAACTCACACCTGACCAAGAATCCCCTTTAGCGCATATCCAACAAGTGGCTATCTGGTCTTTGCTTGAAGACTGCCATTGAGGGGGAATCTGTTTCTCCAACTTCACATCATCAAATAAAAATGCTATTTGGCAAATTCATTTTTAAAATTAAAGTTAAATAAAATTAATTTTCCTTTGAAAATCTGTCAAGGACTCCTCAACACCTGCGAAAAAACTGAAGACATTTTCTGCTGAAATTCAACCAGGGTTAGGAATCACTGACTTAGTCTAAGATCCAAAAACAAAATATACTTTCATTTAACAAGACAGATTAGAGGACCAAAACCCCTGGCCTTAAAATGGGAGACACATACTAGAGTCAATATAAATACGACCAAAAGGGTGACTTCAGTCATTTCGGATCACTTGGCCATCAACTAATTCCTTCTTCAGAGCCATAAGCACTACAATGTCTTGTTATCTCTGCTGTGTGGAAATGGGGGAAAAGGTACCAAAAGAAATACTTAAGAATGAAATCTTGCATCTTTATTTGACTATTGCACTTTTAAATTGTCTCACTTTTACCACCTCCCTTGATAAATAAAAAGAGGTCAGAAATCATACAGCTGGTCAGTGCTTGAGCTAGGAATGGAGCACATCTTATATCATTCCCAAGAGGATGTTCTTTCCACTGTTACCATTAATTAATAAGGGGAAAGAAGCTAATAGAATAAGAAACTGGATAAGGGGAAAAAGATGCAAAGATGAAAGATAAACCACAGTGAGTAGGTATACTGGAAGGCAGTATAATTTGGTTCTATGTGCAGCCAGAATGGTCCTTGTAAACTACAATTTAATTGCCAAGACATATAGGATCCTGGAATAAGATAAGGACAGTAAGCAGATTTTTAGGCCACAGCTCTCACTGTCTTTTTTTTTTTGTGAGGCAATTGGGGTTAAGTGACTTGCCCAAGGTCACACAGCTAGTAAGTGTCAAATGTCTGAGGCCAGATTCGAACTCAGGTCCTCCTGACTCCAAGGCCAGAGCTTTATCCACTGCACCACCTAGCTGCCCCAAGAAGCTGAGGAAGGGCTAGAGAGGATTAGTTAAAACTATGTCCAAACACAGTCCATTCTTTTTTTTTTTTAAAGGCAATTGGGGTTAAGTGACTTGCCCAGGGTCACATAGCTAGTGTCAAGTGTTTGGTCTGAGGCCGGATTTGAACTCAGGTACTCCTGACTTCAGAGCCAGTGCTCTATCCACTGTGCCACTTAGCTGCCCCTCATTTTGTTTTTAAAATGCAAACAAGCAACTTTACAAAAGAGATTCTCTAATTATTTATATCTCTCCAAAATCTCTGCTTCCACATTCAGGGACTCTGAAATGTCCTCCTCTGAGCACACTCTGCTTTCATTCTACCTCTCTCTCTGCTACCCAATCTCAAACCTTGTTTACTATTCTTCATTCCAAGCTCCAAACCTACCCCTCAGTTATTTCCTAGGTCCACAAGTGATCTCATCCCCTTCTCTAGCAGACTGCCCCCCTAAGGGCTGCCTCTCTCCTGCCAACAAAGAAATGTTTCCCTATCTCTGCGGCCATTAACTAAAGCCAGACTGTCTCTGCTCATCTTCAATGACAATAACCAGCCTGGATCTCTCCTCTTCATGGCTAACCTTCCTGAGCAGGTCCCACACAAGAGGTGCCTCTACAGCCTTCCCCCTTACTCTCTTCTTAACTCTCTGCCCTCCCCAAAGTTACCAAGCATGTCTTAACTGCCAAATCTAATAGTCTTTTTTCAATCATCACCTTTCTTACCTCTAAACATTGTTAATGATCTTCTTTTCCTTGATATGCCTTCCTTCAAAGTTTTCCTGATCCTCCCTCCTTCACCCAAGGCTCTGTCCTCCTCTCCCTCTATATTCTTTCTCTTAATAATCCCATCAATTCCCATGAATCCAATTATGGCCTCTCTGCCCCTGATTCTCAGATCTATTTCTCTAGCCCTGGCCTCTGTCCCCATCTCCAGTCTCATACCTCCAACTGCCTCTTAGGTGTCATCGCACCTCACCTCCAGATCAGTGCAGCAGCCTGTTGGTTTGTCTGCCGTACATCTCCCTCCACGCTAGTCCACCCTCCACTCAAATGTCAAAATGATCTTCCCAAAGGGCAGGTCTGACCACGTTCGGGCCCCTCTTCAGCAATAATGGCTCCCCATCACCTTCAAGATCAAATGTAAACCTCTGTGCTCCAGGGATGCTGGCGTCCTGGCTGATCCTCTCACAACAGGCTCCATAATCCAATTTGGGGAGTTTCTCTGGCTGTTGCCCATGCCTGGAATGTTCTCTCCACCTCACTCTCCCTCCTTAAGTCCCAGCTAAAATCCCTTTTCTCCAGGAAGCCTTTCTTGAGCCCTTAATTCCAGTGCCTTCCCTCTAAGATTATCCCGTCAGTCCTGTAGTATCTTGTTTGTACACAGCTGTTGGCATGCTGGCTTCCCTTTAGACAGTCAGCTCCCTGAGGGCAGTGCCTGTCTTTGCCTTTCCTTGTGTCTGTCCTTAGTGCTTAGCACTGGGCCTGGCACATAAGAGAAGCTCACAAACTTCCTGCTGACTCACTCTTTTTTGTTAATGTCCATACACATTTATTCATTACAGTCAATGTGTAGGGATGATCTCATGTTCTGGTTTTCAATTAGGTACTTCCACATACAGGGTTCACGTGTTTGCCATTGCTATGGCGATTCAACAGTGACAGATCTAGGGTGCAGAATGAGACACATATTTTCATTATTGTTGTTTGTCCTTAATTTTCAAAGAGGACCAGTGACATTATGGGGTGATGTCTTGACCTGTATTTTTGTGCACCATCAATACTGTTTTCACTGTGCTTATTTATCACAATTCCATCACACTGTTTATCCATGACTCTACTTTTGGGACATCTGGTTATATTCAACTCTCTATTGTATTCTACCTCCCCCGCCAAAAAAAAAAAACCCAACCAAGTAGATAAATTAAGAGGAAAAAATGAGTTCTTTTCTTCTGAGGGCACTTTCTGATTTTCAAAATTTAATCGAAAATTTTTAGGAAATAAAAGCATACAAGTTTTCTTCCTCTAATTTTTCTTTTTCACCTACCAGTCCTTATCAACCATAGTAAGCTGAACCAATTCCCAATGGAGCAGGATAACCAGTATGATCTGGAACCTGAGGACCACCGGGCCCTTGGTATGGCTACCAATAAGAAGGCACAAGGGCAGTAGTTGTCTAAGTGAGTTATACTTGGATAGAAATAGCAAAAAGCAAAGAGAGGAAACGATCCAAAAGCTTACGATTAGGTGATCAAGAAGGTATCAAAATAAGAAATTTCTGCTTTACAAAGAAAGAAGGCGAGAGAGTTCTTAGGAAGGCAGGTATATTTTAAGGTGGGTTTTGTAATAAGATCAAAATACAAGTTACCTCGACATGAAGTCTCTGAACTCTCCATGGAATCTAACTTCAGAGCATCAAACACCTCAAAATCAGACTTTTTGACATGTATCAGGTTGTTAATAGTACCAAGCTGGCTGGTAACAACAGGCTGAAAAAGAAAAATGAAAAGTGCAATGAAGTCCCTTTCCAGAATTACCTCCTTTTTGCTGAAAACACTCACGCCTGATCTTTGTCTTTCACCAAGAAATGGACACTCAACAAGAGTTGGGCCAGATCAACAATCCGCAACTGCACAACCTCCTAACAAGAATACCACAGCACAAACTCCAGCATGCCTCACTTAGAGCTGTTTCTTTCCTTCAGTTCTGACAACAACATATGTAAGATATGACAGGAGTGAATTTCACTTACCACTTATTAAGCACCTACTCCAATGAGTGAAGGCACACCTAGTGTGTCTAAGTGTTGGGCAGCAAAAGGAATTAAAGGTAAATAAGTCGTATTCCTTGCCCCCTAAGAACTCATGGTCTATTAGGGGAAATGGTATATTCACAAACAGCTATAAAAACAATAATGCATTCAATCTGATTCAGTGCATCATGTCCACTACACACAAGGCACATAGCTTGTGTTGAGAGAAAATTTCTTTTAAATTTTTCACAAAGTTCTTTTCTTATGACTCTATATCATTATCCTAAGAGGAAAGTGAGACTTACGGAAATTAGATGTCTTGCCTATAATCACAGAGCTAATAAATATCAGCATCAGGGAACAAAAACAAGTCTTCTGACTCAGTTCTACTGGAGTCTCCTCACTGTGCTAAAAAGGGATAATGTGATTAGTATAAAATGGATGGACATTGTCCTGAATACACAGGTCAGAGATGTGAGAAAGCACTTCCTGCAAGGGGAATCAAGGAAAGTTTCATCGAAAAAACAGCATTTGAGCTAAACTTTGAAGGAGGCAAGGGATTTTAACAGCTGGAAATGTGGGAAAAGGAGAAAGAGCCTTCCAAGAACAGGACACCTTTTGAGCCAAGTTAGAAAAGGCAGGGCATGTTTGGAACTATTGGTAAATAGTACAGTTTGGTTATAGTATAAACTATACAAGGAAGAGAAGCATGACAAGAGGCTGCAAAAACAGATCAAAGAGGGCCTTGAACACCAGGATAGATTTGGACTTTATTCAATACCAAGGCAATTAATAAGCATGTTTGGTTTTGTTTTTGTTTTCCTTTTTTAATGGAAGATAACTGAATAGGAGATGTGATTAGTCTTCCTAGTAGATAACACATCTTATTTGGCAGTGCTGTGTAGGATGGATTGGAAGGCTGGTACACCAAAGATGATGACATCAGTTAGTAAACTATTCTAACAGTTTTAAGTGAAAGGTGATGAGGGCCTGGCCAGGATGAGAGTAACACAATTCCAACAGTTCACTTACCTCTGATGGATCATGGACCCACTGGCCATCCACGAAAAACTTGTACTGGTGCTCACCCTCGGGGAGGTCCAAAATGGCAACAAAATCATTGTGGCTACAAGGAAATGGAGAATAAGAAGAAACTGAGACTCTATTATTGGGTTCCCACGGTTCAGTTGCCATAATTAAATCTGGAGCCGAGTTCTGTCCCTCCTCAAATCTTCCTTAAATGCTCTGTCCTTCTGCCCTTGCATTTTGCTTCAATAATTTAAGGATCTGTGATTTATTTTAGCATAGATACTCCCTTCACTGACACAGAATGAAGACCTTCTGTGACTCAAGAGAGGTTCTTCAAGAGTCCAGCAGGGGCTGAACAATCCATGACTATGCAGCCCATCATCGGGTAACAAAGATCCCTCCATACCTTCTAGCTTTAACGCACGGTCTTCTTGGGGCAGGTGCTGTCATTTTTCATCTCTGCATCCCCAATTGTCTTACAGAGTTGCCATTTAATAACTTATTGGAATGGCATGTTATATTGACATAAGGGCTATTTACATATATTTACATATAGCTGTACTTAACACAGGAAAAAATCCCTTATAGTGTGGAGTAGAGGAAACAGCACTGGACTGGTGCTAAGAGCACCAACGACATGAGGTCCCTTCTCCTCCACTCTATTATAACCATGCAATATTTACATGAATAATTGTCACCTATTTCTAATAAATTCTACGCCAAACCTAATATATATAGAGAGAGGGTCAAAAAGGCTTTGTTCCATGAAGCAATTTATTTTTAGTTAGCCATGCCAAGTCAGTCCACACAAAGTGATCCTCCAGTCTGAGACTGGGAAGAAATTAGGTGGTTTTAAGAATATAAGCCCTGGGTAGAAATAACTGAGAGCCGCCTTTTAATATTTTTTCAGTTTCTTCCCTAGAGTACTGTCTGACCTCCAAGGACCGTGTGGATAAAAAGCTCATGATGAAAGAACTTCCACTTTTGGAGGAAGAAATGATGTCTAAAAATGCTGCCTAGGATCAAAGAATCATCCATTTTAGACCCAGAAAGACCTTAGAGACTGTCTACATTACAGAGCTCAAGCAGAGTGACTTGCTCAAGGGCACTCACTGAATCTGAGTAACCACTTAAAATGTCTGCTTGGATGATGCCAACTCCTCAGTAATAGATGAAACCCCCAGGGAGAAAATGAAATCTACTCTACGATGCCATTTCTAGAAGTGCACGGTGGCAAAAAACTGGGACTCCTTCTACTTGGCTTTGAAAGTCCAGCCCTGCCATTTACTCTCTGTATGAGCTTCTCTAGGTCTCGGTTTCTATGGCTGTAAAATAAGGGGGTTGGATTAAATGACCCCTAAGGTCCTTTTCTAGCACTAACTCTACATATGAGCTTATGAAAATATGTTCTCCCCAACACATTTATCCTCTTCATAACATATTTACTAGTGCTTTACAGTTTAAAAAGAACCTTTGCCAACAATATCTTATTTCATATTTACAAATACCTGGTGGGGTAGGTGAGGTAGGTATCATCATCTCCATTTTACAGATGAGGACACTTAAGCTTAAGAGGAGACATATGTCTTAGCCCAAGCTCTACCCTCTAGTGAGAAGTGCTGTCAGAACTCAAACTAATGCTCCATCTAGTACTCTTTCTACTATAACATATTCTCTCTCTCTCTCAACCCTCCCTACCCCCCTAAAAAACCCCCACTACTATACTGACACCTTATAAGACTTGGGGTAGTATATCATTCTGAATGACATGAAGCCACCATCACAGAAGCAAAGAATTTCAGAGCTGGGGGGAACCTCAGTGTCCCCAAAAGAAAGACCACTCCAACATATGGGACAAGAGGGCATCCAGCCTCTGCCTGAAGACCTTCCATGGGGGATGATCCCCCACTTCCCCAGGTAGGCCATGTCACTTTGGGCAACTCTCATGGCTAAAAGGCATTTCCTGACATCAAGTCTTAATTTATTCTTTTTCCACCCATTCTTGTTTGCTGCCTTTTGGGGCCATCCACAACAAGTCTCATCTCTCTTCCACATGACAGCCTGCCAAGGACTTTAGGACAACGCTCATATCCCCTTGAGGTTTTCAGCCTAACTGTCTCTTCCTAGACTCCATCAAAAGGGGTTTAGTTACCAAAAGTATACGATGGGACTTCATCTGTGGTCTCAAAGTCTAAGATTCTTTGGTGCATCAATGTTATAAATAACAGTCCAGGTACCGTATGGCAGGAAAAGACTGGCCACAGGGCTAGACGCTTTATGGATGATCCTTAGGAGGTATAGCTGTAATTCTGTTATTCCTCTTGGGAAGAGGGGATATTCCCAGTTTGAGAACCTAGGGATCCACTACAAATACCTATCTTTACCTCTTAATGAGTGGGATTTTGGCACTCCAGTTGTTGAAGGATCCAGAGATGAAGACTTCCTTGCCTCCCTCAGACCATCGGATGACTGTGGGACGGGCCTGCTGCATGGGTTTGACAGAGTCCTCCAAATCTTGCTGCCAGGACACAAACTCTTTGTCCCCAGGGAACTGCAAGAAAAAATACCCAGGTCATCCCTGGAATCAAGTAGAGCACAAGTGCTCAGAAAGGAGGCCGACTGCTGCCCACACTGAGGGGCTGGGCTTGCCTTAGACATGATCATCTCTATAACATGCTTTGAATAATCAACTACTACTGAATTTTGGATGTACCACAAAAAGATACACCAGAAAAAGTGGGTTGGAGTAGCTAAAGTTCAAGGGTTACCAAACCTCAGCCTAATAAACAGACCACCACTAGTAGAAATTTCCTTAGTCAAGTACAGACTAGCTTAGAATATAGCATATGAACACTGGGTTTTCCTTCTGATACTATCGACGACTGCAGGCAAGTCATTCTACCTTTTCGGAGCGGCTGCCTCTCCATAAAATGAGCTCCATAAATCAGGATGAAGGATGCTGTAAGTACTGTGAGTTTCTCTGCTTTACTTATGAGGCTCTGTTGCTATCTTTAACATTTACCAAGTGACACTATACAACTAGAAGATGGTGGGATTTTTTTTTAAAACCACTATTAAGTCAGTCATGCATTTGATAGGGAAATAGATAACTTCCAGTTTTTAATTGTAATAGGTCAACAAATAATTCACGAATCACACTTGATTAGTAGTTTTCAATAACAGAAAGGGAATCAGGCATATTATGAAGAATTATCAAAGTCAATGATCAATTTTTCACAAATTTGGAGGGAGGTATATAAAACCTCACTTACCCTGCTCAATCTGCTCTAAGTTAATTAATTTAAAAATGTATGGGTGGAAGGCTCTAGAGACTTAGAGAAGAGGAGCAGTGATGATGCCAGAACAGCTCCCTTTAAGTAAGGCAGTGCCAAACTCCCCTGATGTTTACAGAATACCAGAAGAGTTACTCACTTGGCTTCTTCCACTACTGTCCTCTACCCAGCCTCAGATAACCAGAGTGAGAAGACAAATAGAATCTTCAAAGCTTTGTTAAGTTAAAAAGAAAACGAAAATCTGGTGGTAACAACTACAACCCCCCCCAAAATAACCACTATAATTTCTTTTCATCTAGCATTTTCTTTCCAACAGCTGAAGTGATTCTCTGAATTTCTCAAAGCTTCTCCAGAAGACAATTTATGTAAAGAGATAAAGCACAAAGAAAGCAAAGTTAGAATATTATACATACCTATAATGACTATATTCTAAAAATGACACCAATGCCTCATAGGCACACAACATTAAAAAGAGAAAATAAGATGTTATCAGAACTTCAAGTTTAAATAGTGTTTCTTATTATCAAAATGTAAATAGTTCAGCATTTATCCTATTATTTAGAATTTTATTTCTCATTCTACTTGCTCGTTTTTGTTGAGACTATAACTAAATTTGTAATAAAATACCGTATAAGGCACATGGATAGCAAACACTGGAAAAGAGTCAATATCATTTCCCCAATTTATACATTGAGTCAGCTGGAAAACAAAAACCAAAAACCCTAATCTTTCAGACTCCAGCAGTTCCCTCTCAGATGGGGTCACACAGCACTCAATGCCACACAGATATCAACACCAGCTGCTTCTGGGAGATGTCCTTCTACCAGTACAGATTCCAACCCTGGAGTATTAAGTTCCATGGAGTTGTCCAGAGCGGAGAGGGATACAGTTAGCTAGTATCTGGGGTTGGATTTGAATCCAGATCTCCCTGGCACCGTGCTCAGCACTCTATCAACTACAATATGTTGCCTCTTAAAAAAAAAAAAGATATCTCAGGCAAACAACCCAAAACAACCATCAAGACAAAATGAATTTTTAAAAATCCTGCTTTATTCTCTACCTGTAAGAGGGCTAAGAGTTAAGGCCAGTTCAGACCCAAAGAGCCTCCAGAGACCTGAAGCCCAGGGCTCCTCTTAACTCTGTGTGTGTGTGTGTGTGTGTCTGTGTGTGTGTGTGTGTGTGTGTGTGTGTGTGATCCCTTTAGTAATCTGGTGAAGTCTATGGATCCTTTATCAGAATAATGTTGTTACATAAATAAAATACACAGAATCATAAAGGAAACCAATTATATTGAAAGATGTTGTTTAGTCTTTCAGTCTTGTCTATGACCCCATTTTCTTGGCAAAGATACTGGAGTGGTTTCCATTTCCTTCTCCAGCTCATTTTACAGATGAGAAAACTGAGGCAAACAGGGTTAAGTGACTTGCCCAGGATCACACAGCTAGTAAGTGTCTGAGACTGGATTTGCATTCAGGGCCTTCTGATTCTGGGGCTGGCATTCCATTCACATAGGTACCAAACATTTTTTAAAAACCAAGTTCACAGAATCTAAGCTAAGAATCCTTGCTCTGAAATGCTAAATTGCAAAGCACGTGGTGACCTGCATGGGTGGGAGAAGCTCTGCCATCCGAGAGCTCACCTTGTCAATGAGATCCCAGGTCCAGGCTCTACCCGTATTCCTACAAGCACCAAAAAGGTAACAGAGGAAAAAGACACGATCCAAGAGGCTCAAATTCAGGGGCAGTGACCCCGGTCTTTGTTCAGGATGTCGGGCACCACACTGACAATCTGGCGAATGGGGAAAGGCTACTTTTTTCCATACCTTGAAATCAGGGTCTGTTTTTGTCTAACCTAAATGGCATACAACTGTTAGAAACTGGGGGAATGCCTTGGCCTGGACAGTGACCATCTCTGGAGAGCCTGTTCTTCCTAGTATGGTAAATAAGAGGAAGGGGATTAAACTCTGAGCCATCATTCTAGGAAATGGGAATCTAGGGAAAGGATCATAGAGGCTTCTCCATGATTTAATCAAGAAAGCAGCTTAGCTGATATGAGGAAGAGGGAAAAGATAAAATACCAGGATATGTTTCTACTATCATTTATCTCCACCTCCCAAACTGAAATCCTTTTTTCAACCATGTACTGATAAAGTAAACAAACTGCAGAAATAAGACATGCTGTGTCATCAGCGGATTAAATTACAAACTTGGCTAGGCAGGAAGAGAAGTATTAGGCACACCCCTGCCTCCTCAGAAAAGACCCAAATACTATCTCTCATTTTATTTTTAATTCATCAAGTTAGGATACATGAGTAATTCCAGAACTCATTATTGGCTTAATCTAGTTCCCACATAAAATTTCTCAATATTATCAAAGCTCCATTCCCTTCTAAATCTAAAGTTAAGGTCATTCTAAATTTCCCTAGGTGGCTTCCTTTAGGAATTCTGGAAACACCCCCAAATGCCTAGGAATCCTTGGATCTGAGACATTTTGAGATACTACTGAAATGAGGGGGAAAAATCTATTTAGTTCAAGAATGTGCTGCATAAGCCTCACACTATCTTTAAAACTGGGGAGGAAGCCCCAAACACAGGTAGTGTCTCCCTCCCCTCCTGTTCTTACACCCAAAGTAACCAGTTTGGGAGCAACTCACCTCTTCAATCACTATACTTTTAAAACATAAACAAGACTAGGTAAATCAACCATCTCTTGTTCTCATAAACTGCTCTGCAGTTAAATCTAGACAAATAAAAGAGTGAGGACACCAGTGAAAAAAGAACTAGAATAAAATAGAGACAAATTTGTAAAACCAAACAAGGCAGTGGATATCCAAAACCCAGGTGCAGTCAGAGAAGCCACAGTAGGAAAGTGTCAGGCAGTGGTAGCTGATAAGATTAGAACTTTAGGGCCAGAAGGGGCCTCAGAGGGCATGGAGTCCACACGACCCAGGCACAGAGACTTGCCCAAGGTCACACAGCTTGTGTCTGAGACAGAATTTGAGCCCATTCCCTGACTCCAAGCCGAGGCTACCTCTAGCCATTGTCAACTCAGCACACTTCCCCCTTTTTTCCTCAACACAAGCCGCACTTAGGGGGTTTGAGATCCATTAGGACAGCCTGAGTCACAAGCCCAATCCAAGCCATTTTAGCAATGTCTCCCACAGACTAAAACCCTGGAAATGACCAGGACCCAACAGCAGAGACCCTTCTTTTGGGTGCTTCTGCTCCCAAATAGGGAGAGCCCACAGAGCAGGCAGGAGGAGCCCCACCTAGAAAAACAACAAAACCAATATATCACATTTAATTTAATCATTCAAAAAGCCTTAAATTAAATATCTACTAGAAGTGAAAGGGGCATCTAGCCCAAGCCCGGGTAGAGAAGCCCCTAAACAACAAACATCCCAGACCTTCATTCCTCTCCAGACCATCCTCCTGACCCTCCCAGATTTCCTCCTCAGTTAGCACATAGCACAATTAACACTTGTTGACTTGACCAGACAAGTGGCCAAATACACTGTGGCTGAGGACCTAGTAAAGGAAAATCCACTACCTCGAAAAGCCAGGGAACCCATTTTTGGATAGCTCTCCCGGTTAAATGATTTGTAATCTCCTTCCCTGTAACTGCCACCCACGATTCTCAGCTTGTTGTCCTGGGGCCAAGCAGCACAGATCTAATCCTTTTTTCCATATGACTGCCTGTGGGAATACCTGAAAGCAGCTATCATATCTCCACTAAAGTTTTCTCTTCAGACTAAAACATCCTCCCCTTCCTCAACTAATTCTCATACTGTATGATCTTCAGGGCCTGCCTAAAGTCCTTCTGGACATTCTCCAGTTTCCTAAGATCATATATTTAGAGCTGGGAGGGATCTTAAAGGTTATCAAGTCCAACCCCCTGGTTTTAAAGATGAGGAAACTGACGCACAGAGGAATCAAGTGAATTATTTGCCCGGGGTCACACACCCAGGTTTACCTGGCTCCAAGTCCAGAACCCTTTCCACTACACCACACTGTCTTATCAATGGCTTTCCTCTCAGAACTGAATACAACATTCCAATAATCCTACACAATCAATCAATCAATCTGTCTCTCTCCACACTATGACTGCATTATATTCTTAGGTTGTGTAGCACTGTTCTCATATTAAGCTTGTGGTCCAACAAAATCCTCTGATCTTTTGAGATAAAAAAAGTCAATGCTCTCCCCAAATCTCCTACTTGTGAAGTCAAGTAACCCTTATATCTGATCTTCCTAATCTGAGACCCTAGCCCCCCTCTCCCCACCCCCGTGGATTTCAGAGGATCTGTAAACTTGTATGGGGCGGGGAGGAGGGGAAGAAATGACATTTTTATTTTCACTAACCTCTAACTGAAATTTGGCATTTCCTTCAGTCATTTAAAAACATTATTTTCATGCATGAGGTCCATAGACTAAGTTGCTTAGCAAAGGGGTACATGACACACACAAAGTGAAGAACCCCTGATTTAGACAGACAGTTCTAAATGATGCACAGTTTTTCCTTGTAATCCTCCCAGTCACCCACTCTCAAATCATCCCTAGCTCGTCATTTCCACTCACCCCACACATCCATCCAATCTATAGCCAAACCTCCTTGTTTCTACCTTAGCAACACCTCTGCTATACATGCCCTTCTCTCTTTCAACAGTCATCAACTCATGCTTGGACTATTTCAACAACCTGCTGTCTGCTCTACTACTTCTCCCCTATCTACAGCCAAAGGCCACCTTCCTATAGTCCTCCCCTACTCAATAAAATACTCTGCTTCTCACCATAAGGAAAGAATCCAACAAGGAGAACAATTAAAAAAAAAACCTGAATGCTCTCTATTACTTCCAGGAGATAGATATAGATATAGATATATATAAATATATAGATATATAAATATATAGATAGATATAGACAGATATATAAATATATATATACACATACACACATACATATCTATATGTATATACATATATACACGTATGTGTATATGTCTATACATAAACACACACACATATGTGATACGTATGTAGTAGGTATATACTTCTGTCTGGCTTTTAGACCCCTTCATAGCCTAGCCCTCCCCACCCCTCCAGTCTTCTCACTCTTTACTCCCTTCCACCCATTCTATGATCTAGTGACACTAGCCTCCTTGCTCTTCCTCGAACATGACACTCCCATCTTCCGACTCTGCTGTCCCTACAGGTGTTTCACCACCTGGCTTTCTTCAAGATTCAGGTCAAATCCTACCTTTTGCAAAGTCTTTCCCTTCCCCCCGCCCCGCCCCTCCTCTGACAAGACCTCCCATCCATTCACTTTACATCTCAGGTCAGTACGCAGTGAGGGTGTGCATGTTCTTTTCCATTACAATAGACGTTCCCCGAGGGCAAGGCCTGCTCCTGCCTTCCCGGGTGGCCCTTCCCTGCGCTTGGCTTCAGACCGCGGGCTGAGCTGACCTCATCTGCCCCCTGCACCGGCCACCCATTCACGCCGGCCAGGTCTTGCTCAAAACCATTTTCCACCCGTGACAGCTCTGCGGACCCTTGAAGACGGCTCCCACGGAAGCCTGGGCGGATCCCGAGGCCAGGCACACGCCGGGAGAGCAGCGCGCCCAGGCGCACTCCTGCAATGACCAGCCTGGACACTGACCGACCCCCGAGGCCAGCTCGGAGCCGGGCCGGACCGCGGAGGGGAGGGGGCGCGGGGAGCCTGCCCCCCGCCGCGCGCTGCGCACCTTGGAATCGGGCACGCTGAAGACGCTCGGGTCGTCCGTGCTGCCCACCATGATCTTGTGAGGGTGCTCTTTGCCGTGCGCCTGCCCGCCGGCGCCATCGCCGCGGTGGGACTTGGAGCCGTGGCGCTCCCCGGGCACCCGATCGCTCGTGGTGTTACCCATGGCGGCTCGGGGGGTCCTCAGCGGGGGGGTTGCGTTTGTCCTCCCGCCGCCGCCCCTCTCCGGGCCTCCTCAGGGCACCACCCCCTCCTTCTCCGGGGAAGACGGCGAGCGGGAGCCCGGGATCCCCTGCCTTCCTCCGACTGCTCTCCGGGAATGCCCCGGGACGGCCACCCCCCACCGAAGAAGCCGCCCCATTCGCCTCAGTAGCGGAGCGCCCTCCTCCGGGGAGAGGGAGGGGCGGGGAGGCGGCCGCGCATGCGCAGAGCTGGTTGCTCTGGCGCCTGGGGGGGGCTCAATAAAGTTATTGAAACGGAAGGGCCGGTGGTTCGCGTTTCCTCCTAAAATGGCGAAGAAGCCGCCGGGGGCCTTCCCCGCCCTCCCCGCCCCTCTAGGCGCGAGGGCGTCTTCTCGTTGGTACTGGAGGCGGCTCGGTGGGCGTGGTCCGGGCGGAGCCCCGCGGAAGCCAGGGGCGGCCTCTCTGCTCCGGAGCCTCGCAGTCTGAGTGTGGAGCCAGGCGAGATGGTAGCGTCCCGTTCTATCCACTGAGAACTGAGAACTGTGTCTCGGACACATAACATTTACTAGCTGTGTGACCCTGGGCAAGTCATTAACCCCATTGCCTAACAAAAAAAGAAAAAAGAAAAAAAAGAGAAGTTAAATAAATCAAATGTAAATTAATTCCCACACAGAGAATGAAAGAATCCAGAAAATGCCTTAGTCAACAATACTTGCTTTATTTGCCAGAGACAGAGAAATGTCTGTCAAAGACAATACCAGGCTAGAATATGAACTGTGTGGAAATGCTATAAAGAAGAATTATAGATAACTATTAGGAATATAATCCTATAAAGCAATGAAAAGCAAGAGAGGGTCAAAGCGGTTAAAATAAAGCTTGGCAAGATATCTAACTACACAAAGTCATCCCGGTGATATTCAAGGATGTAGAAGAACACAAATAGAAAAATGGGAACTATTTACAAAAAAAATCATTTCCACACACTTCTCTAAGCCTCCTAGAATCACCATATTTCAACCCTACAATCGTAGTCCCTGACATAGAAATGGCACTAAAGAAATAGCAGTGGGATTTGACCAAGGAAATAAAGAAATCTGTTCTGGAGATTATACAATTCTGAAGACATTAAGGGACTAACATACAAAATATCTGCAGGAGGAAAAGATACGAAAGGTGTGGAAAAAATTGTTGACGGAGAGAACATCAGTGACCACTAACCCCTGTAGCTTCTCTCCTATCTATATTAAATTTTTATAAAATCATCTGCATTAATTGAAGGTATCCTTGATGGTGATATTAACAGGGAATAAGCAGGCTTTCTAAAGCAATATTCAACAATTTACATAATTGACACCGATGTCAAAATTGACTGAAAGATGTAGGATGTAAAATCCCATTGTTTGAGGCAATTAGGTGGCTCAGCAGATAGAGCTCTGGATCTGGAGTCAGGAAAACCTGAATTCAAATCCACCCTCAGATACCAACATCTGTCTGCTTCAGCTTCCTTATCTGTAAAATGGGGATAATAATAGCACCTACATCCCAAGATTGTTAGGATTGGATGAGATACTATTTGTAAACCACTTTGCAAACCTTAAAACACTATATAAATGCTAACTATAGTTATTATTGCGGATTATGAAAAGCATTTGGTTTAATCAAGCAATGGGCCCTTTTTACGAGGTGTTTCCCATCTGTCTGTTAAGATCTTTCAGGATTTGTTGGAAGAGGTAACAACAGAAATTACCCTGGTGGGTGACCCTTTGATAATAAGCGTCAGGTGAGGCATCAAGCAGAGATGTTTGCTCTCCAAAAGTATTTGCTGTTGTAATGGAGAGCTAGCAAGGGTCCACGCTAAGGAGAGTGAAGACCTCCAGATGCTCCTATTTGTAGATGATATCATCAAATCCCAAAACATTGCAAAGCCTCCTGAGAGATTTTTAATCACTCAAAGAAATTTAACTTGTCTGTCCACACAGGGAAGACCAAATGGATGAAAATGTTTATTGTGTAGTTTCAACATGCATCTGAATGAACAGCCTATAGATCTTTCCAACAGTATACACACACACACCCCAAATGGTACAAATGGGACACTAATTTAGGCCAGAGTTGAAAAGGAGAGCAGGCTGGATTGCTTTCCAGAAACTATGAAACTCTTACTGACCCCAAGCTTTCTATGAGAGCTTTCCCCTCCTCCCCGCAACATGGGAGACTGGCCAACAAAATCCCAGTTCTTTGAACATGTGCAACATGATGTGCCTGATGTCAATCTACGTAAATAGTTGGTGAGCCTGTTTCTAGAAATGTATGAGGATAGTGCCTTTTCCCAGACCATGTGCAGGTATTTTTTTTTAAACACAAATGAACAGAGCTTTATCTTCCTGGCAGCATTCACTGAAAAGGAGGAAGTATTGTGAGCCTCTAAGGAAAAGTTGCACAGAGACAGGTACTGCTGCAGCTGGCCTGTCTCCCCACCCAGCCCCCATGGGAGCACAAATTCATTGCGCAGTGGGTTTTTATTTGTTTGTTTTTTGTCTTTTTTGTGTCTATTTCCTTATTTTAGATGAATAAGTATCAGAGATGGAATAGAACAGGTTGTGACCGAGGGAGCTTTAAGTGTTTGGAAGAACACCAGAGATCTAACATCTGGTTTCCATGTCTAGTAGAAGATACAGCCCCTCAGGGTTATTGATAGAATCCTGAAGGGAGAAGCAGTCATTGCTTTCTAGGGACCCAGCCTGCCTATTAGAGGGGAGTTAGGAGAGATAATCCAGACGGGGATGCTTCCCATATTTAATCCACACTTGTTATTTTATTGGTATAGAAAACTTCCGGTGAAGAAACTCTACAACTACAACAAAAACTTTAAATCTGAAGAGAAAATGGCCTACCCATTAGTAAATTTTTGTGCAAATTGTCTGTTGGTTTTTTTTTTTTTGGCTAGACAACGGGGTTAAGGGTCACACAGCTAGTAAGTGTTATGTGTCTGAGGCCGGATTTGAGCTCAGGTCCTCCTGACTGCAGGGCCAGTGCTCTATTCACTGTGCCACCTAGCTGCCCCCAGATTAGCTTTGATAAAGGACATTAAAGCCTGTAATCCAGAGTTGTAATTGCTGCAAGCCCAAGTGTTCCTTATACATGTACCTTCCTGCTATGTTTCAGTAAGCTTGTGTCCACTCCCCTTGCTCCATGGATACTTGTACACTGAATATAGAATGTACCCTCAGTTTACAGGAGGAGTATTATGTTATTCTAGCTTTGCCTTATGTTTAATAAGTGTTTCTGAGATAATTGAGCTCATTTTGGCTGATTTGTTAAATGGGAAGTGTACCAGTGGGGGCTCAGGAGCCCCAGTTATGAGTAGTGTAAGTCTAGCTCCTGCACCCTTCAGAGAGTGTTATTGCAGCATGCACACTCACTCTGGAATCCTTGGCCTGCCAGCATGAGGGCAGGTCGGATGATTGAACCAGCCCAGAGAGAAAAAAGAAGGGAACAGGAAAGGGGAGTGGGGAGGGGTCAGACACCACATATCCACTGCACTGCAAAAGGCGTGGAAAAACATCCGGAAGATAGAATTAATTATCCAGAGCAGAGCTATTGAAAAAAAAAGTCTGAGTTGCTGCGAAGAAAACACCTGTCATGTGACCCATATCCAGGTGAAGCTAGCATCAGGCTTTTGCCCAAACAATATACTTAAAGTTAGGCTGTCAGATGAAAGCAAGAGAGACCTGGTTACAGCAGGAAGAAGTGATAGCCTGAGGGAAGAAACAAACCACAAAAACACGGAACTAGAGAACCATGGCCACCTGGGGCAGTGGTCTCCAAAGTGGAGTGTGCACACCCTTCGGGGTACGAAAGAGGAGCCACCGATGGGCTGGAACAAAACAGAACTGCTGTCTCTGTTTTGTGTTATCTAAAGAAAGAAATTAAGCTTTACGACTATGAATGTATAGATTGAAACCAATGCCCTCATTAATCCCATATCACGGACAGTCATGTGCTGTATGTCATCGGTCAGCCGGATCAAAGACAGCTCCACAACACAGAAAGATTAGCACTGTAACAACCCTCTCTCGTTGTTTGCTTTCAGAGGACAGTTATGCATAGAAGTTTATGTGCCCGGTTAAGTGGATTTATGGAATATATTATCTAGCTTTAACTTTAACGAAGTCGGACGACTTGAAAAGATTCCTACTGAGAAATACTAAATGAAAGATAATGCTAATAAAGTGAGCCCCGAGCAAAAAGTGAATGGCGGGGTTTCTACTCCTAACTTGAGCCCATTAGCTATATAGGAAGCAAAAACAAAACAAAATAAAACAAAAACACAACAAAACAACCCCAATGATGGTGATATAATTAGACTTTTCTTTCCCCCCCTTTTTTTTGAGTCAATCAGGATAAGTGACTTGCCTAGGATCACACAGCTAGTAAGTGTCTGAGAATAGATTTGCACTCAGGTCTTCCCTTGTTGCTTAAAACAAAACTGTGTCATATATTAAAACTCTCATATAGGTACACTTACAAAACTAGGAAACAGAATTTTCTAACATGTTAAAAATCTTCCAACTAAAACATTTCACTGGATTTTAAACTGTTGTTTATTGTAAAAAATATATAATAATACACCACCTTCTGATTAGTTTACAAGAACAACTGATTGATATCAGAAGGAGGAATTTTTTTTTAGTAAGATTTGAACAAAAGCTTTTGCATCAATGGTTATTAGGATTGAGAAACACATATCGTTAGTAAACACAGCCAATGATGTACTTCTATTTGGATCTATGTCTTTTCATTGGACACCTTTTTTTCAGCAAGCATTGCAATAAATAAAACTTAGAAGCAAACCTTTGAGTTACTATGTCACAAAGTGTTAAAAAAAACTTTCAAAAATAATAAAACATATCCAATTATATTGTTTTCATTTATAAAATGACATTTTATGGTAAAAGTAAAAATAGTTTTTGTATTGGTAATAGATAAAATAAAAATAATTTTATAATAGTGTCTTTAACATCTTTATCTCATATTTTAAAAATTCTATTTTGATGTATGTTCTATAATTTGTACATAATATATTATCTCAGTAGTGTAGGCATAGAATTTATTTATTTTTATTTTTTTCCTTAATAGTATTTTTTCCAATTACACGTAAAGATAGTTTTCAACATTCATTTCTGTAAAATTTTGAGTTCCAAATTTTTCTCCCTCCTCCTCCCCAAGACAGCAAGGAATTTGA